GTTTGCTCCATTTCCATTAACGTTTGCTCCATTTCCATTAACGTTTGCTCCATTTCCATTAACGTTTGCTCCATTTCCATTAACGTTTGCTCCATGCTCTAAGAAAAACTTCACACAGTTAAGATCGCCACTAAGGCTTGCTTCAAGAAGTGATTCGTCAACCCAGAACCCATCTAGGACTGCTCCTAGGTCGCAAAGCCGTTCCAGTATCGATAATTCTGGAGACCGATTCCTCATGAGATATAGTCTCAATGCTGTTGTCAGTATAGGTTGGTTGAAGACGGCCTCTTTAGAAAGTGTAGCTAAAGTCTCATCGTCTAGCTCACATCCGGATGGCTTGCATGGGTCCGCGGCTCTTGATGATATTGCTTCATGAAGCGCGAGATACCCGGGTGTCAGACAAGAAGGTATGCTCACCCCAAGTTCAAGTAGCCTTTGCCTGAGATCCATGCGTCCTTCAGTGGCTACAATCACCAGTGCCACCAGATTGCTGTAGCATGGGTGTGGTAGACATCTGGCGTATAGATCTCTTAGTCTTCTGTCGAATAGGACTGGTAGATCGATGTAGGATGGTCCACTTCCATCCCACTGCGGGAGTGGTGGATTCTCACGCCACTGTGTGACTGTTGAATCTGCTCCTTCCTCGATAAGAGTCCAAAAAATGGAGTGACTTCCTGCGCGAATAGCCGCCTCCAAAGCTGTGTATCCAAACTTCTCTGACTTCGGGGCATTTGGATCGGCCCCGGCGCACAACAGAAGTCGAACGAGATCTTCTTCACCTTTGTATGCAGCAGCCTGAAGCGCAGTGCATCCGAACACTTCGGCGCACGCAGCTGGACGTCCACCTTGTGTTCCAGCAAGAACTTGGTCGCATCGAGGTGACCCCCCAAGACTGCAGCCTGAAGTGCCGAGTGAGTATTGATATCAGCGTCAGCACCGACGAAAACAGACAGAATATCGACGGCTCCCCCGTAACTGGCCGCCTGCAGTGGTGTAAACCACAGGTCATGAGTCGCTTCGTGGATGTTCGCTCCTGTTTCCAACACAAGCTCCACAATTTGACGGTTGCCCGCACATACAGCGAATAGAAGTGGTGACAACATTTGTGAAATTTCTGTACGGCTGCCGCTCGATATATACTCCAAGAGAGATATGTAGGCTCGGGGCCTCCTCAAAAATGACCAGTCACCTAGGTGCCAATCTCCTTCGCGGAGAGTTTCCAAGGCACTGGCGAACCGGTCCATAGGAAGCAGAAGAACTTCTAATCCTGCATCCAGCAAAGCTTCACAGAGTTCAACATTTCCTGTTTCTACTGCTAGTGACCAAGGAGATGGAACTTTGCTGAATTTCACCATAAGGCATGCGATGTCACCAGCAGTTGCAAGCATCTGTTCAAGGGCAACGGAGCCCCACCCATCGACCTGTGCACCATGTTTGAGTAGAAACTTCGCAAGCAAGACATCCTCCTTCTCAATGGAGTGATGGAGAGCGGTACGGAGACGCTCATCCAAGGCATTGATGTCGGCGCCCTGCACTAGCCAAGTGAGGATTTCATCAACATTGAGGCCTGCCATGACTGCGCCTGGAAAGTCTTGATCAAAGGTAGTTCTTTGCTTCTTTTGGATAATCCAGAATATTTCAGGCAGATAGCGGGCGGCAAGATTACTCGGAGTTTCCCAGTATAGAGGAACGCTGCCCTCTTCGAAGTAAGTGTTGCTATCGGTGCCATAGTCGATTAGCAGTCTTTTACAAAAGGCTGCATTCCTGTACACTATCGCCTCCTGGAGAGGGGTCCGTATCTGACCATGCACTTTGAGGGGTCTGCTCAGGTCCATTCCGGTTTTCTGCAAGAATTCCAGTAAATCGCACCGATCCTTCCTAGCTGCATATAGTAGGAGATACTCTGCGAAGCGCCGAAGTGGTGGAGAATTTGAGTCCATGAAGTCAAAGTTACGCAAAAGCCTTTCAATGCCAGTCTGGAACAATTGGTCCAGGAAGTCATCAAATGGTCTTTGTTCGGGTTCTCCATTAGAGCACAGATATATGACATAGCCGATCGCGACCATATTCGCCTGTGGAGCTGACATGCTTGACACCGATCGGAGATCCTCCAGCACAAAATATGAATCGTGAACGGGGAAGAGCGCTGATACGTAACCCCATGTCCGTTCTGAACCACCTCGATACCAGGAGGGTATCATCCAGGAGACCAACCCATTCGTATTGGGGCCGTCGAAGCCATGGCCGCCGGCAGTCTGCATTGATTCCACACCGAAACCGTCCGAGATAAGCAGGCGGCTGTCATGGTACCCGTTGTTATCTGGAAATGGCGTAGCATGGACAGTGAGGGATATGTCCCCTGGATTGGTTGGCGGACTTTCATCATTGTTGAAGGTGGGTGTCCTGCGGATACGGGAGGGCTGTCGTCGAGGACCTGGACTGTTCAAAGACAGACTTCGGATTTTTTCATACAGTTGGAATGCAGGCAATGCCTCACTTGAGAGGGCGTCGGGATTGAGAACCGCTCGCGTTATGGAGATATTCACGGCGCCTGCAGACTGGTAGGCTGGATCGCCACGGACGCTGCTGGTTCGGCATGCGATACCACTTCGTGGATTCTGCATTTGTAACGTTGGAGGATTGTGTCTTCTCAGGCGTCTTTGGAGTCGCTGTGGGCTCAATACCTCGTTTCCGATGCGGACTTCTGCAGAGTACGGGTCGAGGCGACGCCGATTCAGAGTGTGCCCAATCATACGGTAAGTAGAGCTCTTGTGGTTCTTCACGAAGCGCCATTGTGTCAGCTTCCGTTTGTATTGTTGCTCGCTATTACCTCGTTAATACACATCTGGCGAAACCAGGCATCTTACCTCGCCGAGAATCCGAAGATATATTGCATGTGCCAACGGACGTCGGCCAGGCTCAAACCATGGTTCAGGTAATAGTATCTAATGTTTTCTTTGTGCTCGTTCCAAGTTTCCGTAGAGATGGTGACCCTCTCATCCATGTTGCAACAACGGTAGTGGCAGTTTGCTGTCAGAGTACTGAACCAAGCGGTAGGTGCACCTCAGACTGGAGGCAGATGAATGTTGGACTTCTCGGCGCGACATCAGGCTGAACAGACGTGGGGCGCAAAAGCCATGGGCCGGGACACGATCTTGGGAAGGTGTTGCAGATACTAATAAAGAGAATTTCTCTGCAGCCAAGACGGCAGCTTGTGTTTTCCCCCGTCAGTCGCCCTGAAAGCAGAGACATAAGGTTGAAGGGTTGTTATAAGAAATCCTGGTGGGGACTAGAGTGGCTCGGGAAAGAAACTGATAGGTCAATGCCGAAAGTTCGCTCGAGGTGCCTGGCTGCGTTGACCGCTGCGCACATGAGGTCTGGCTTCTTGTGGCACCACTAGTACCTACCTAGGTAAGATCCTGGCACGGCTCTGATACCAACCGAGTGCTTGCGAACTTTCGGCCGCGGCGAATCGAAGAAAGGGAAACTAGCCCCCACCGTCCGGTCTTTCTCTAACAGCTTTAATGTAGAAGTGCCAGTCCAGTGAAGACCCGATGCACCATTTGAGGCTGATGCTTCGAACTTTCGACAACCGCCAATGACTGGTTTTCTGGATTGATGTAGCATGTCGAACTTTCGACAATGGCCAACACCGAATTTGCTGTCTTAACCTTGACGGTTGCAGGATGATGTCGAGGTCTTCAAGTCCAAAGGTTAGTCAGTCATATGGGAGCGACTACAAGTACACCTCGTCTCCTCAAGCAATGCTTTGAGAGCAGGGAGCAGCCACGGCACCTGCAGCCTGAATGCCTTGCCTCCTGACAATGAAGATTACCGCAGAACCCATTGTGGGAATTGTCGGTGTTATTCTGACACTTCCGCCACTTCTCCTTGCTCTCTGGCAAATGGGGAAGTGGGGACGACAAGAGCGACTGCCTCTATTCAGAGTAGAAAGTCGTTCACCGGCATCTGTTCCAGAATGTAAAGTTGGCTTGGAAATCGCGATGCACAATGGTCTCTGACATTCCGCCAGCGGCATTGGCCTATTCAAGCACTCCACTCGAGCTGGAAGTACATCCACCTCCGCGAGCAGTTCTCCCACGGTCGCGTTTGTTGTCACCACATTTACCTTGCAACCCTCAAGTTGATGGGGTCAGTGAAGGGGCTGTGCGGGTAGCGACGCCGTCCGAAGACCACTGTGGGTGCAGAGGCAATTCCTGTTCTCTGGAGAGCGGTTGCATCAATCCAGATCAGACATTGAATCCCAAGCAGGGGACTGTACCAATCTGGCGCCGTCCCAGAAGGCTATCGACAGTGAAGAAGTGGTGTCTGCTTGCGTCTTATTTGAAGGCACCGCAAGTTTTCCGCGCCAAGCAGGTGTCGAGGTGGTGGCCGCGGTCTGCCTGACGGGTCAACAAAGCTGATGGACAAGGCCAGCTGGCTTGGTCACAGCATGGAAGGCGTGTGCCAACGAGGGAGAACTCAGTAACTGTTTATCAACTTGATCTGTGTCGGTGGTGCAATTAGAGTTCGTGCCGTTGGAATCCAACAAAATACTGCGGTTATCGAATGCTCCACCAAACTCGGATAGTGCTACTAGTGCAACTAGTCCTAGTCCTACAGTTTACCGATGTACAGTAACAGTTCAACTCGCTCGTTTCCCGTAATCCCAGAGAAACACTGCCGCAACATTCTCTATCCGCAGAGCCATACCACCACAAATGCTGCAAAGATGGACTTCAAATCTCTCATGGCTGCACAGATAGCCAAAGCCAAACCGGCCGCATCACCATCACCACCACCACAATCCTCTCCCTCTCCAACCCCAGACGCCTCCACCACAACCACGAAATACGTGCGGCGCGCCGAACTCGAAGCAGCCCGTCAAGCCGCCTACGCCGCGGAACAAGCCCGAATCGAAGCGGAGCGCGCAGAGCGGGCGGCAAAGAAACGGAAACTCGAAGAAGAAGAAGCAGAACGCAAAGCGATCCGCGAAGAGAAACGAAGAAAACTAGCAGAAGAATCACGCCGGCGACGAGAAGAACAAGAACGCGAAGAGGAGCGCAAACGCAGGAAACGACTCGGTCTACCTGACCTGCCACCACCTAACACCAACAACCATGACCAACAACCATCTTCCTCTACAACAGACCAACCTTCCGCATCAGCAGCCGCCGTCGACGGAGACCAAGAAGACATCCCCGACGACGAACTACGACAGAAACTACGAGACCTCAACGAACCCGCAACCCTATTCGACGAAACACACTCTGCCCGACTCCAGCGGTATCGTCGCCGGCTGAAAGCCTCACAGATGGCTGTGGCAACCAAACCAAAAATCACAGACGGCCCGATCCCAACGACGCTCGAACCCGTCCCCGAAAAGGACATGCTTCTACCATCGTCATCAACACTCCCTGCTCCAAACACACCCGAGCACGAGTTCCTATACCGCCAACTAGCATCGTGGTTCACACTCGTATTGACAGAATGGTCCATCGCGCTGTCTCAACGAGACGCCGCCGTGCGCGCCTCGTCGTCCGGCAAAGCCGCATCCAGCAGTTACCAACAAGTCCTGAAAGACTTGACACCCTTATTTCGACGGTTCGAGCGCCGCGACTTGGAACCCGATCTCCTCGAACCGATCTGCCAGATCGTCCGGGCCGCCCAACGTCGACGCTACGTCGAGGCCAACGATGCGTATTTGACTTTATCGATTGGCAAAGCCGCATGGCCAATCGGTGTCACCATGGTCGGCATTCATGAGCGTTCTGCACGCGAGAAACTCCATGCCAGTAGTGCCGGGAAACAGGCGCATATCTTGTCCGATGAGGTCACGAGGAAGTTTCTGCAGAGTATTAAGCGGTGTTTGAGCTTTGCTCAGACGAGATGGCCGCCGGAGGATTTGGCTCAGTTGATGGGTTAAGGAAAAAAAAATTAAAAACAGATATAATGGATTACGACGAGGATCCAATCAATCAGTCAATCAATCGGATCTATCGACCGACCGACCCATGTTTTGTGCCTGGCTGTTGTTACTACTGACCTCACTCAGCCTTTGTTCCTCCCTGAGTTAAGGTATGGCCAAAAAAACCTCCCCGGGGACAGCTCAATTCAATCGCCCGAGGATCCACGTGTTCGTCCATCGACCATCACCATCAGGTACTAGTACTTCACGTACCCTGTACAATGTACGCCCGTCAATCATGCATTTCCCCAGACATGTTATGTGCACCTACCTACCCACGTGTCTTGTCTGTGTACAGTACCTCGTGCTCCATATCAGGCACTGACATGGTACTTGTCGCCCCATACTAGGTCTTCTCCATTTCTATCCCCAGCTTCTTGAACGAGATCGTGCCTTGCAAGCGACATTTCATCACTCACTACGTACCCTACCACATTGTGACAGCGAGTGCTGAATTGAAACTGACTGCAGGTTCCGAACTCAGGATTCTCGTATGGACCTTCTTGGTGATACGGCATTCATTGTGACAAGGAAGAAATCTACATCTCTCCCATTATTCCGACCAACATCGGTATCTATGATTAACGGCGTCTAGACTCCTGCCGGGCCTAACGGCCGCCTGAACCTCTATATCAATAGCACAAGAATCCTCTAACAAACTCCATGCTTGTTCTACCGTAAACGCCAAAAGCCCCCCAAAAGGTACACGCACAACGAATGAAATCTTGATTCTTCAAGACTAAACCATCTATGCTCTGTCCGAATATATCCACGCAGGATTGAATCGCTAGAAAAAGAAAAATCAAAACACCAAAAACCTAAACATGCTGTAAAACTCGATGGAGCGCACCTCACGTCCGTCTTCGAATAGTATACCGGATCAGAACAGAACAGAGCCCTTGGGGGTATAGAGCGCCAAATCTAGTGCAATAAATCCAAAAATCCACACCATTCGCCGCTGATATCGTATCGACTGGTTTGACCGGGGTTGCTGCCACTCACGCAACCTGCGGTGCGGGACATGCCAATTAATTCGGAGGGCTTGGTTCAGAGAAACTGTGTATCTTCATGCAAGATTGTCCCACCTTATATTGCTTTTTAGCTGCTTTCTTGCATTCGAAGCGTGGGGCGTTGAAGGATCCATGGAGGGGCCTGCTTAAGGATCTCTGTAGCGTTGTGCATCCAGCCTCGGCATGCAGGGTGGTAAATCATACGCGCAGGCCACGTTGATGAGGCGTATGCGCAGCGCATGCAACAAGGATCCTTGTACCCTTTCAGGAGGGCTGGTGCTGAACTTCCTGGCAGAATTGGTGCCCAGTTGATACCGGCTAATTCCCGCTCTCAGCTGGATCGTGCCGGGCACTGTTGCAAAATTCTGGTCGGCCATCTCAAGCTGTTGCCTGCATGGATAGATGGTCATCAATTCACAGTTGTGGCAGAATAACTCAATCTGTCGATGAAGAACGACAGTCATCATCACTCTGCAACAACAAGCCAATCCGGTCGAGTGTGCCGTGTCCAGCCGGTAGTAGCCGAAACTGACGGGATGATCCTTGTAGGCCATCGATTTGGTCACAAAGTTCTGACATCTTGCAGAGATGTGCAGGGGCAAGAGGCCGGATGAGGCTTCGTTTCATGCAGAAAACGGGTGCGGTTGGCCGGAAAGTCCGGGTCACGTGACCTCGATTCAAAACGTCGACCAATGCCAATCTTTGGGCACACTGTTTGCGACCTGTTCGACAGGTTTCCCGCCACGAACCGCGCCCGAAGGCACCCGTCGATGACCACCTGCTGGTCCCGCGAGAGGAGTTGGTGGCCCGCTGTCATTGCCCTCCTCCTTGCTATTTTGGCTATTCTTGCGCCGGATCGACCTGGCAGTGTCCCATCTCTGGTACTGACGGTGGCATGTTGCGCAAGCTCTGGATGGGACGCCGTCAGGGTGGAATTTGGCGGACTGATCGAGGGGAATGGTATAAGGAGTATGCGAGGAGCAGAAGATATGCCCACAGTGACGACAGTGGTGTTTACGGACAAAAAGGTTGAAGGTAGAGCGACATTGAGGCGAGTCACAAGTCGGCGAAGCTTCGTCGGGCTGTATGGCAGTTAGCCTTTTTGTACGCGCATGGTTCGAAGATAGAGGTTGGGGAGTCCGTATGTATGCAGTTGAACCGCAAATACATGCAATAGACCATGTTGGCCCAATTATCAACTTGCCTTCCAGTGTTCTTTTGTTGGCGGGCCGGTAACTTCACCCAACTCTTCCTCTTGCACCCAGTCGGGGTTGAACGTCTCGAAGTCGGAGGGATAGTCTGTTTCCTGAGTGACAGGCTGTGTTTCGTTCTCTTGGAGATTGTCCAACGAACCGTGCAGACTCTTCGGAGGGGTCATGGGCGAGGCACCCGAGAAGTGCTCTGTTGGCCGTAACGCCGCAGGGACGTATAGAGGCGATTTCAGGGGCCGTAGCTGCTTGTAAGGATTCGGGGCATGTTGCTGGAAGTGTTCGTGCATTCGGGGCGAGGTGGGAGATGCCGAGTTCGCGGGAGATGGTTGTTGGCTGGCATAAAGCTGCGGATTCTGAGGGATGGTGTAGGTTTGTGTGGAATAGTTGGCGGCCATCTTTCTGTACAATTAGGTCGAATGTTGAGGTGGTGCTGGGACAGGAAAGCGATGCTTATAGCAGAAGCATCACAGACACAGCTATTGAGCGAACGCAGGAGATATGTATGCGCCACGAAGAGGCAGAACAGCGTGGCCGAGATGGTTGAGGGTTATCGTTGGCCCGGGCTCAATGTAGTAGGTGACGAGAATAGGGTCGGAGGAAGTGTAACCCTTCGGACCACAGACGCCCCGGAAAGCCAGTTGATCGGTACCGAAAATGATCTTAAACGAGAAGAGGCCAAGTCCGGCTAGGTCTTTTGAGAATCCCGAGAAAGAAGAAGAAGCAATCAAACAAATGCAATTCAAGGGCTGAATCCTGAGGGTTGTCAACGGCGTGGGAGGTGGGGGTTGGTTGTCAGGTTGACAGGAGCAGGACGGTGGTACAGTCGGTGAAGTCGCAAAGCCTTGTAAAGGAGGAGAGATTGGGATCAGGGAGGTGTTGTTCAGGGGTAAATTGGTTCGGCTGTTGAGTATACAGCTATACAGACATCGGTTATAGAAGAGGCACCTAAGAGGTACAGTATTTGAACAGGACACCAACAGCCTCATAGGAGGGAGATGAGCGGCGAGAGATAGAGAAATGGACATGCGACACCGAGACAGTCGCGTACGTAGGACCAACTGCCAACTGCCAACTGCCACTGACACTGCAACTGGAGACGGGCGAGAACCTTTTGCGGCCAAAGATGTGCGTGCTGATAAGGAGCCCGCAGCCTCCAATCAGAGCCGCAGAATTACAAGCCGAAAGTGTCCTTAACGGGCATGGTGGCCACTAGCCTGTGACCCGTTGCCACCGCCAGCCTGAGAGCCAATGGGCAGAGCTGAGACTAGGCGAGAAGAGTTAAAGCATCTACTAGTCCCGCCTAGCTTCTCACCCACATGTTCAGGTTCATTACCCGCAGCTCGAGTAAGACAAACCAAGCAGATCTTTGGTATGAAGAGTCCTGCCGATTTATAGGGTCTGGCTCTCCCCTGCGGATACTGAACACTCTGCCAGGAGACGTGGGCAATATTCATGATTGGGCGGCATTGTCCATCCTGCTACAACGTACTGTTGCCCATCCAGTGCCAGTGTACGGGGATGCCGCTGGCCGCCCACCTTCTCGGACGAAACGGGGAGACAGTCAAGGGGACAGGGGTTGGATCGTTTGGGATTTGTCTTGGGTTGAACTGGAGCTTCGATCCGCTGATCCGCCGATGAGAATCCAACCGAATCCCGATGTTCTAGCTGTTCGCCCCGGCACTCTCGTCAGTGCCAGTATTTCGGTAAACGAAGAAGTCATCCGGAGCTGTCAAGGCCTCGCAGGAATCGCCCCGGACGTCACACGAATGGGCATTGGTTGGCTGTGGCCGCAGAGCAGGCTGCACAGTCAAATACGAGGTTGATGCAAGAGAGTGCTTGCTGGCCGCATGTTGCGGTGAAGCAGCTGCAGTGTCAAATACGAGCTGAAAACGACTCTCACCCAGGCGTGTCCGAGATTCTTGAAAGTCCCCCACCACAACCAAACGGCTGATGGCTGCAATGATGGACGACCACTTTGTTCTGAGATGGGGATGCTCCAGCCTTATGGTGGACTCCAGGGTCCAGGGTAGTATATCAATACTAATAAATAACGAGACGTCGGACTTGTCAAAAACTCAAGGAATTTGGGTTTGCAGCTGTGTGTGTGGAGAGGGGAAGGCGAAAAGCCGGGCGAGTCTGTTGTAAGTTTGTCCTTCCTTCGATCGCATCGAGCCTATCGGGCATCAACAGTCTACAAATGTTGTAGATGATGTGGCCCCTCGGCCAGCCACCGCCAGCACAACCTTCCAGGTGACCAGCGAAAGCCCGGGGTAGTAGACCTGCACGTCGTGCCAGGGCTTTGCAGATTCTAGTCGAGCTCTCGGTTGAGAGGACTTTGGTCCTATCAAAAAGCCACAAACCGAGCAAATCGTAGAGTTCTATTGGGTAGCAGAATCAGCCGGGACACACTGCTGCAGGGCGGCCTCCGACCACTGATTCTTGACCCAGGCGTTGCCAGTAGTGGTACGGTTGTGGTGGCTGAATCCCGGGCGTTGACCATTCAGTTGGCGAGCTGGTTCCAAGGAAGCCAATAGCAATCCCAGGCGTGCCCTCCCCTAACCGCCCGTCTCTCAAGCCACTGCTACCGTGCTTACAGGGGGCCAGCCGTCCCTATAACATTGTCGACGGCAACTTGAACGGCGGGCAACAGCACTACAAGCACCAAATACCTGACTTCCAAAAGACATAATAATAAGATTTGGCTGCTCCGCTCTTCGGCTGCTCCCGCCCCTCTTCTCTCCCACTGCCACTGCACTCGCTGCCCTCAATTCAATCAACACTGCACTGCAATCAATGCTTCACTACTATAGATACACTCGACTTGCTCTGCTCTTCGACCGCTTGAGGCTCTCATCCCCAGTTTTCAATAAACCCAGATCACCCACTATCATCAGAAAAGCAGTCCCCTAGGTCTTTTCTAGACCCTTGCCCGTCTGCACCCCATTCATTATTGTTGATATCGCCAACCAGTGACATTATTGTCCTTGTTGAGCTGTCCCATCCGCTTCAGACGTTCAGCCCGATCCTCAGGATCAGGCTCCAAACCTTGAAACTCTGGCGGCGCATCTAAGGTCCGCCGCCAACCTGGCCGAGTCCCCAACGGAAGACATGGTCAACAATCTGGTCGACCACGTCTTTGGCTATAGTCTTGCGGATCCCGAGCACCCATGGAACCAGAGAGGATACAAAGCGCACCTCGCCAAAGAACCCAGGAGCCCATCAGAAGACCCCTACGGCGAAAAAGCCTATCAACGAGCTTTCGCAGAGGATATATCTCGGAGGAAACCATTCGTTCCCTGTCCTGCCTATTATGTTAATTCCCCCAGTGCCATGGAGTGCCAAAGCCACAGAGATAGAGAGTTGTTTGCTCCTCGGGAATGGACTCCCGAATCCCTAGCCGCCCAGAAACGGTATAAACCAGAGATCCAACCGCAGTATCTCTGGCGACCCGACCTACAATATTCACCACAACAACTGCAACAACTACAACTACTGGTACAGTCACAAGCGTCACAACCACAACCGCCACCGCCACCACAACAACAACCACAACCACAACCACAGCATTATCAACAGCCACCCCAGACCCCATCATACCATCAACCCGTCACACCTACCATGGAACAGCAACCAGGTCCCCATCCCGATGAAATGCTCCCCTCTCCCAAATACAGAGACGAGACTCCTCGCTCGGCCAACAAAAAGACCAAGAGAGATCACAACAAGAGTATTTCCTCGACTTCTTCGTCCGGCCCACGGCCCTGGAATAAAAGGCAGGACCCTCAGCCCATCACCCCAAAGCCACTCTTACCTGCTGCTATCAGACCATCTCCACACCAGGAGCCCGCATCTCCGGCGCAACTTCAAATGCCAGTGACGGACTCGGCTCCAATGTCCATAGCGGAGCAATACACCCCAAGTCCAGACCAATATCGCTTGTCTCATTCCGAGCAATATCCTCCGGGGAGCAGCTCAGGTCAGAACCGGATGCAGGTGGCACCCGAGATTCCGTGCTTCCTCGAGCCTCGCGTTGAGCCTTCACTTGGCCCGCCCCGGATGTTGCGATGAGCAGAATGGACATGACTGTCGTCGTATTGCCTTGATGGATCAAAATAGCTGTGGCTTTTTGTTCACCGCCTAGTTTGGTTTGGAAGATGCTGCCAGACACACTGGGCACGACGACTTCTGCCAATCCATGCAGCACCTGCTCACCTTCATCAAGCTGCCACTGTTGCTGTCGGCATTGGACATGATGAGTGTGGTTCGTTTCAACTCAAGCTCTTCATGCTCTTCGAAGACAAATACTGTCCTTACAGCCTTTCTTTATACGATTTATGGATTTCTCAAAACAAAACAGGGAATATGCCGATTGATGACGACCGATTAGTTGGAGCCACTGGTGATCTCATTTCACCGAGATTTCGCTGCGGTGGAGCAAACACTGTATCAAGAAGGATCACAGACACAAGCTTCGTTGAGGCACGACAGAACCTGCCTTGCCTTGTGTCGCTTATTTCTTTTCTTTACTCTCCTTTCCCCTCATGATTCAAACCAGATGGCTGGATGGAGAAACGGTCGGACGGAGGACTGTCACGATGACGGAGATCATTCCCCAGCATGTCGGCATTGGGTGCTCACGCCCGTCAAAAGAAACAAGACACAGACACGATAACTTCAGGAGACAAAATGGTATTATGAACGATATGAAATAATATGAGATTTCATGATGTGAATGACGATTTTCCTTGTTTGGCGTTACGCCAATACAGTGTGATGTGCTATGTGACATTGGGGGATAGCAATAGGGTGTCTGATGGCCAGGGCCAAGATGTGATAGACACAGGTTAGGATAGGACAGGACAGGGTATGCCGGTCTGGGACGGAAGACAAAAGGGGAGATTGAGGAGGTGGTGTTCCGGGTATACTCAAAGTCAAGGGTTAAGGGGTGGGAGGATCCAACGGCAACCAAAAGGGTTCAAAGGCGGTAATGATACGAATTAGGATATTATGGTCTGGTCTGGGTATGATACGACATAGTCTGGTCTGGTATGATCTGTTCTCATATGGTGCAGTATGGTAAGGTATATGCATGGAGATGGATATTGGACAATCCTGAATACCTTTTGAATTTTCTTCAATTCTTGTTGTTCTCGTCCTCATTCTTGTAACTTGTTGTTGTAGGTTGTAGGTTGCTGTTTGCTATTGTTCTCCTTCTTGGAACTTGTTGTTTGTCAGTCTTGTTGTTCTCGTTCTCGTAACTTGATGTTTTTTCGGTTGTACGTTGTAGGTTGTTTCCTTTTCCAGCATCTGATCACCGGGGCACCCGGTACTGTACCTTGCTATGGAAGAAACCAATCTCTTAATCGAGGACCGGCACAACACCCGGTCTTTGAATCAGCAAATCAATCATCGGAGAGAAGAGAGGTCGTATATCTTCTTCTCTGTCTTCGTCTTCGTCTTTTCCTCTGGTACTAGTAGTGTGCTGCCCGTGCCGGTCGTCCGGCATTTGCTGTACTAGTACGCGACTTTTGAGTTGCGGCTGAGCCCATCTCACCAAATCGGTCCAAGTGACCCATTCCCATCCGGCGCATTTATGCGGTTCCATGCGTCGAGCGAGGGGAAGGCGAACGTTTACGCGAGACGGAGAGCGAGAGTGAAACTGAGAGTGAGACCGAGACTGAGACTGAGACTGAGACTGATTACCAGTGATACCATTGCCATTGTCCTGGTCGGCGATGGCTTGGTTTGGATCTGGGTTGACTTGGGCAGTCATGAAAATCGTAACGTAATGTTTCGACTCGCCGGCACCAGTAGTCCCACCACTATAAGAAGTCTTGGTCTGGCCTTCGTCCGAGGACCCAGTCTGACTCTGATCTGCCAGCATGACATCATTCGTGGCGGTCAAAAAACGAATGGTGGAAGAATTGAGTACGAGTCCGGTCTCCTCGAGAACTTCTCGCGCAGCGCATTCTTGAAATGTCTCGCCAAACTCCAAGTGGCCGCCTGGTAGGGCGTACGTGTTGGAGCCGTGGGAGTTGAGACGGCGGCCGAGGAGGAATTTATACTTGTTGGAATCTTGGGCAGGTGGTGCTGCTCGGCTAGTTGTAGAGTCTGGAACTGTGTGGTTGTCGATGTCGAGGTTGGGATGTAATATGAAGACGGCGACGCCTACTCGTGGGACGGCCGAGGTTGAACTTGTTGGAGTTGAAGACGAAGCTGCTGCAGCTGTAGTTGGACCTGGGAGATCTGACGATGAAGGAGTGGGCATGGTGGAATATGCTGTATATCGTATTGTAGATGAGATACTGTCGAATGGATGACAGACTGACTGACTGATTGTAAAAGCTCCGCGACTACCTAATTGTCAAGCTGGAGGGTCAAATATCAGTTAACTTTCTGGTCGTTGTATCTTTTGGTCTTTGGGTACGCTTTTTGAGACAGTGTGGAATGGCAATTAATGAGTCTCGTGTAGATGGCGTTGAGGTTGAGATCTGGGTTTTCCGAGGATTGTGTCGGCGCCGATATTCGCTCGATTGAGGGTCTGATGAACTTGGTAGGTGTACGACTATGGCGTTACCAGATTGGCCAGGACAGGTTCTCTTTTTTTATTTCCTTTTCCTTTGCAGTTGAAAAAAGAGTGGATGTAGTTATATATCCTGACAGGTCAGGTCAGGCCAGGTATGTACGTTGCGTCCTATATGTACTCCGTCTTCCGTAGTCGTTGGGGAAAGGAGAAAATGACAGAGATCAGAGGTGGACCCAGAGCGTGTATACACCCAGCGAGGTGGTGTAGATCCTTTCTGGATCGGTCGCGAGGTGAAATGGTGTTGGTGTTGATATTCGAGTTCCAATCGCATTTATCAATCCGAGGTGGACCAGCGAATGGATATAGCAACAATGAAACTTGAACAACGCAACAACGACAATCAACTTTCATAGGTTCTGCAGGCTACTACAGTTCAAGCTGTCTAGTAAGTATGCCGTAGTGGGATTCTGCCGGCTGCATTGATACTTTTGACTAACATATTCGTAAACATCGGCAGGGAACACAGCTTCATATCTTGGACGTTGTTTGTACGTTGAAGGATCTAGATACGTAAATGCACCCATTTCAGCATCATTGCTCCGAAACAGAGTATTTTCTTGAAATATACGGTCAAAGTAATTCGGTTTTCATGGGCACTTTTTCAATGCATTTCATGCTTTACACTCGCTACAACATTCCCACTCTTTTTCAGACGAGTCGAGATCGTTTTAGGGTTAGAATGGTTCAACTTACTGCTGAACATATTTCTCCCCAATACCTCTCTGGACAGCCGGTCGGGCCGCAATCCGATCAATCCACTTCAACAGATGCGGAAACGGTTTCATGTCCTCTGCGGTGAACCCGGATCGTTCCCAGCCCTTGACCCACGGCCAGGTCTTGATGTCTGCCACGCTGTATTGACCTTTACCCTTGCCGGCCAGGTAGTCGCGTGGTTCGCCGGTGTATTTGCCCGAGAGACGGATTTCAAGGACGCCGTAGACGCGCAGAGTTTCGTTTTTGTAGCGGTTGATTGCGTCTGACAGTACAGTACACGGTTAGTGCGGTCGACATCAGAGGGCAGAGTACCACAACGAGCATAAACACAGAAACAGATGTGGTAAACTTACAAGGAATCTTCTCCGGCGCCGCCCGCGTAAAATGATTAACCTGACCCTGATACGGCGCCCCACCACCATGCCAGAAGAACATCCACTGCAAGGCCTCATTGCGCTCCAAATCATCCTTGAACCCAAACGTGTTGTTTTTGTCCGCCACTTTTTCCAAGTACAAAATCTGGGCCGAGGACTCAATCACCGGAAACGGCGGGGACAGAGTGTTGTCGACCAGGACGGGAATCCGGCCGTTCGGATTCAAACGCAGGAACCATTCTTTTTTCTGCTCGTTGGTGCTGATGTTGATTAATGTGGTTGTCCACTCAGTACCATAGGCGTCGGCGAGTTCTTCGAGCATGATCTGGGTCGCTTGGCCATTGGGTGTGTTTTGCGTGATGAGATGTAGGCCCTTGGCGTTGGCGACGTCTTTGGGGGTTTCGGCGATGTAGAGGTTGTTGGAGGATGACATTTTGGTGGATGAGGACGAGGACGAGGCTGAAGTCGAGGTCGAGTATGAGTACGAGTTCGGGATCGAGTTCGAAGACAAGGTCGAAGTCGAGTTATACAGTCGGACTGCCAGTCGTGGTCGCGAGAACAAACTAGAACCAAAATATCTTTGTTGTTTGTAAAGTGGACGGCAATGGCACCAGCTCTTCAATTCAAGTTTCAAGCCTTGTGATGATACCGACCTGGGAAGAAACATGAAGAAACAAAACAAAGCAGAGGGGAGTTGGGATAAATATATTATATTCGACAGTAGTAGTGATCCCACCGTGATCCGATGGTCACTCTGTCGTAGGATTGCGCAATCGCCATCCCGAGCTACAAACAGATACGCGGGTTGGAGTGCCGAACTGAGGATGAATTAATAATGTAGATGAGGGGCAGGAGAATCACAAATCCATTTCTCTCAGTTGCGCGGTCACTGCTACTATACTAAAGATTACTCTCAGCTACCGGGAACAGATGTCTAGTAGGTTCCTGACTGTAGTATTGGTAAGGCCTCGCCTACGCGTACAAACTGAGGTATTCTACCTCACAGACGCTGCAGTCGTGTAGTCATGCACCTTGTAAAACGTATCATAATCAACAACTTGAATACTAAATGATGACGATGATGACGAGCTGATTAATCCCCCACCTTCCGCTCGCAACTTGAAACGGGATCTTCCCCGCCGTCGCTATCGACGGAAGCCGGTGCATGATTAATCCGACTTGTCGTACTAAATTACATAATCAGGACTTTATGACTCGGCCACCTAGGTGTCGGCGACACTGCATATGCTTGTACCGTATTTAGCCATAATCATGATACAATAATAGCAGTGTTCAAGGGGAGTCAATTCGACCAACCTCGAGTGAGAACGTTTCGCCTCGACAACTCTCGTCGATCGCTTTGATTTTAACTCCAGCCGAGAGCGGTGCCTGATCACCCTGAAACTACTAACTAGTATCCTCGTTGATACCTTAAGGTAGCTGCCGTAGACCTGTTCGTGAAATATTAACCAGAACTCCTACAAATGCCGCCACCCACCATGCTTGTATCCAGTTTTTCAAGCCCAAAATCCTTTCCTTTCGCTGGTGCCGTATCCCAACCCCTACTATAGCATCGATATCCAAATAGACATCTTCATCTGGCGAACAAATTTGGTTCAGGCTCTTCCAAGTCAAAATCGACTAACTCCAACCCCACTCCTGTTTCAATGTTTTGGCAGTCTTGCCCGTCGGCCAGCCATGCTCCTTCATCAATTTGTCCAGAATTCCCAGCAGAGCTTTCCTTTCGCCCGGATCGGAAAAGTACTCGCCGCAGACGGCGATCGCCATATATGCCTGCACCATGATGGGTTGTGAAGACGAATACGACATGGCCGTGCCACAGATCCGGATCACGATATCATGAACTTCCTCCACAATCCGCCGTTGAGCGGTGATGACTCCGGGCCCAATCCTAGGTATATTGGGATTATACACGGTCAACAGTATCCGAGCGAGATCGAGAAACATCATGCCCGTCACATGAACTTCGGCCATGTACCAGATATGAGGGAAACATTCTCCCTTGGATCGATCCGGCTCCTGGTAGTGGATGGGAGAAAACGACAGAGGCTTCACCTGGTCCCAGTGGGCTTGGTATTGGCGAAGCTCGGTCCATCGTTCACTTTGAGATCGGCTGGATCCACCGCCGCCATCGCTGGGAAAACAAAACTGCAACACATTGGCACAGTGATAGAGGTGTCGGTCGGACCATATGAAGTCCTCGGCCTCGTCGAATCCTGATAGTATAGTCCACGACGCCAACGGCAGACGGACGGAACGCTGCTTGAGAAAGGCCGTCGTGGTCTCTTGTCGAAGGGCTATTCGAAATGCCGCGTGTTGAAAGCTCTTCAGATAGGCAATGGCATTGGCTCGAATGGTGCCCGTCGCAGACCCAGGTCTCAAGTATTCGGGATTCTCCCCGTCATTCAAAAGGAAGGAATAAGGGTTTGCCTGCGCTTTGACAAACACTTGAAATGTGTGCAGAAACGTCTCGCTATCTTGTCCTGTAAACGATGTATCAATCTCCTCGTAATATCGTAGGATCACGGCTGCAGCCAAAAGGTTCTCGTCACGAACGTGCTCTGGATCACCCGACAACTTGATCAGATATGCAAGACAGGCGTTGTGGTACTTAACAGCAGTGTCTTCGGTCAAATTTGGGAGGGCGATATCTTGATACTTAACAACCCCGTTAGCAGTCCTGTACTGGGGTAACGACGCCAGGTGTCGTGAAGCTGCTGTGAAGATCGCGTTCAGTAGTGGTGGACATCGTCGTGCTCGTTGAGGCACCGAAAGGGTGAAATGACGAGCTGGATCGCCCACGTCAAACTGTATCTGTCAGTAGCCGGAACGGAAACTCGTCTGCGCCAAGTCAACACCTACCCAGGAGGCGAGATGATCAATGTAATATCGCATCAAACAGGCACATTGAGTCGTGGTGAATTTGTTCGGCCAGTAGAACTCTTCCTTCCAGATTTTCGGAGACAGCAGATCTTCTTTAGGAATGGCAGCTGCAGCAGAATCGGCCATCCGGCGATACTCGGCCTCCACCACTTTGGGCACGTACTTCTGTTCAGTAGGCATATATGAGAACCCGTCCGGGCTCGCGGGGTTGTAGACCTCGGGGGAATTATACATCCGATACTGGGACCGAATGGGGTCGTAAGGAATCCTTTGCCATGTTTCCCGTGTCTGAGGATATGGCTGGGTGACAGGGTCGGCCGTTCTCCTCCTTTTTATGGGTGAATGGCCAAACACGGTCTCGTTGCTTCCGTTGGAGGGAGATGATATACCGATACTGTCTTCAGCTGGTGCACTTTGCACGCTGGCAGGGCCCTCTGAATTGCTGGGCGGCTCGATTCGCTTCTGCCGAAGTGATACCTCATCCTGCTTTTGGTCCGGGGCGGAAGAATTGGCATTCGACACTAGCGAATCGTCTTGGGAGTAGTAGTTCTCCAGCTCTGGTCCTTGGTCGACAAATTGAAATTTCGCTGTCCACCAGTATGGTTAGAAGAAGTCATAAACAGGCGGTGTAGGGGTCACGAAGGCGGCTTGGTGGAGATTGCCGGCGACCTGCACTGCATCCTGAAGCTGTGTGACAAGGACAGATGGCGTCTGCACACGTTGTCATGAATGTGGAGGTGATGTAGATGGAACATGATATGGGAGGGAATTACAGCCGGCTGTCAACATGGCTGCCATCCAATGTTCCTTTCTGTCCCACATGCGGCGGAGACAGTCACTTTCAGGGGCCGCCTTTTTTGCGGAAAAAGGCAAGCCAAGGTTACACAAAACGTACCGTTCTTGGTTTGCTCGAGCCATGGTTGATCTTTGGAAAAAGTGGCATCATATCGGGCGCTGGAGCCGTGACGGAACTTGATCTTGCCCTTTGCCCTCCGGCACTTGCCTCCCAAGCGCTCACATTGTTTGCACCGTGGAAAAGTATCATCGCCTGAGAGAGATTAGCATAGCCCGAAAGAATTGCGAGTGGGTACGTGGCAGGGCTGAAAGAAAGACAACATTGTGTGCTGCCTCTTGTGCCACAATCAGCCCGTCGGCTCTGTGACGCACTGGCAGCTGAAATATCGACTGCAATGCATCGGACAGAATGGAAGCATTGTCAAGTCACAGCACGGGCAGAACCAGCGTCGTTCATGCTAGACTTACATTTCAGATGGCGCTCTAGAAAACATAACAGTCCGGTCAATACAGGGCCATGATTAGCCACGCAAGCTGACGGGAGACATACCTCGACACTCTTGACATGGGTCCTCGATTTTATCCCGCATGGATTCGAGGCGAGACAGGCGGCCAGCAGGTAGGACGAGCAAGAAGGGACAGAGACAATGCTGCAGTCAGGAGATCATGGTCGTGTCAAGTCAAAGGAGTAGTTGCCATTATTGCACCACAGAGGCAAGTTGATGAAATAAAAGTGCCAGATGCCAAACTGGATGGATGCCCAAGTCAGCAAATGGGACGGCGCCAGGATGAGGTTGACCCTGGATTCTCAGCCCCGCGTTTCGCCGGGCCTGGAACCGACCTTTTGCGCGCTGTCTGTGATGTGGATGTTCGATGTCGGTCAGATTGACGTTGTGTGAGAGGCGCTGCGTGATGGGCGTGTGATGAACACCAGTCTCTCAGGCAAAGGATTCGCTCGCTTCGGGCTGGACACCGACACTGCAAAATTTGAACTCTACCTTAGCTACTAGTACCAGAACAGCAGTGCTTCAATTGGGGTTCCCGGAGTCTCACAAAAGGACGGGGCACAAAGCCTATTTTACTAGTCTTGATCCTCGCTACGGAAGCTCCGGTGGCAGGCCGGGGATAGAGATGGGCGTTGAAGCTTCCCTATACCTGGTAAGTATAGGTGCCCCTCAGCTGTGTCGAATAATAATAGGTAGCCATGTGTGCCCGAAGCAGGGTCTTTTTTAGGCTGTGTTTAACATCCGAGTCTGGGTTGGGCACCGAGTTGGGCACCTGACTTGCTTATACATTGTCTATCTGCTTACTAAGCCCCTCCAGACAAGGCCACTCCTCTTCAAGTTGTGCAGAGCCTCAGCTTGTTAGATTGCTCACCCGCTCCATGTATTGAACGATCTGCAAGTCGTGTCCGCCACTGCACTGGCACCGTATAGATTGTGTCTTCGGCTAAATCATGCTCTTTCCACAAGTCCACCCCAGCACCCAACACCCACTGCCAGTGAGGCATTGCCTGCCCTGCCGGTCAAAGTCTTGCGGCGCTCGCTCACATCAGAACCACAGACATGGCATCCGCACTTTGCAAACGAGCAAGGCGCAGGTAACCAAGGGCACTCTCTTATCTCAGTATTCATACACTGGAGCCTTGAAAAGAACATTGACAGAAGACTGGTTGATTCCTCCTGCGGCAGATCCAGATTCCTTGCCCGAGCCACCGCTGCCACCAGTATTAGATCCTGGGCCTTTGCCACGTACCTCGACAGCAAGAAACGCGGCAAACCGGATCCGGCCTTCATTTGCACCTGGGGCATGCCCCGGTGGTGCAGACTCGACGGCCGTGCTCTCTCTGACATTTCCACGTTGCTCATCGTTGTGGACATTTGCATCGCCACCTGCACTGCGGTTATCGTTGCGCGTGGACGATGTCTTCTTCCCCACAAATCCTCCCAAGAAGCTGGATTTCTTAGACTGCTTCTCCTCCTGGTTCTTGATGGTAGCTTGACTGCTTTGGCTGGCCACACTATCGTTCCGCGTTTGCGGCCCACTAGAAGCTCCACTGCCACCCTGTGCCGCTGTTTGCAAGGCGGCTTTGCCTGCAGCCTCTCGAATTTCAGCCTCGACATCTCGCTCGCGAGGTCCGTCTTCTGTACTTGCCATACTTATGCTGTCGCCCTCCCTACCATCTGGCTTTGTTTGTGACTGCGCGGCAGCCACGCGCTCATGTACGCCGGGGTTGGTCAACTGTGGAAGCGACTGCTCGACTTTCATGTATGTTTCGTTGATCGGGGTGCCGGGCATAAAGTATTCCACACAGATGTCCCGAGACTCGAGAGGTATATTTGCCGCGATACCGACCGCCTGGCCAACAACTATGTTGACACTTTCGCTCAACCCAGGAGGGGGTGGGTCGGTGAGATTAGATTTGAGTGATTCCGTGAGCTGGTGAGTGAGAATGTTCGTTAAGTTCTGCGTATACTGTTCGGCCTGTGGTGAATTGAGCACATCCTGCAGCCCTTCAATGGTGGTCAATCGCCAGGCGGTGATTTTTGTAGTAAGATCGTCACGCTGTTCGTCCGTCAAGAAACCATTCTGTCCTGAGCGTCTCAGGTTCCGCTCCAGATTCTTCAACTGGGCTGACAACGTCGGATCAATGCCAGGGTGGAATATACTTTGGAAAATACTTTCATACAGCCAGCGGGTAATGCACGTTCGGCCGATGGCGGTCATTTCCTTGGTTCCCACTGTATGCGCATCTTGATTACAGACATGCCGGAGCCAGGAGGGGATGGCACGCCAGTTTTTGCGGATATTGAAGGAGAGGTTGTTGATGGCTTGACTCAGTCTCTCGAATCTGGCCGTGTATTGCGCGTCGTCTAAAGAGGTCCGTGACATGGACAGACGTTGGGTGGCGACGGTGTTCTGTAGCTGAGTCACTTGTGCCTCTCGCTCAAAATAATACCGCTTGACCTTGGAGTATTTGGCTTGTAGTTGTTCATGCTGTTGAAGGAGCTGGTGATAATCGAGTTGGCTGACATCTTCCCTGCTCCTGGGCGGGGGAGTACTCCTTCCTTGCTCGGGATTTTTCTGTGCCGTCCTCACCCGGGGATCTTGCTGGCTTTGATACTGGGAGTGTTCCTCGGTGCGGGTGTCCCGCTGCGAAAGTTGTGGGCGAAGACCTCCGTTGGGTGGCTCGCCGCGTGCCATAACAGCCTGCTGCGGCTGCTGTTGGTGTTGTTGTGCCTGAGCCTGGCTTGTGGACTGGACAGAGTATCTGTCGGTCGCACCCGTTGAGGGGCGGGAATCTTGAGACTGGGTATGCGGACCGGCAGTCACAGGAGAGGGCGGTCCTAGTGAAGCCTGTGAAGGGGGACGAAGGTGCTGGTGTGGGTCAGGCTCCGCGTTACTTGATCTAGAGGGAGGCTTTTGATATGGTAAATAGTGTTCCGATTGACTGGGAGATTCAGTTGGTCGGTGATATGCTTGGTATTCCTCCTGTCGTGGACTGAATTGAGGGACGTCCTCAGCGTAGTCGACCGACTGATGAGTAGCCTGGCTCTGGGGAGAGTCGAATTGACGCTGGTTCCTTTGGTACTGCTCGTACTGTGCCTGACCGGAGGTCTGGTTTGGAGATGCCAGGTCGGCGCCTGGCCAAAACCCGGAATGTCTTGTTTGAGACTGTGGTGAGGTCTGTTTTGAGTACGACTCCTGGTCGGATAGATGAGACTTTCGCAGCAGATGTACAGAGCTCGAGCGACCGATCTTGCGTTCAGACTGAACGTTTTCCTTATCCTTCTCTTTTTCCTTCTCTTCGTCCTTGGACTTGTCCTTGATGAGCCCTGAAATGAAGCTGCGTTTGGACTTCTTATGATCTTTCTCCCGATCGGACCGCACGTGTCTCGACTGACCAAACGTTGTCTGGCCTGGCACGGGCTCCGGGCCTTCAGGCACTGCAGCGGGGGGTGACAGAGGTGGTACAATGTTCACGCTGGGCCGCTGCGCGCCATACACTTCGCTGGAGGAGGGGATGCGACTGCTTTGGCTGCGACTGAGATGTTGGCCGCGATAAGGCTGAGTCTGAGGCTGGGACTCTTGGAACTGGTACTGGTTGAGGTTATCGTCCTGTGGCTGCTGGTTGTAGCGTTCAGGGGTCAGGTCGAATTGGGACCCGCCGTAGAGGCCGCTGTGCGGGTGTTGAGAATGGTGGGAGTGGGAGTGGGCTTGGGCCGCCTCGGGCTGCTCAGGGCCGCGATCTTCGAGGGAGGCCTGCGACTTGTTGGACTTGAACAGCCGCATTGAACACGCATCCGCCTGGAGAGACGGGATGGACGGATGATACAGATGTCGCCTTGAACCGATAGTAGGATGGCATCCGCGCAAAAGGACTCAGACGTCAAAGAACGTAAGGACGGGGAAAGGGTGTCAGCCCAACCTGCCACGGACGGCGCGGCTAGTACCAAGCCAGCCTACAACAATAATGGATGAGACGACTCAAGCGGGTTCCAAGTTGTTTATAGGCTTCCGAACAAGCCCTCGGCCCTCTCCCCGCCAATGTTGCTTCAAATAGAGTGCGCCCACCAATGATGGCAATGGAGACGAGGCTTGTGTGTTCTAGCTACTCGATAGACGCCCTGTAGTAAGCTTCCACTTCAGGCGTCTCAGGCTGACTCTCACATCAATCACCATTATTGAAATCCGCTGTGATGAGAGTCAAGGACCTTGAGGAATTAGCCCGGTCCACGTGCATCCCAAGCACCCATCTACAACATTGTACCTGATACAGTTATGTGGAATGTGTGGAGATTCCCAAGGCACAAATGCCACCACTAGCCAGCCCGTGGTCCACGCGCCGCTTGTCTCTACCTACGCTTGTTATTGCTTGGCCCTAATCGGCCGCCAGGGATGTTGTCCGCTGTACACAGCTTCACTCTTCCGGGCAAAGCCTCATCTTATACAGCTTCGGAACTGCGTCAAGGTTCAGGCGGTGGGCTTGAGGCGAAGAGGCTGCATCAGCGAGGGGTTGGTAAAAACCAGGAGATACTCGGGCCTCCGATTGTTTGAGTCGGACATGGGAATTCTCGAGCGCGGCATCACCCGGGCCTCAGACAAGTTCGTCAGGTAGTGCTGCTGCTCTATTTTTGTTTCGCCGCCAATGATGCGTGTGGGCACCCGAGTGCTTTGACCGCCGTGTATGTTGCCGTCTTGACCAGCAAAGCTGTGATGTCGTCGCGCTTGCGAAGCATTTCATGAATCATACATCAAGATCACTCTTCAGGTGATCGTTGGCTTGGTCAGCTCATTCACCCTCATCCTCGAAAGAAGGCAGTATCACTTCCCAGCCGGGATCTTCGTCAAGTTCGACGTCAGGTGTACCGTCTTCCAAGCTCATTTCCTGGTCGGCGCCTGCTTTCGTCGCTGGTTTGATCCGGTATGCCACCCATGAGCCGTCGGTCAATCCAGCACCCAAGGGGCTTTCATTGAGCACACTCTTAGAACCCCCGATCTTCTTCTTGCCACCCCTAGGCCCCGTAACTTCCTGCTCCTTGATGTCTATCGGTACCCAGCCTTTCGATGGATCTCTCTTATCGGCAAGTACACCAAATTCCAGAGCTTCGGGATCTTCTGGTAGTGGAATTGCGGAGTTGGGGAGAGTAGTGATATTTCGTGACTGGAGCGCGGCGATGAGGAGTGCTTTGATTTCGTTGAAGGGAGTGGTGGGAAGAACCGACAGAACGGTGGTGGATTTGTGGCACTTGAATAGTAGAGTGATCATATCAGGTGTCGGCAGTGCTGCCAAATCTTCGGCGGAAACCATAATGCACGATATGGGGGTGCTATCGCGTCTCATGCAGTTATAACTTTTAAGTGCAAAAGCGAGATAAGGTTAGTTTTGATGCTCGCGTTGTGAAGTTCAAGTGGCAGTATTCGACCAAAGTCAGAAAACGCGGATGACGCGCTTGCGGGCGGAGAACAGAAAATCACCTGCAGGGTCCTTGGTTTTGGCGGAGACCAAACGCTCACAAGTTTGTTGCAGCTTCAAGTTTATCCAAACTCCGCCTGCCCAAATTCATGTAGACTGCAACATGGTGCCTTGAGTGCCAAGTAGTCATATCTTTTGACTAACGACTTAAACATCTTGATATCTAAGGATAGCTAGATGGCGCCAGGTGCACTCCACGGTCGTGATTGAGGAAATTGTACCACCGCAGCCAGCAACGAGAGCTTTGGAGCCATTCCAGCATGTGGCCTTTCAATTCTTCACAAAATGTCGGGAAAGACGATGCAGCTACTTCCACGATCATACAGTCAGAACCCCCGACCAGCCAGGTTCAGCCAGTGTCGGAGCCTGAGCCGGAACCCGTAACGACAGAGTCACCTGTTGGGTTTACGGGCTGGCCGAACGAGCGACTGTCCATTCCCTTTGTACTCCGAGCCCCTACCCTTATGATGGCATCGTTTGGGTGCGGCTTCATTCTGGGCTCCTCTCAGGGGGCGACCAAGGGCGCATACCGGTATCGTGCTGAGAACGCCCATCGCCTGCCTACCACTCAAACAGGATGGTTCCTTTACCAGAAGTCTAAGAATTACCACGCTATGCTCTCTGGGATAAAGGAAGGCAGTAGGTTCGGGGCTGTATGCATGGGATGGGCAACACTGTTCATGGTCACTGAAGAGATGGTGGACTTATCAAGGACCAGACTTTTGGCACGAAAGGGCGAAGACGTAGCGACGGGACAACGGGACGCAGGAAGCACTGTCATCGCTGGAATGACCCTGGCAGGGTTCTATAGCTGGAAAAGAGGGCTGGATCATTTTGCGGCTGCTCGGACAGCAAGGGCGGCATTCAAATTCTCCCTGGCATACGGCTTGCTACAGGATTTAATGGCCACGATCAGAGGGAACCCTCCAGCCTATATCGCTTGGCTTCAAGGAAAGATGGTCCACCAAGAGAGACTTGGGAGCGTCGACTGATCCACCTCAACAAATGGGGCTCTCACAGGCCGGTACGCCGGTATCATTTACAGGACGGCATGAATGTCAGGATGGTCGACCACAATCTAGGTTGTACGGTCAAGCTGTGGGGTGGAGAACGTGTTACACAGCATGTACACTTGTCTCGAAGTAAGCTTTGGGCGGAGCCATACTGCCCTTTCAACCGGGTCCAAGTCTCTGGAGCAATGAGAACTGCGTCTCTGCACGTCGGCCTGCGGGACTTGAATGTGCCACGGCATCCCACGACTGACACACTCACATCGACCACTCTGAGAAGCCTGCCCGAGGTGCATAATCGCCTTATGTGTTGTGTCCCAGGAACTGGAGCATCGATGCTGATTCAGATGTCTTCAATATGCCGTCCCTCCCAACGGTGATATTGAGAAACAAGAGATTACACGCACAAGTTCACTGGGCCAGTCGGAGCAGCTCAGCTACGCGAATGGATTTCTCTATGGGCTTTCTATTCTTTAGTGGCCCAGCGCAGGATATTTTCCCACTGAAATGGGTCAGCTGGGAAGAATAGTTCCTTCGTCCACGAGGCTTCTATGTGGGTTCTCTGGGTCTTCCAAGCCCAGTGCCTTCAGGATTACCGACCAACACTCTGATGACGCAGGCTTTGCGGGCAAACACACTGCCAGTACCGCTGCCTGCTAGGTATCTACGGCCAGTGCTGCATGGCCTAAGTAACCATCTGTTGTCAAGTTTGGCTGCAGCTGTTGCCGCCAGCGGTCGATATTGTTTCCCCTGGCAGGAGACGACGGAGAATTGTCGAACCTTTAAAAATAGACCTATCAGACAGCTCTGTATAAGGCCGCTGGGAAGCTTCGCAAGCATACTATATTTAATAATATACTCTCTGGAGTTGGTTTCCCTGGCATGTGCCACAAGCAGTCGGGGCCTTCGGTTACACTGCACGCCTTGACCACACGCGCATGGAAAAGTACTTTGCCATAAATGCACCTACCAGAATGTGTTTGGTGCACGTCGCACAAGGCCACCCTCGTTCTATACTCATTGCCATACTATAGGCACCTAGATAGGTATTCTACCGGTACAGTTGTGCTACTGCCCATGTGCAGGTCGATTGCTTGCGCGAGTCTTTTCCTGTGATGTTATTCCTCAGCGATCTTCTACCGCGTGGATGTTGTCAAGGTGTTACAGACAATGCATTACCTAGGTAGTTAAGGCTTTAACCACCAATTTAGCAATTATGGACAGCCTGCTGTGGAGTTCGCGATGCAGCCCCCTGTAAGCTCCCAGAGGGTTTCGATTTCCTGCAGTGAATGAAGCGGCAGCAGCCATTGCATGCGCACCACCACCACCACCACTACTACCACTACTACCACGGTGCTACCACTACTTACTACTAGCACCCACACTGCAGATGGACGCGGGACCAACGGCTGCGGGAGTCAAACCATCTTTCTCGCTTCCACGCTTCAGTTCCACGTTTTGATTGTCCATGTCCACACACCCGATACCTTGTTCTGCCCGGTGCTGGACACCTGCGAGATTTGTTCCTTCACCTTAAATTTGGACGGGCTCCAGTAGTAGATTGCTGTGGCTCGGACCAGTTGACGCAAGACCGAAGACGTTATACCTTACGCCCCTACCAGTACCAGACCTCCGCGACCCATCCGGCGGCTCTCCCCGCCTCGCACGACAGAAGACAAGTCGTTTCGTTGGTCTGTCTCCATACTATTACCTAGTGCTGCCGGCCGCCCTCATCTGCAGCCAAACCACGGTGCTCCAACGGCGTGTGCCATTAAACAGGACGATTTACAATAAGTCAAGAACATACCTACACAGAGCTGAGCAAGGTAGTCTTGCAAGACTGCTGGAGCTTTCAGATTTCCCCTTCCAGCCGACGGACTCCTCTACGTGGGCAGAAGACTGTATCTCCCACCAGCGACAATGGGCTGAGGAATCCCGCCCGCAAGAGCAGCAGTTCTTCTGGCGTGGACACGCGCTCGCTCAAGGTCACTTACTACTGCGAAAAGATGCGGCGGCATCATGGACGGACTATGTCTCCCTATCATGGGAAGACGGCGACCCCTCCATCCGCAGACGTTTCGTTGGTCCGCAGCTTTGACTCTCAAGTCAATCCATCACGACCTGTCAGGCAATCTCCTTTGGCGACCTCTCAGATCCAAGGCATGCCACTGGACCTGATCGAGCGCATACGTTCGTTTCCCTTGTTTCAATCCACTCCCGACAGTTTCCTCGTCGACATTGGCCTACTCCTCAAACCCCAGCTTCATAGTTCGAACGACTACATCATTACCGAAGGTGAAGATGCAAAAGCCATGTACTGGTTGGTAAGAGGAGCGGTTGCAGTTACGTCGCGCGATGGCGAGAGCACCTACGCTGAGTTAAAGCCCGGTGCTTTCTTTGGCGAAATCGGCATCCTGATGGAACGGCCACGAACAGCCACCGTTGTGGCGCGCACACGATGTCTGGTTCTGGTGTTGAAAAAGGAGGATTTGACAAAGATATTGCCGAAATACCCCGAAGTGGAACGTGCTATTCGAGACGAGGCCTTGGAAAGATTGACACAATTGGAAAAGAAGAAGAGACAGGTACTGCTCGGGACTGAAGATTTACCAACCAACGAAAGAAGAGGGTCCAAGAGACGAGCCGCGTTTGGAGAGGATGTGCTTATGGATGATGGTGATCACGGTGCTGCCGGCGCGAGCAAGAGACGCAAATCTCCAAGTCCAGGGACCAACGAAGTGTCATCGGCCAGTGCTCTGGGACATGGCCTGGTCAATATCAGGGCGACATTGAAAGAGTTTCCGCTTTTTGCTTCTTTGCCTGCGGATATTCTTCACTTCCTGGGACTCAATGCGCAGCCGAGGAGTTTTCCGCCGTTTACAGACATCATCAAGCAAGGGACCCGGGGGCGGGAGATCTATTTTATTGTTCGGGGTGAGGTCGAGGTCTTGGATGAGAAGAACCCCACAACTCCGAAAGCTGGCCAACCCCCAGTGCCCCAGGATAGCATACCACCCACTCCACGGGTCAAGGCTCGTCTTCGAGCTGGGCAATACTTTGGTGAGGTTGTCAGTCTGTCACTGGCCGACCGCCGCACTGCGACTGTACGCTCCGTCACTCAGGTCGAGTGCCTCATGATCTCTGAGAACGTGCTGTCCGACTTCTGGTCTCGATGTCCTGCCGAGATCCTGCAGCAGATTGAGAAAACAGCCAAGGAGAGGTTAGGCACATCTTCAGAAATGGACATCGTCATGAATGACACGGACAACGAACCCAGTATTCACCAATTGGCAATTGGCGAGTCCAAAAGCAAAGCCCAAAAGAAAATCAACCAAGCCCCGCGCGTCACATTCACGGAAGCAGAGCTGGGTACGCCTCTGCAGTCTGGGCCGACGGACGAATCCGTTCCAGTAGAGCCAATTGACCCCGATCCATACCTTGATGAAGGGCTGGAAAAGGTTAAGTCGCGGTCAAGAAGGGGGTCGCTTGCTCCTCCACCACCAGACGAGACTGCTGCTGAACAAAGACGGCGCTCTCCCAGAACATCCCCTGCCACGACGGCCAGTGCATCCCCACGAAGTTCCATGTCTACAGCATCGTCGCCGACATTGGAGCACAAAGGGTCGGCGTTTCCCTTCTCCGATCCTTTTGCTTCTTCAGGTGGGCGGGCTAGATCTCGGGCGGAGTCCAATCGCGGGCTCAATCGAGGCACCATTCCCGACAACGTGTTGCCATGGATTTTTGAACATCTTGAACTACACGAATTAATGCGTTTACAAGTGGTGTCATTACACTGGCAAAATGTACTCACTACCGCACCTACCCTGTTACACTATCTTGATCTGTCACGTTATAATCGAAAAGTTACCAACTCTATTCTTATCAACCGGATCTGTCCGTTCGTGGGCGAACGACCGCGCTTCGTGGACATCAGCAACTGTTTTCACATCACGGATGAAGGGTTCAGTGCTCTGGTCAACACCTGTGGCCGCAACGTCGAGACTTGGCGGATGAAGAGTGTATGGGATGTGACCGCGCCAGCCATCCTGGAGATGGCCAACAAGGCGCCCGGATTGAAAGAGGTCGACTTCAGCAATTGCCGTAAGGTTAGCGATACATTGTTGGCAAGGATCGTCGGTTGGGTCATACCAGCGCAACCTCTTGTACCCCCGAATCGAGCCAAGTTGATCTCGCGTCCGGTCATCAACACGAAGACAGGCACTCCCATGGCACCTCCGGCCCCTGGGACCGTGATCGGTTGTCCTGAGCTTAAGGCCATGACTTTGAGCTATTGCAAACATGTCACGGACCGCACCATGGCTCATATCGCCACTCACGCTCATAGCCGAATCGAGTCTATCGATTTGACACGGTGTACGACCATCACCGACGCAGGCTTTCAATTTTGGGGAAATGTCAAGTTCGAAAGACTCAGGAAGCTTTGTTTGGCCGACTGCACGTACTTGAGTGACCAGAGCATTGTCTGGTTGGTGAATGGGGCCGGAAGCAGTCTGAGACAATTGGACCTGGTAAGTGTGAACCTTTTTCCCTCCTTTTTCTCCAAAGTCGAAAAGCTAATTTTTGATTTTGTCGCAGTCCTTCTGTTGTGCCCTTTCCGATACAGCAACCGAGGTTCTGGCGCTGGGATGTCCCAACTTGACGCACCTTAACCTCTCGTTCTGTGGCAGTGCGGTTTCCGACCCTAGCCTGAGATCAATCGGTCTCCATCTGACATCGTTGAAAGAACTCGCCGTTCGAGGCTGCGTCCGTGTCACAGGGCTCGGTGTCCAGAGCGTTGTCGAGGGATGTCCAAAACTCCAGCTTTTAGACGTCAGCCAGTGTAAGAACTTGCAGCCATGGCTTGTTGCCGGCGGCGTTGAGCGGTGGCGTTCGGCTGGCCGGGACATTGAATTTGTCACAGTCAGCACGGGAACAAAATTGGTGCGCTGAAGAGTTGTGTTTTGAAATGACAGTGCACGATGATTTGAGCCAACATCTATCTACTTCAGTGGACATATTTTGCAAAAATTTACACCACAGGTGAAATGAGATACCAAAGCGATCGATATAATTGATGGTGTTGATGGGAACGCAAGATGAGGGAAACAACAGGTGTTACCAGTGACGACGAGATTTTTTCTGGGGCTATAAGCGGTGTCAGAGTGGACAAAGAGGTTTGTCATGAATTTGGAAAGAAATGCCGAAGTGGTTGAAAGACAGGAGGACTCTTTTTGCTCTGTTCAGAGGTCTCGACAGGCATATTTATGATACATTGTGGGTGAGAGGGTGTGTCACTCTGAACCCTTCGCGGGAAAACACAGTGTGATCGGTACTATGACCAGGCTTCAGAGTGTGGAAGTTATGGAAGTTATGGAAGTCCACGACATTTGGGCCAGCCTGTGTGTTTTTGACGAAGGCTCAGATTCCTTTTCGACCTGGGCCGCCGCTCCGGGTCTTGAAATTCGTGGTTCGGGAGACGAAACGTTGTGTGGGTCTCTTTTTTTCTCTATTGGTGCTGGTGCAAAGGAAGTGGAAATGGAAACAGATACCCCCATCCGTTTTGTTGGATTCAGTTGACATGGAATGATATTCAATTTTCAGTTCATTACCTTTTTATTGTACGTTCTCGTATGGATTCGCGCATTTGCCAGTGGTGAACCAGAAAAATACACCAATGCCATGCTGCCTTTCTTTGTCATCCTCTGCGATCACGCTAAGGGAAGCAAGCACAAAGAGGTATCATCATGTCGTTGAGAACGTGACCCCCCAGAAAAGCTGTCGGAGTCTCCTTCTTGGTTTATCATCTATACATGTACAAATGGAGTACAGTTCTGTGGTCCCCTTGGGTGAATTTACAATTTACAGCAAGCCATGATGTGTGCATGTCTGGACGCAACCTCCGTCTCTTCACTTCACGCCTGAGTGTGACCATGTCCACCTTTCCGTTGAAGCCCATCCCTGCCTAACCCAACACCCTTGGCACGAGCATCAACAACAGCCTCAAGACATCTACCCACCCCCTCCAAATCACCCAGCAGTCCCACATGGCCACGAGCGGATTCGACCCTCCCGCCCTTGACGCAGCGGTACCCTTCCGGCAACTGAGCGGCGCTAGCCAGCACGACGCCATCACCAGCCGCAAACGCGAGATCGTCGTAAGCATCATCATACTTGATTGCTTCTTTATTGGTTACTCGTGCGCCGTAGACCGTGGGAACCGTTTTGCCGAAAATGAATCCATGCGGCGGATACAGATTACCGTCTTGATGGGCCGGGTTGAACTTCAACTGTTGCTTGAATGTTCGGACTTCGCGCAACGTCCGGCCGAGATATTCCATCGCCGCGTCCTTGGGGATAGTGCATGCCGTGGCGACGGATGGGCGGTGTTGAGAGGATTGTGATTGTTGCGACTGTTTCATGGTGGGTCCGACGACTTCTTCGCCGGGGTCCTCGACGGCGCGGATTGCGTCGGCGAGACGTTGGTTGGCGTTGGCGGTCGATAACATTGTTTGTTGGTGTGAGATATTACCTCCATTACCATCACCTCTGCCGCTAGCACCGCTACCACTACCGCCACCACCTCCTCCGGCTCCGGCTCCGGCCCGTTTGCTCGAAGACGAAATGATAGTCTCCGAAAGAGCACCCATCAGAGTCTTCCGTCGCTCAGGGTGGCGATGATGCCGATGCAAAGGCGGATTAACACAAGGAGACAGTCGATACTCGTCCCAGACTGTAGGATCGAAGAAATCCAGGTCGTATCGTTCATTAGTTTGTTTTTGTAGGAAGCACCGTCCGTCTTCTGGTAATAGAGCGAAGCTGGTCCGAAAAGTAAAGTTGACCTGCGCAGTGAGGACCCTGGAACTGAGAAGGACGTCGTCACCGTTTCGTAGTGGACCAAGGATGTTGACGCAGTGTTGAGGCACTCCTGCATATACCACGCCGGCAAATAAATCTGGTCGGAGGTTGACTGCATGTCGTGTGATAAGCCCTCCGAGGCTGTGGGCGATAACGGTCGCTCCTCGCTTCTCCGGCGGTGTGTCCGGTTGGTTGCATTCCAGCGACTCCAAGAATTTGATCAGTCTGCTGCTGAGTAGATCGGGACTCAGGCGCCAGTCGTATCCCCATTCGTGCACGCGGAGTTGATTGGCTCGGGCGTTGGGACACTTCCTCATGTGTCTGAGTAGTCGGCGACATATGTCGATTGGTCCAATATGAGACAATATGCCTCCCGGAATCACCGTTTCTTCCATCTTGAGTTCGTCTTCTCGCGTTAAACCTACCTCCAGGTCGACTTTGCGGAGATTAAACCCAACTTTCAAGGGTACCCATAGTTGACGATGAGGAGGCTGGGCGGATCTCAAGATCGAACCTCGGTATCCACCCAGAACGACAATGTCGCCGGTTGTTTTGGATAAGGCTCGATGGAGGATGGGATGTGCCCGTTGCTGTGCCGTTTCTGCCTGAAGAGTTGGTGCTTGCTTCTTGGTTATGTGTGCCTGTCCCTCACTGTCTGAGATGATGGCGTCCATATGCCCTTCTTCCGGCGAGTGGCGAAGCTTAGGGATAGGTCGTATTATAGGCAGTCTGGGCAGCCGCAACGACGAGTTTTGGAAGCTGTCGGTAATCGCCTTGAAGCGTGAATTGGCCATTTCCGTGACATCGGCGAAGGCATTGATGTCGTCGTACGTGGAGGCCCCGGTCACCTTCTTCATCAAGTATATAGAGCTTTCGGAGTTTGAACGAGGGCGGCCCAAAGTGGGTGCTGGACTAATTGGCGACAGTAGGGATAGGTCTTTGCCATCGGGTCTCGGGGGTGGAGTTGCTGGACGAACGAGTCTGTCGGAACCAGTGCTGGTAGAGCAGACTTTTTCGAAATCCTGCGCCTCAGCTGGTTCCTGCAACAGCCAACGAAATCTCGTAGGTTTCCCAGCTGGAGACGACGGGGAATCTGGCTGATCTACACGGTCGGCATTGCTCGCATTTTTGCTGCCGAATGGTAGGAGAGATATCGAACTTCGATTGAAGGAGGGTGACGGTAAATCCGGCAGCATTTTTCGTATGCTGGAGAATACTGCGGTAGGGCCTGAAGAGGAACGACCTCTTCGATTGCTCTCGGCTGTTGCCAGGAATGCCCTTGCAATCGACCGTCCTTGCGATAAAAAGTTCTGGCTTTCTCCTTTTGCCGGAACATCAACCTCGTTTTCAAGGCGGTCCTGAAGCGGTACAGGCCGGGATACTCCGACGCGTGACGGCTCTGCATTACCATTCTGCCGCCGCTCAACTTTACCCAATGCGTGCCGACCAGACGTAGGGGTTGCATATTCGGCCTGGCCTTCATTGATTTCCTGTTCGTCGGAGACAAGAGAGTCTGTCGATGACAATGTGTTGTCTTGACGTTCGACTAGTTTATCTGGAGAGGCAGATCTCTCGCCGTCCAGAAAGCGCGGGACAGGCTTTGAGCCGTCATCTACCGCTTCCGCTTCCTGTTGATCGTCGCTCTCATTTTGTTCTTCGGTCGATGTGAGGATATGGTTGAACGACTCCAGGGGTAAATTCAAAGCTCTCGCCTTCTCCACAATCTCTGTTTCCGGAGCCCGCATATGCGTCTGCGCTCGACTGATGCTGACTCCGACGATGTCCTCATCGTGAAGGTCCTGAGGCTCGAGTTCAGGCTCGGAGCTCTCACTGCCGTCTGCAGTCTCGATTGCCGCTTCGGGTCCATGGTCATTGGTAAGCGGAACCAGATCACTTTCAAGCTTCTGACCTTGACTAGCAACGTGGTCTTCTGCCCCGGTGGAACGGATAGTATCCATCGTGCATTCGCATATTCATCAACTGATCATAAGGAAGTAGTAAGCACGGCTGTTGATGCCTGACTAGAATGTCCTACAGACTGCTATGCAGCTGACTTAGGCCCCCGGATCTTGGGGCTGTGGGCGATCGGATCATGAACCGGAAATTAGTGCTTACTCGTGCTCGTTCCTGTGGTGGAGCCTGCTCAGGAACGGTAATCTGATGACAAGGACTGTTGTTCTGGAATCAAATACGAGATGGGAGATATCATCTGGTTACGGGAAGACACAGTTCCTCCACTGTAAGCTCAGACGATAGAGCGATATGGAGAGGATGAACAAGTAATGAAAGAAACATAAATGGGGCTGACGGTTGAAGTTGCGCAGAGGCATAAAAGGTGCGTCCGGAGGAGGCGGAAGGATGATGGTCATTGTGCTGCACTAAATTTTGAGGACGCAATAGAGTGGGCATAAATGTGCCGCCTTGTCCGACCGAGGCAAACACTGTCCTGCATCGAAGACCGAATTCCTTTGTAGATCCCGGAGAGCTGGAATTGACATTTGGTTGTAGACAGTTCTAGGTTGCGACGTTTAAAAAAGATGTAAAGGAAGCCATGGAGACGGTAGCGAAGATTCTCTGGTTTATGCCGGACTCAGAGTGCATGGCTGGGTTCACAATTACCTGCTTTATGCAAGAGTGATTAAGGACCAAGATAAGCTTATCCGATAAGCGACAGTCTAGTGCATGCTAGTCCAGCACTAAGCCATCTTAAGTTGATAAAGACAATCTGGTTACGATCATTGTCTTTTGACCTACATCCCAGGTACCGCACAGCATGAATGCCAGCCGCATACACTGTTGAATCTGCAACGAAGCAGACGATGTTCAACCAACGCTCACATCTGTCATGGAAAGTCATGCTGTCACTCCGACTGCAGTTCACTCTGATCAAGCAGCAGCATTAACCAGTTTCACTGACCTCTGTCAAAGCAGAGATGCAGCTTCACTTCAACAACCATGTCGATGCTTCCCACACATCAACGCCTCAAGCTAATCCCTCAAACGCGTGTTGACATGTTCACTTTAACCGTGGGGAGCAAACGTGGTAGACGGCGCAATATAAAATCTCGAGCTCCTGCCCAACTGCTCGATAACCTAGCCGCCATGCCAACTTCGCCTGATCGGCAGCGAACCTTTCCAACATCTTGGACATGAGCAGACAAGTCCCCAGGCTACGGCTATTTGGTGGCGACCACCGATCAACTGTCTGGTTCGGTCTGGCCAGGCTCCTGATGCCCGATGAATACAGGCGTGTGGAGGCCATCCGGCGAAGCAGACGAGAAAGGGCGAAGCGAGAAAAGGAAAAAGCCGTAGCAGAAGAGGCAAGCGCTGGCGAAGACGCCGGTGGCGTCACCGCAATGGATGCCAACGCTGCCACTGGTGGCGAGAGCACTAACGGTGCAGATAATGCTGCCGTTCGCAGTGACGCTGGCGGTGGCGCCGAGGGTAACGATGGCGGAGATAAAGCTGACGAGCCTTCGGCTGACGGCACTCCAGAGGGCGCAGAAGAACCAGACAATCATCAAGATCACAACTCCGACGGGGAGCCGGTAGAACATGGAGCTGCCCCGTCTGATACAGGCGACCTCCCACGAGCAGAACCCTCTGATGACCAGGGTACAAGCCGCAATGGCAATGACACCGAACCTGATGGCACAGGCGAGCAACCACCGAGTCAACATGGGTCAGGTTCCGCTCTCGGTGGAAATCGAGACAAAACAAACGGTGAGGTCGAACGTGGTGTGGTGAAGAAACAGGGTTCCTCGAGGGCGTCAACGCCACTCGGCGCTCCATCCTCCCGGCGGTCATCAAGAGCCTCGTCAATGCTTCGCGCACAGTCTGTATCGTCCTCCACCACATTGGCACCAGATCTATCGACAACACCAGGTAGCCAAGTCAGGGCGCGGACGGCAGGGCGCTCCGGTCACTCGAGTTCTCCAGCCGACCAACAGTCATCCGCGTCTCGTCATCGCACGCGAGCAACAGCGTCAACAGGTTCTTCTCGACGAACCTCTGCCACCGGTGGTACAATATCTCATACACGAGCTCGCAAGTCTCAACACAGTTCGTCTAATTCTCGCATATTGACAAGTCAACAAGGATCATCGCCGCCATCGCCGCAAGCAGTCCAAATCCCTCCTGGCACATCTTGGGAGTGGCCACCCCATACACATTTCCAGAACCGGGCCCGAGCCCACGGTTCGCCGGATCGTGCTTCAGGGACGGCAGTACCTTCCCACCCCCTCATGGCATACCAATACCACTCTGTGCTGGTTGGTCAAGACCAACATCACGGATACACGTACCATCGACAGATGATGCAGTACCAACAGGGACATGGACATTCATTGTACATGGCTGCCGAAACAATGCAGTTCGGCCCATCATCGGTTCCAGCCTATGCTGCCGTTCCTGCACTACACCACCCCGAGCAGTTCTATCGTAGGTGAACCCAGACTCGTGGCTCTACGCATCTATGGATTCCATGGATTCTATCATTGAAGCCAAATGAGAAGTTGTCGACTAGCACAATCATGGGAGATGAGGCTAGCAAGACGGTTTTCAAAGGTGCCGTTGTAGATAAGTGAGTCAACAGCACCCAAGCTCTTCGGTGGTTCAAGACTTGAGTTGATACTTATGGAGGTGTCTCGGCGGGCGCACGAAGTCCATATGCATCTGGAAATGTGTAGCCATCTACGTAGCCAATGAAACAAATGCTTTGTAAGCACTTCAGCCTCGCTTTGTATTTCAATTGACCTTTATATGTCCATTTAGTTTATTTTGGCAAAATGGTGAGATATGTCTCCTCATCAGAGTGGTAGGTTTCTATATACTTCAGTCACATATCTACCGGGACCTGAAGCATGGCAACTATGTCAAACCTCGGCTTTGCAGACCTCTAAGCTTCCCGAATCCCAGACCAGGTGCCAGCCTTATGACATGATTCCGTCAATTACTAGCCCCTTGATCAGCCAACGACCTCACCAAACCCCTACAGATATCACCAACCCAACATATACATACATAATACTCAATCTACTCAACCTATCCCACCTCACTTCTAACCCACAGCCATGCACTTCAATACTAAAACCCATGTCGCCCTAATGGCCCTATCTCTATCCCATTTTGCATCCTGCTCCTCCTCATCCCCCATCCCCATCGCATTATCATCAGACAGCCTCCCCTTTTCAATCACAAAATCCACAACAGAAGGAGACCCAAACTACACTGCCCCGCTCTTTCCCATCCTCCCATTCCACAAATACCCTCAAAACCCAATCTTGACAGCCAACCCCGACCACGACTGGGAATCCGCATACGTCTACAACCCCGCGGCTTTGGTCCTCAACGAAACCATTTTCCTGCTCTACCGCGCCCAAAACGCCAGCAAGACCTCGTCAATAGGTCTCGCGTGGTCTTCCGACGGGTACCACTTCACTCGACTCAGCCGTCCAATTTTGCATGCCACTGAGCCATGGGAAGCCGGCGGTGGGACGGAAGATCCGCGAATCGTTCGCGTCAACGGCACTTTTTATCTAACGTATACGGCTTATGATCTGGGGACGCCGAGGCTGTGCATTGCCACGAGTGAGGATTTGGTCCAGTGGACCAAGCATAATCCACTGTTTCAGTCCGGTCCTGGGACCATATTCGACCATAGTAAAAGTAAGCCTGGTTTTTCATTGTTGTTGAATCCTGTATCTTGTCTGTCCATCAACTAATTCGCGTGGTGTGTTAGGCGGCGCCATAATCACGAAACCCTCCCCCGACGGCCTCTACCACATGTTCTTTGGCGACAGCGTCTTCTACCACGCCACATCGCCTGATCTATTGAACTGGACGGCATCCTCAACCCCGTTTGCCTCGCCTTTGTTGACCTGGGAGAATGGGCTGATTGAGCCGGGTCCGCCGCCTGTCAAGACCAGAGATGGGAGGTGGTTGTTGGTACGTGTACACGTTCTCCCAACCGGCCCAATGTTCCATCTGTTGCAATATATACAGTACATACCTAGGTAGGTACCTTTGGTGGGTTTTCTGACGTAAACCCAAGATCTACAACGCCATGACCACCGGCGCCGACGGATACCGAGCTACACAATACTCCGTTGGTCAGATGTTGCTCGACATCGAGAATCCGGCGTCATCACAGTCCTCAACGTCCCTGTCTTCAGCCTCTGGAAGAATGAACGCGGAACAAATCCCAATCAACCACAACCCTCATTCGCAGTCACATTCTGACTCTGACTCTGACTCTAACAAGCACCGCTACCACCACACGGTCGGGTTAGTAGGAAAGGTACCCTCGTTCACCGACCGTCCCTTCGCCCGCCTCGAAACTCCCTTTCTGGTCCCCACTACTCCCGAAGAAGAATCCGGCCAAGTCGACCTCGTCGTCTTTGCAGAGGGCCTAGTTCAGTTTCGGGGCAAGTGGTTCTTGTACTACGGGCAGGCGGACCAGTCGATTGGGGTTGCTGTGGCGGATGTACAGTAAATAGATATACCACCCTGTGTGGAGCGGCCTGTATGCAGTGTGTTGTCCAAGTAGTCAACAGTCGACGGGAGGCATGGACTGCTTGACTGACTCACTGGAGTCGAAACGAAATGAATCAAGGTATCCTATCCCTCCACTTTAGTAGTGACTGTATCTAGGTACTGTACCAACAACAATTCCATGCTCAACGGAGAGCTAGCTGTAATAACTAAGTTGGAACATATTGGGATCAAGTAGTAGGTAACGGCGTCTGGTTCACGACTACGTTCTCCCAACAACATCGTATACCTAGGTAGGTAGGTAGATACATCAGATGTAGCACCACATTACATGTTCAAGCACTAGTAGCCGAACCGTTTATGCCCTTGGCAACGGAAGGGGAGTCGATAAACGAATAATCAACCACGAAACTTTGAGGCTAACCGCCCCTCATACATAAGGTATACATGATTAGACCCCTTCGCGATATGGGCAGCAACATCGGGATACCACATGCAACAAAGTGAAGTGTCGAAAACTGGATTAGCAGTAGAGCTGCGTGGTTGATGGCTGATGGAAGCGTGTGTATTAGTATATTTGAACATTGCCAAACAAAAACGCCTCAGTGTCTCAGATCACAACGGCCTCTTCGAACCCAACAGGGTCCGTATGCCGACGTAATTGTGTCTGGACTGGTATCATCGCCATGTGTGCACATCCCTCCTAATCCCCTTCACCATGCCGGTCAGTAGCATGGAGAATCAAATCTCTGTCCCAGCCTGACCCATATCATTACCTCCCCGTCTTTTAATCCCAGAGGCGACCAGACACTGCAGCGGCGGACAGACTGGTCCAGTCCCAAACAGCAATGGTCGAATGTGACACGCAAAAAGAGTGAATATCTAAATCGAGAAACAATAACAACGCCACTAATAAGGTAGCCTGCCAACGGTGTTGTACAGGAACGATCCTTTTGACCAGGTCCTTCTGCCAGGAGGGAGCAAGGCTTGCTCTCTCCTCTCTCCATGAAACCCTTGTTGTGCTCGCCAATGCCAGAAAAACGACGCAAGAAATGATTCAACATGATGCCGATGCTGATGCTTGCAAGATGCCCGTGCTAACAAGAATGCAACCAAAGTTCTACTTTGTTCAGCAGCCAGCTTTTCGAGACGTGGGTATCGTAAAATAATGTTTGTTGTTGTGGTGGTGGTGGTGTGATGAGCCATTTGGCTCGAGGCCGCTCATTAGGGTCCGTGCATGATCTGGGTATGCATCGTTGCACTCGCATGCGGTGGTAGGAAACGAGATGAGCAGTTATACTCGTTCATCTTCTTCCCTTCTTCTTCGAACTCATACTCGTACTCCGGGTAAGATTGTCCTTTGACATTGTCCTCGTCAGTCCGCCGATATAGTCCTGTAGAAATCGGTTCTCCGTCTCGAGTTTATCGTGGTCGTTCTTGACTTCGTCGATTTTCTCGGCCAATGCGGCCAATGAGGATTGTAGACTTTGTGCTTGCCTAAGAAAACATGGTTAGCATATCAAAACAACAATGCTTGTCGACGAGCATACTGTTTCAGAGCCTCGCGAAGGCCACGTTCCAGTCTTTCAATATCCTCGCTATTCCGCCTAGGACTCATGGCTCTGGCGTCGTCCGGGGGATATTGTGGTTTGTCTCGTTGCCAGCCGGCCCGGTCTTTGGGAACAATAATGGTATTATTCGACCGCTGTCTGTCACCGAGTCGCGGCCTGTCCATCCGCCCTCTTCGGGACGATGATCGAGGTGACTGCGGCTGAGAAGAATTCTCAGACTCCGAGGACGAGGAGGAGCTCGATATTGAGGGAGTTATCGAGGGTCGGCGAGGAATTTCCGATGTGTTATCGGCCGAAACTAGAGAGATGGCCCCGGGGAACGCAGCCGTAGCCTTGGGCGATGATGGCGTCCGGTGCATTTGGTATGTGTGGGTGGTGAAGAGGATGATTTGAACGTGCTCTTAGTCGTCTTGCTTGATTTCACAACCTGGATCGACTGTATTTGTGAAGTTGCCGAACGGCGCATTGGCACTTGGTGCGCAATTGAGGGAAATATGCACTGGCCGAGGTCCAGTGCCGTCCTTCACGCGAGTCGTCCCGACATCCAACCAAGAGCACCCGCTCAGCTGATATGGGCGTCCAGAGAGGCAGAATAAAGATGTTTCAGTCCGAGTCGGAAGGGAGAGAGACAGACAGGTACAGTCTCTGGAGCTGGCGGTTTGGGGAAGGAGGTAGAGGGTATGGTAGTAGGAGGACGCAGTTATGGTTGCCGCAGAAGAGCTTTGCGTCTGGGCGGACGGGCGATCGGTCGGGCGACACAGTTGCTTTGATGTGGTCAGAACCTCTGACCCGGAGGGCAGTCGGTGGAGGATGGATGATTTCCTTGATGAGGGAGATCGCCGGATTGGCAGTAGAAAAGGCCTTTTTCAGAGGCAAGGAGTCGACGAACCCAAGGACGGGGATGCTGGCAAAGACCGGTCACCACAATGATGGTCGGTCAGTGCTCAGAGACTGGGGCAGACGTGGGCTCACGGACCCTCAGCGCAGGCTATGAGTAGCCGACCAGGTTGCCCTGTGGATGCGACCGTCGCTGGAGTCACCTTCCCTGGGATAAGTCTACGTCGTTCAGTTTGATGGTCCACCAGATGACCATTTCGGGCCTGAGCTGATCGACAGCAACGGCGGCCTTGACTCGCGGCTTGAGTTGAGGATTGGGTGAGACGGTGTCTTTTGAGTGGGTTTTGTCCCAAGGAGCTCAACTGAGGGGAGTGTGTGTTTCAACCAGCCAGAATCCTTCTCTTGTGTTTCACAGGCAGTGCAGCGAGCCAAAGTATGTCCTCGGTAACCAGGGTTCAGTGGCGCAAGGCTCAGGCTTGCCACGATGCCAGTGATGCTCTCGTGGTGTTCGTAAAGGCAAGACGACACCGAGATGGACCGCCAGCCTGATCGTGGCGCTTCAACTCCTGCCGGTCCCACGCCGTATGCTACAGGGGCACGCGAAAGAGGCAAAGCGAAGAGATTGAGAATCGTGATCACGGAAGGTCGGTTGCAAAGCAATCAATGAGAGCAAACCGAAAAGAGGATCAGCCAGAGACTGCGGAGCCAGCGATGGACACTGCAACGGGCTAAACATCAGGTGGCAGGGGAGACACGGCTTAAGCGAACTGACTACCAGCAGACATACGTAGATAGTCATGGTTCCAAGTGGCCCCGGGCGCCTGGGTCGCCCAGAGAAGCTCGCTCTTGGTGGGATCCGGTGGAGGAAGCGCAGCCTATAGGCGCCCATGAGACGCCTATTAGCTGTTAGTGGGAGGCCGCAGTAGACAACACGACTCTACCGCTCACAACAACACTCTTGTGGTCTCATCTCTGCCGCTTGACGTCGTTGATCACTCGCTGCCAACACACACCTGGTGTCCGTACCATCTCTCTACCAGGCAAGTATCGTCATCCTCCGCCTACGGATCGGCGGCTGCTCACGACGAGTCCAATCAATCCAACCCCTATATCGTCGATTCAAGTCTCCTCCGTCGCCGGCCGTCAGGAAGAAGGCTTTCCAAAACAAATCTGAAAGGAAAATATCCTCACGATCGCTGGGCTACAAAATTGTAAACACCACTCGACAAGAAAATGAATACAAGCCTGTGCCTCAGTTCACTTCCCCTGGCTGTCAACCAGCGAGCCGACCACTCTCCTAATAATCCCGTGAGTATGCCGAGTGGAGGCTGCTATACAACTTTAAAATGGAGATCAATGGGTTTAGTGTGCTGGATGGCGGTGGGCTCTCTCCCAAGACACCTGGCTGACACGGTCCATGGTTCAAGGGAAGCAAAACAGGCTGTTCTCCTACAGACTGTATCTGCAAAACTTCCACGCTGTGACATTGCCAGCTGTGCATCACAAGACAATGCGAAGGGCAAGTCTGATAGTGGTAAGTGGTACAGGATCTGAGCGCTGCCATGCTCTTGTCTCGCCACGGAGCCTTGCCGCCACCACAATGACGCGATAAATGACCGGAAACCAAATCGCTGCGCTATAACCCTGTTCACACAGAGTTTTTGTGGGATCTTGGGCTTGGGCCAGGTCCACGAATCAAAGCCTTGGATACTGCTACCAAATTCCGCCTATTCTCCATCTTATGCCGTCAAAGGGGGGCACTGACGCAGGGACTTTCCGGGTATCTGAAAAGTCAAGAGACCCTGCATCCGCCGGACACAGCCTGAGGCTTCCATGCTTCGACTGTAGTCGTTCGAATGGTTTCAGTCCTGTTTAGACATTCTATATCATACCGCCTGCGACGGAAGAAGCCTGAGGCTGACCACGAACGTAACCTATCTAGGTACTGTGGTGCTCTTGGCCCCCGGCGTGGCAACGGTTACAATGGGTTCCACTGTTTTGCCGGTGCACGGCTTTCGGGACTGTCGCTACAGTGGTATATGACGGCATAGATGGTTTTGTTGCTGGGTTTCTTACTTCGCCCGCTTGATGATGCGTTAAAGCAAGAAACCTCTGTCTTGTTCCTGTCGTTCAACCACTCACCTGCTCGCTCACCAGCTGACCACATAACGCCTCTTACCATGGCACAGAATGATCTACACTTCCCATCGGGGCGGTTTCCGTGCAGCAACAGCCAGTCTCGCCTGGCACCTACGCATATCGGACATCTATCCAGGTCACATTGTTGGCATGAAAACCTAACGAACACAACATTTCCAACTCTTGCATGTCCGTGTAGATCATTTTCTCCTTATTTGTACTCGAATGTCTCCATCCATCTTCAATGTTCCATTGCCAGCATATTGTCGCTTCACTTTTGGAAATCCGGATGCGGCTTTCCCCAAATCGGCACGATTCCCGCTCCGGTTGGTGTCCACATATTCGATAAACTTTATGTCAAATCTCTGGAAAAGGGTTGCGAGTGCCCCTAGCATCTCTTGTTTGGCAAACACTCGGCCAGGACATACATGTGATCCCCCGCCGAAAGGGAAGAACTTGCCTGATGCCCAAGAGGTACTGAAGTACTCTTTGCCTGTTTCATCATCACGTCTCAAGAACCGTTCTGCATACCAGTTGTCCGCAGAAGGTGCATCGCCTTGTTCCCAGAAGGTAGGGTCATGCTGACTGAGCGAACTTGGGGCCATGATCAAATCACCTTTCTTCAAGTGATACCCATCGACCACCATGTCCTTTTGGAGTTGACGAGTTACCAACGAATCCACGTAATGCCTCAAGGTCTCGTGTAGGGCGGAATTGAGGAGAGGCTGGGAAGCGAGTCTCGAGACGTCGATGTCTCCGGTTGGAGTTTGGGCATGCTTGAATTCCTCTTGGATCCTGTCGAGGACGTCATGAGGTGTGACTGGTGACAGAAGGTGGGCTAACAACCAGCAAGTGGACGGAATGGCATTTGCTTGAAGCCTGACACAACAAGGTTATCCAATGGTCAAGGTGATCCGAGAGACTTTCAACTCACGCGAATAGGAAACCCAGGTCAAAGGCGGCCCTGCCTCTGGGTTTCAGCCCAAACTCCTGGTATAGTCTATGTCTGGCTCTGACAACCTTGGATTCAAAGTGTGGCTCCCAGTCCGGCTCTTCCGGAGGCATCATATGGTGTTGAGTAAGGCCCCTTTGCAGCCACTCTTGTGTCCTGTTGAGCATCACGTCCATACAGGAGTAGGCATCCGGTTTGACCAATCTCGGCAGACCATAGAATCTGGCCAGAAGGCCAGCTTCATATTGCCAGAATTGTTCCGCAAGATCTGGATTTTCTTGCAGTATGGTACTTCCCAGGACGGCTGTTGTGGAAGCCTCAAACATGGCTTTTTTCCACCAACTGAACAAATCAATGGTTTTCCATTCGTGGTCGATATCGGCCCGATCGAGGACGGAATGGAGACAATCCATGAACTTGGTGGTTAACGAGTTGACCGCCGACTGACTCAGCAGGAATTCGTGGTTGAGTGCTTCCATCTTTTCTGTTCGATCGTTTCTTTTTTTGTGGTCGTCCAAATCTTCTGTCGGCCTGCTGGGTGGAAACATCAGCTCGGCATCGTACTCGGACGCGCCTAGTGCCTGGGTTGCGAGTTGATGGTTGAACAGGTCACGCGAGACCTGTTTGCTCTTGAACAAGGCCTGCACAGCTGTCGCCGAATTGACCACATGAGCCTTTTGTCCTCCAAGAAGAATGGTACAGATCGGGATCTTGGCGTCCGTATCTTGCAGTTTCTTTTGCAGCATTTTCCAGAACGAGCCTGGGTCTTCGTTCAGAAAGCTCATGGCGCTGCCTAACCAAGGAATCGCGTATGGCAGAAGAGGCGGCGCGATGGGCTTTACATCTGCCGATGCTCGGGCTGCTTGCTTCTTGGATCTGGACACGGTACGCCAGAATTGGATGGTGGTAATTAGCCATGTTGAGAGGCATATTAAAATGATCAGCAATGGTATGCTCGAGATCAGGTAGAGGGTTGGCCGGGCTGAGATATGGTCTGCAGTGGTCGACGCCAGATGGAGGTTATTGAGTGACTTGGTGGGAAACCTAAGGTCAGCCAGCAACCATCCTGCTGTCGACCGGTTCAATGGCGTAGATTGCATTAATGATTGGAACCATTGCTGCTGACGGATAGCTGTGCACCAATGTTCATATAACATATCCAACTTTGTCCATATCTCGCCCAAGTCCATGGTTAAATGAAAGCATTGAAATCGTAGTTAGGCTCGTTCAATTATCACATGTGATCCTAATTGAAAGTGATTGCTCAGTACTGTATTATGATTCTGAAGTTGGAACACTTTCGTGGTGTAGGCGCGGCACCGATGTTGTCTCCAACGGAAGCCTACTGTAAGTAGCCGCCTCGGGCGCGTCAAAACGAGCTATACACTGCTGACAGTGGTAGATAGATAGAACGTGCCCCCGATTGGAGCGCTGACATAGACACGGGTAGTGAGAGCGCAGATACAACTTGAATGTAATAATGTACCAGCATCAGCAGCAGCAGCAGCAGAAAGCTGCAGTACCAGGTACTGTAGTAGGTATGTACGTTGAAGCTCGACGCCGCGCCTTGCAGGGCGCAATAGAGGAAGAGGGAAGGTGTTTTGTAGAGGCTTGGCTGAATTCCGAGGCGTAGGGAGCGCCTGGGTTTGGTAAGAACACGACTAAAACACTAGTTCCAGGGACCGGAACAGCCCGAGGGGCCCTATTATTATTGCGACTAAAACGGCCGAGGCGGGCTTCAGGCTGGCTTAATAAGGATTTATACGCTCTCTACCTACAACTAGATACCCCTGCCGAACTTGAACTGCTCTTTAGCATGCTCTGGCATGGTACAGCATCCGAGAGAGGCATCTATTCTCCATACTACAGTACCTTCGGTATATACCTCCCACATTGGGATGTCCAGTAAGTAATCAAACACGCAATAATATCCCATGCCAGTGGTAGGTACAACTTTTTAGCGGAGGATAGGGACATTAGGGTCTCTGTCACCCTCTCGCAATATCTTGATTATATTACTATCACGGAATCGTTATTCGGCCCGCCTCCCTCCCCTCCTCTCCACTACTGTATCTACAGTACAACGTACCCCAGAATATTCATCCACCCATCTTGATAAAACATCAATAGAAATACTGCTACTGTACCTACCTCCAGTCCGTATATCCATCTTGCCTCGCTCCCACCTTCTTTGCACCACGTTTATTCATATCACACGTCAAATCAACGAGTCCCAGCACCGTAAATTCCCCATCTCACCATCAAGAATCTCAGAACCATTTCAACCATGATCACCGGCCTCGCCCACATCAACCTCACCGTCCCCGAAGGGACTCTAGATCTCGCCAACGAATTCTACGGCGAGACTCTCGGACTGACACCACGTCCTGTGCCGTCGTTGCAAAAGGGGCAACTGGCCTGGTTTGATATTATACCCGAAGGCGGCCACACCAACGGTGAGGGTGGTGCCGACCATGGTGCCAGCCCCTATCAACAAGTCCACATCGCATTCGGCCCCGCCAAGGAATTTCTCCCAGAAAACAAATCGTCGCGACACCCTTGTTTCAGACTTGCGTCGCCGGAAGCACTGTTACAACTAAGACAGAGGATTTGGGATCATTTTGTACGCGGGGGAGCCGCGGCGCCCAGGGAGGCGGATGAGCCGGGGAGCGAGAATAGTGGTGAGTAACCTGCGAAGCGAAGCGGAGCAGAACAGAGCAGAGCAGAGCAGAGCGAAGGACCTACCCAGGTCCAAGCTGTGAACTGCCCTCGCATTGATTGTGATTCAATGCATCTTTTTTTTTTTTTTCTTTCTTTTCATTTTGGTGGCATGTCAGCAGTTGCATTGAAGTGAATCTGATTCTTGCACGGTGTTGGGGGTTGTCGAGTCCACCAGCCCGACTTGGCTTGTTCTGCTTTTGTCGCGCGACTGTGAGAGAGGCCCGGACATATTCACAGAGAGATACGAGGGAAATTGTTTCTTCATTTGAGTTGAGGCACATGTCTTTTCAGGAGAACAGAAGGAAGAGATTGTGGTGATGCAGATGCACGATGGGCTAATCATTTTGTGATATCTAGGTGCCAAAGGCGTCGAATACCCCCAGCGGTTTTTTGCCAGGGACTATGCGGGGAATCGACTGGAGTTTAGTCTTTAATATCTGGAGTCTGGACTTCCGAGGATTGGGTCGAGTCGAGTCGAGGTTGTACCGATGCAAGAGGAGACAGGGAGGGAGGTTGGACTCGGCTGAGCTGGGCTGAGCAGGGCTGGGGTTCAATTTGGGCGAGCAGAGGCAGCAGAGCAGAGAGTTGGGATTAATTAGGACGAGCACACAAAAACCGGCGTCTCACCTAGGTAAGGTACGCTTTACTTACCAGACGCCGCTCAGGGTCGACATTACTGGTGTGGTAGGTATGGGCGATTGCGTTGGCTAGAGGAGAGTCTGTTTCGTATATTGATACGATTTATGATCCATGGTTGTGGTCTGGTCCGTTGAACCCCAAGGGCTGGGATGAGGCCGAATGGTAAAGGTGACTGTGATGAGTGACGGTGCTGCTGACGGCAATGGCTGTGAAAACAGTCGGTATTAAGTTGGATCAAAAGATACCGTCTATGTCTTGCTCTATCCCTTACCTATCTCTTCTTCCCCTTGCCATCTTGGCCAATTCACTACCATTTTTCACTTCCTAGCTATGCCATGCCATCTGGCAGTGACTACACCTATGTCGATGTGGAGAGACGAAACGAAGGGGATGTGGCTGGGAATCAGGGCCCATACATTTTGATGGATTCACATATACGACCAGGACGGGAAGGGAACGGAATGGGGACAGCAGAGGAGACCAAAAGCGATCCTTTTTGGGCTGCGATGTTTGACATTGAGAGTGTGCGAGGGAAAACTGTCTAGTTCTCCGGCGGAGGAAAGCCAGCACAAAGGAGGGCAGAGGGCGCGAGAGGAGAGCAGTTAAGAGAGAAATAGGAGAGACGAGTTTATGTCCTTCAAGGTATCGAGAAATATATGCATAATTATCTCTTGGTTGATATCTCAAGAGGCATAGAGATTCGACCCACATTAATTCCAATCCCCAACATATACTACTGGATAAAAGTGCTGCGTGCGTAGATCCCTCCCGCCAAAATCAATACAAGGTACTGTACCCGTACTTCTCGACATACACACATGCCAATATTAATGTCTCCCCACTCCGTCGACCGACCGATTCAAATGGTATGCCAAACTCGAGTTCGTCGTGGTTGAGGCACGCCAACCTCTGTCGAGAGAAAACCGGAATCAATTGGCCTCGTCTTGGAGATTGGTCCAGTTCCCATCTACCGCTTGATAGTGTCGTGGCATGGTCCGGTAGTGAGTTACTCCAGAATCCGGGCCAGCTTGATTGACTAGAGCTTGAAGAGCAGCATGGTTTGAAATGGCAACTCTTCCTTCTGGATGTCCAGTTTAAGAGAGGCACAGCTGTAACCGTCTCGTCTGTTGGACACGCATTTGAACTGTCCGTCCAATCCTAGGCTCCTATGAGCCAGAGTGTCATTTTCTCCGTTTTTGCCATTCTGCGCTGGATCATCCAACACTGTCTTTGTCCTGACTCGGTCGTACCGTATCTCGCTGTGGGAGATATCCGTGGACAGCGCGATGACTTCCGTCTCCTCGCGCCAGCTACTGGCTCTCGATAGAGGTCTGAAAAGAGGCTGGACAAAGTCAAAGATTGGTGACTATATCGTCCACAGGGCTTCTTAACTTTGTCACTGGCGGTCTTGGTCAATCTCCCAAGGTGGACATTGACACGATGGCCACCTAACAAGAGTCCCGCAATCCATGCCAATCGACTCTCCATAATCTGACGAGGGATGTAACCACAGCATCGATAACAGTTCCAGGATAGTCGTGACACAATATCGCTGTCGCAGCAACAGTGACCGCGTATCAGCTACCTTGGCCTGCTTAGTGTCTTGCCTCGTGCTAGAGTGCCGAGCACCCGGTGTCTCTGGCATGGACCGGAAGTTGTCTCGATGGACGACCTCCACTGGAAGGGTCCGGCGTTGTTACTATCGCAAGAAACTGCGCAATATCGCCTTCAAGTTGGGAGTGGTCCCTCCTTCAAACAGCCCAGGCCTTCCTGGGCCCTAGGTGCCCTTCGGCTGTAGCGCTCTGTTTCTAGTGTTGCGGACCGACTTCCAGATTCCCTCCAGGTCCGTTGCGTCCTTGTTGCGGTCGATGTGGGAGAACGGCACCGCTGGTACAGTTGCTAGCCTGGAGGCCTTCTCAGTACTTCGAAAAGGGGCCGTGGGGCCACCACCAGCTGCCGGAACAAAAGACCTTTTTAATATTTCGAGTACACGGCGGCCTCTGCAACAGCAAAATACTAGCTGTACGTTGAGGTTGTGGTACCCATCTCTCACTCGGACAACCCGAACTCTCTTCCGCAACAAAAGTTGTTCAAACTCACCACTCTTTGAATATAGCGGTCTCCCGGGTACTTCGAAAAGGGGCCATGGGGCCACCACCAGCTGCCGGAACAAAAGACCTTTTCATTGTTTCGAGGATACAGCGGCCTCCCAGGCATCAAAGTCCTAGCTGTTTGGGGAGGTACCCCATCTCTAACTCGGAGAACCCTGTTCCACCACAGAACAAGTTCAAGTTCAAATTCACCACCGTGTTGAATACGGCGGTCTCCTGGGTCCTTCAAAAGGGGGCCCTGGGGCCACCACCAGCTGCCGGAACAAAGGCCTTGTGATGATTTCGAGCATACGCTGGAAGCCTGCGGAATCAATGGATAGATACTTGTCGACGCTCGACTTCGACGAGCACCATCACATCAGGTCACGCCGCATCATAGCCCAGAGTCGATTTGGTCAATTGGTCCAAGTCGAGTGTAATCGCCCCAGGTCTGGCACAAGTCGGTGACCTCGCTTGGCGTCTGGATATTGGCAATATCATCCGGGTGCTCCAAGATATTGAGATATAATCCACCACTGACATGCCACGCAATATGGCAATGAAAAGGCCATACGCCCGGATTATCCGCGTCGATCTGGAGCACCATGTATCCCGGATTGCCCGACGCGTCGGCAGGTCGGAGCAGCTGGGTATCCCTCCTCATGGGATTCTCAGGTCTGACGATTGTGCCGTCCCATTCGCCCATCCCTTCGGCCAACAGGTACATGTTGTGTCCGTGCATATGCATGGGATGAGGAATGGGGGACAAATTCCTCAGAATGATGCGGATGGAGCTTGCATTGCCGAAATCAAACACGTTCCACTCCGTAGGAAACTGTAATGTCCCATTGTTGGTGTTGCTGGCATTTTCCTGCGTCCGAACTAGAACCGGGTCATTGTAGCACGTGCGGAAGGTCGAGTTGTTCATGGTCCAGACCAGGTGACCCGTGGCATTCAGGCCAAAGTTGAGATCAACCGAAATCTCGTTGGCCGGCGTACTGGGTGGTGAGATGGGAAAGTATGGCGTGGTTAGACTGAGAGCGTCATTGGCACAATGGTCGACACCAGTCGGGGTAGTGTCAGGCCATGCTGTCGTGTTGGGTTTGCTGTAGACATCCGCCTTTTCGTAGTACACCATTGCGTATCCGTACGGTTGGTTAGTGAGGGAACAATTGCTGATGACCGTGCGCATCCAGACTGCATCGGTGGAAGCCCCACTTGCTTCGACGACGACATCTGCTCGTTGTCCAGCGCCCAATGTAACAATTTGTGTCGTGTACGGCACAATGGGCACAAAATCATACGCAATGACTTTGAGCTGGTGGTTGTCGATGCTGAACTTTTGAATAGCCTCTGCTCCGGCATTAATCAGTCGTAGTCGGTATGATTGTCCTTTTGTAAATTGAAACTTCGAGTACCCGGCGCCCGAGGTACAATTAGTACTGTTGCCAATCACTGAGCAGTCGAATGTGCCTTTGCCGTTGATCAAATTGTTATCGGAGGGTGGTGCCACTTTGTTCAAGTCGGTACCCATGACCTGCTCGACGAGATCGTAATAGCTGCCGTGATAGTAATCGGTAAGGAGTACCGGTCCCAAATCCACATCATACTGCGCATTAACCGGGCCGTGAATGATCATGGCACCAAAGACTCCCCCAGCGTACTGGGCCGAATAGTGGGCATGATACCAACTGGTCCCGTACAAGTCGGCGTTGAAAGAATAGGTAAACGTTTGACCGGGGGCGATGGGACATTGAGTGACGCCAGGAACTCCATCCTCATACGGTGTGCCTTTTTGCAAAAGGCCATGCCAGTGCAGGGAAGTGCCTTCCTGGGGACCGGTTATCGCATTCACAACTGTAACTTCAATGGTGTCCCCCCAATTGGCTTCGATGGTGGGTCCGGGGAACTGTCCGTTGATAACAATCACATCTCTTTCCACGCCGTCCGGTGCCATGACGGAGCGTTTAATCACGAAGTTATACTTGCGTACAACTCCGGTCTTTGGGGGATCGCTGTATGGGTCGGTGTTTGTGGCTGTCCTTGAGCCCCAGGGAAAAGTCCTTGGTCCGCCACCTTGTCCACCACCAGCAAACTGGGGTCCTGGGGTAGTGGTTTCACCACTGCCATTGCTGGCGCCATTACAGTCGTCCGAGTTGCAGTTGTTATTGCCAGCATAAACCCCGCCACCGTAACCCGGTACTCCAAGAAATCGAGGGAATCTTGGGGCGCCTCCTTTGCCACCCTGTGGTAGTGTCCCAAGGAGAGATCTACCATTTGTCCGCGCTTGTGGGAGTCCCCATCTTCCGCTACGAATGTTCTGAGGCCTGATCGGTCGAAGCGGGATGGCCGTAGGGAATATAATGTCTGATATGGATTCAGGAAGGATATGTGTGACGGTATCCTGCGGTGAGGGCGGGTAGGTGAACGTGTCTATCTGGCTTGACGTCGTTGTAGTCGTCCTTGATGACGAGTTGGAATAGCCCGAGGTATAATTATAGGAACGGGCCGTCGAGGTTGTTGTTGAGGAGTTGAATGCCCCGACCGCCACAATAATGGCACACAAACAAAACACCACCTTCAAGAAACAAATCGAACGGCACATCCTGGACAAAAGCACAACAGAAAAAGCGAGTGCGACAGTCGCAAACGAGGGTAAAGGGGTCAGCAACAACAACAAATCAACATCGGAACGGCAAGATACAACACAGTCCTGGAAGGAACAGGAGAAGAGGATTTGCCCGGGCCAGAGGACTGTTTATCTTTACCTGCTTGGGGTTTCATCGTTTGTGCGTGGCCGTCATCAGACGGCCACGTCTGGGCTTGTCAGTCTCGTGGAATACTGCGATGCAGGCCACAGCCCATCCGTGGCTCCTCCGGATCTGTTGACCCAGACAACAACAGTAAGGCTGGCGAACTGAGGCAATGCGCTCAATGTTTGCTGTTACGTTGCTCCAGACCCAAAAGACATCCAGCAATTCCAGCCAATGAGTCTGGCCCGTCGACATCTTGTTCTGACTCCAAGGCCATGCGCCCGCGCCCTCATTTGTTCGGAGCTGGAGTGTCAAAATCTTGACAGTTGTGGCGGTCGGCTGGCGGTTCCTTGACTTACCCAAACCGTTAGTTTTGCTGTCCTTCGCCTACCTAACAGTGACTTTCGCCTCTAGGTACCGAGACAAATCAAGGCAGAACAATGCTATACTTGGATAGCCACCGAAGCGGCCCGTTTCGGGTAGGTGTTCCTTTCTTGAGCTAACGGTAACAGACGAATGAAGTTGTTTTTGGATGCATGACTGTGGCGGAGCGACTAACGACAAGGGTTGTTCGGCGAATGAAATTTGGCGGCGCGCGAAGGTAACAGCAGACCGTTGCTACTTTTGTCTCAAAATAAGTAGTCCAGACCCCCTTCAGTTTCTTGTCAGAAGTCAATAATGCAGGAACAAACGGCCGGCCCCGTAACGGGGGTCGATCCTTTGGGGCATTGACAGCTCCAATCTGGCAAAGTTGGGCTTTCAATTCTGTCAATCCAGGCCCTCGGGTGAAGTCAAAGTCGGGAGATTAAAAGTTGAAAGCCAACTTGATAGCAATCTGACAATTGAAGGTCAATGGAATAAGCCAAGCGCAAGTTCCAGGTGAGTTTTTGTCGCAGCGCTTCAATGCTTCTGCAGCGGCTGGCGCGTCGATAGCCACAACGGAGAAGGACTAGTTGTAGAGATGCATTTTCATAGTTGCGTTGCCCAGAATGTGTATACTACTGAAAGGTGCCTACCAGGTAGGTACATGCGCAGCACAGGTTCGTGCTGTATCCCCGCATGGGTACGGTCAACGGTTTCTCGCCCGCTGCATTGCTGGTGTACCAATGAGTTGGGGAATGATCTTCACGGGAAAACCCCGGCCTGGAGGGTTTTTCCAAAAGGACTTCGCTGTCGGGCAAATCTTTGGTGGTGTGTGTAGCCGCTCCTGGTGTACTTATTGATGCCCGGCTGGTAACGCTGCTCAAGCCTCGCAGGATTCAATTGATTGGACTGTCAAGCTATATCAGTATAGCCAGACCACGACATCCGAGGCACAATCAGCTTTCTGGGCATTCACATATCGGAACCGTCTGATATGATATTGCAGGACCAGAGAGTGATTGAATCGAAAGTCCCGAGAACCGAACGTGACATCCGGCTGACGCCATCGTCGACCGTAGGTACATGGTAGCAATTGGAATGTAGGCCATGCTGAAGGTGACCAAGGATATGCATTCTGTAGTTGTCCTCCACCAGCATTACTGGACTTCATGGGTCTGCTCGATGTTGTACTCTAACAGCGCACGCACGGATGGATCCCTGTGGACAAGAGAAAACTTTCGGCGGTCAAAGCTGGGCGTAAGAGTCTCCCTTCACTGAGATCCGAACACTGACGGCCAAAAACAAGGCCAATATATGTGGCTGAGGGCTGATTATGCCTTGTTTCCCTCGTCAGAAATCCGAGAATGCTAGTACACAAGTGCTGAGACAGACACCACGGTGGATGCTTAGCCAAACCCCTTATCTTGATAAAAAGAGGGTGTCGTGACTATTGGTAACGTTCCGAAACCAGTCAGAGACTCGATCCCGCGACCACCTGCTATGGAAAGCGGTGAGTTTAGCAAGCTGCGTGTTCCGTTTGCGTTTGCATATGCACTGCACTGAACAATTCATCCATCACTAGTATTCAGAGGAACCGGCCATGTCCAGGAAGTAAAGCACTATAGGTGCTTACTGGGTGAGGAGGTCAGGCCACAGCCATGTCCACAGCTAATGTGGCATCGAATCCGAATCCGAGTCCAAGGACGACACGACATCCCACCAGGCCCGATCAGAATAAATCTGTGAACGTCGAGTGAACAAAAAGGTGGGCCAAGAGGGTGCCTAGCTTAGGTCAAGCAGGCGAACAGGTGTTCATGCACTGCACTACTAGACGTGTCCATCATGTTGTGCCGCCTCGAAAACAAAACAAAAAAAATCCACCGCCTGCCGAACCGAATGTCACTGACACTGCTTTTCGTTTTTGCCGACATGTCGCCGCGCACCAGTCTTTTGCAGGACGTACAGTACAGGTGAGACTGAATGTCGGAACAAATGACATGACTGTTGAACAAACCCACCTGCAGCTCGGCGAACGTGCAGATGAGGGCGGTGGAGGGTCGCACGTCAGTCCCCGTTCAAACAGCGGCTGCAGACTTGTGCGACTCCGGGACCCGGACTCGGCCAGAGGAAAGGAACAAAGGACAAGCGAAGTCAGACTGTCTATTGGGCGAGGCTGCGTGGGTCGTAAAGTACAGACTCGGACTGAGAAATATTGACCAGCAACACCCAAGTGACGAGCAAGATCATGGAATGTCGTGGACATGGAGGGACTCTGCAAGGCACCCATGTCGAGTCAAGTCTATACACAAGGAGGAGTTGAGGTGCTCGCTGGTAGAAGCTACACACTGTGCTAGCGACGACCCTTAGTAAGCAGGGCCATCCTTATCACGTGATCTATACTACTGGGGCCAATAAAAAGCTTGACGCTATGCTTAGTAATATGCTGTCGGCCGTGCGAGGCTGGAATCAGGAGGATATCAGTGAGTTTCCCATCTGGACTCTGGCTAGAACTGGCATCGACCCTCTACTACGAGACACAAAACACCACAGCAACAAGTCTTGTACTGTATGGTGTGTGGCACGAACTCGGAGCGACCTCGACCTCGTGATTGGCATATTCGGCAGCCATAGCCGTACCGCATGGTTGACAGATCTTTTGCAACACACGGGGCGCGTTATTGAACAACCTGATGACCACCACCCTCCGCCGACCTCTCATTTCCGGTAGTAGTACCCCAAACGCCAGCGCTTCGTAGTCATAGTCATACTAGTCATGATCATGCTCCATACCGGATCAATCAGCTTTCGGTATGCCTGTGCAAGTGCCTGTGCATGTTCATGCTTCGTTTCATCCCTTCTCCGTCCCATTCCGTTGTTGACACTTCCCACTGATACACTCCTGCTCCCAGCCAGTGGTTGAGCAGGGAAAATCAAGAAGTAGAAGATAAAATTGAAACACGCTGATTCGATCTGTCTGCTCTCCCCATTACCGCTCAGCCGTTCTTGAAATGTTCTTTCGCATATTGTTCGCAGGCCTAGAAGTAACGAGCAAGGGTCAAACGTTGGGTCATGATCTGAGAGGTAAAGTACCCCCCTTTGTAATTGACCACAAAACTATATTCTTTCGGGGTTTCAAGTTTGCCTCACCTTTGCCGGTTTTCCCAGTTTCTGCCCAATTGCTTTCCACTTGTTGGCCTCGTACTCCCTGATGGCTTCGCGGAGAGCGACCGACTGTGCGTGGAAGGTTAGTCAATATCAATGGATTCTCTGTTTCTTCGTACGTACCTCGTCTTCGGCAAATTCTGCATAATGCATGTCCTGAATACCAAGCGTCCGTCAGCCCAGCCTGGGCATTGCTCCGCCATAAGAAGGCAGCATTAATTGTCCTTCAGGCCACCCAAGTAAAAGCATGATTGACCCCGGGGTTCAAGTCAATCCGCCCGTCAAAGTAGGGCCGCATTGTTTTGTTCTTTTCGCTCACCTTGTACCAGTGTTTCTTCACACTACCTTCGGTCCGAGCTGGAAAAGCCTATCCGTAGCAAAATGTAAATGGTTAGCAAGATTGCCGTAGCGACAAAGGGTCAAATAAGACCGCGCAACGATAGAAGATAAACAAGATCAGCAAAGAACTCGATCAATACCTTTGCAATCTCGCTCCAACTATGACCCGCATCCCGCATCTGCTTCAGTCTCTGCTCTTCCTGCGCGGTCCAGGGCGTATTAGTCCGACCCCGTTTTTTACTTGAATCCTCTCCGCCGAGTAAGGCTGGCACGGATTGTGATGTGGGCGTGGTGGCCGACTGATCTGAGGCTAACGATGTGCCGGGTGGAAGTGTGTCAAACTTGGGACTAGCCGATGCTCGTCGCTTGCGTGGATTTGAGGGAGAAGAAGACGACTGTTGTTGTTGTTGTCGAAGACCTTGCTGCTGCTGGTCTGGAAATGTGCCGGCATTAGCGTTTGAATGCGGCTGTTTCGGTGCCAGTATCGGCGCTTGACCCTGCTGCGGCGTCGCCGGTAACCCCTTGAATGCTGTGTTGGGCGATGTGGCGGTCGAACCCGACAACGGTTTCTGCTTTTTGGACGGCGGAGGAGACCTGGATTGAGGCTCAAACGTTAGAGTGGTCCGGTAGAGCCCATCAAAAGTGGATGAAAGCGTCCGCGCAGGAGAACTAGAGCTCAAGTCAAAGTGATGGGAAGCTCCGTGATAAAGAAACGTGAAGCACCAGACTTGAATTTTCCCTCATCCGTGATTAATGCCAGTGTGGTTTCCAGTGTACCACTCCGGACTGAGACCAAGAAGAGACAGATACTTACGGCATGGTGACGACAGGTGTACCTTGTCAAGAAGACTGTCGAGATAAGTATGTCAACTGACTATGCAGTCGGCATGATCAAAAAACAGTCCAGAAAGGTTCCCGTGGGCAGGCCAGCCAGAAAGCCCGTGTACTGTCGCGAGGCGCGGCAGGAGTGGTATTAGGCTCGAAGACCGTCGGTGTCACACGCCGAGAGGGGGGCCTAGATGGTACGGATTGGATTCACCTTGGAAGTCTTTGCGGAAGTGTTAGGCAGGACAGACCAACCGCGGCCAGGAATAGATGTGTGTACGGAGGGCCAGGTGTGACCGCGCAAGAGTGAGACCAGAAGATTTGAAGCCAATCAAGACCATGCCACAATGTGCGAGAGGAACATGTATCAACAAGCAGTTGTCGAAGGTACAGTGCGACGATGACACCGTTCTGGGGCGTTTGTTTTTTGTTTTGCCGTCTTATGGTAGTTCCCATGTATCTTCGCCCATCTGCCGGAATAGGACAAGGCCAGGAAGGTACTTCCAATCTGCGGCGCGACCTGGAATTCCGGATTTAGGTGACTGGTGGCGAGGGTGGGCCTAGCAAAGACCCAGCCAGCAGGTTCTATTTGGGAGGCACGTCAACAATAAGGAAAGGTGAAGTATTGGATCAACGGGATCGGTGATCCGTGGCAAGACTGAGGATTGAAGCATCCGGCATCAGAGAAAGCAAATCAAGGTGACAGACGACAGTGCACTGATTAGAGGTAGGGCAATGGTACTCTTTAGAGGCGCCGCAAGGTGGATGGACAAGAAACAGAAGTACTAGTCATCCAGACTGCTGTGCTCGTGCTAGCAGGAAACAACCTTGCATGCAATGGACCTATTCTGGCTGATTAACTCATACCGTGCAATGTACGAAAGATAGCGGATAGCCCATTGGAGGCACATGTCATGGCCTGGTAAATGCGTGGTTCGGGACACAAAAGGTGGAGGTGGAGGTGGACGTGGCAGTGGTACTGGTGGAAGGGAATCGTGGAGGGGGAGGGAGAGGGAGATGGAGAGGGAGAGGGGAATGCAAACTTCGGGGCCCCAGTTGGCACACGCAATATCATCCAGGCTGATTCCTAGGTTGATAGCAAGCAGAGGCTGGTCAGATGGACACGAGCCTAGATGTAGCTTCAGGTAGATACTCCGTGATAGGTACGTCTTGAGGTCGACCAGATGGAGGCCACCCACGGTCATGGTGAGCCAGAAAGACTAGGATGGCTGCGGGGTAGTGACAGGAGGACGACATGAACGTCCAGGTCATCTCTCGACGTTGACAGGGGACCGGCCGAACAGGAGCGGGTAGACAATAGCGGCAAAAGCTAGTTACAGCTGAACCGATCTGCAAGCCTCACCATGGCTCGCAAATGGTCACAGCAGCGACTCACAGGTAAAGGCGGCCGTGGAGAAACGGTGAGCGCGCGGGTGCTTTCGTGGAAAGCGAGGAAGAACTGAGAACGTTCCAAGATGCCTGGTAGCCCGGTGCATGTCTGCCGTCTGCTCGCCTAAAGATGATGCCTTTCGTGATTATCACTTTCAACCTGCGATTTGAGCGCCGCTACTGGAAGAGTAGTGCCGGTGTCCTGTGTCCATGGTATCCATCCGGAGAGTCAGCTGATTTAGGCATGATGACAAGTTGTCCAACGCTCTCGTGGTTGCGGCGCCACCGCTGGTACTAGGTACAATGAGGTACAAACTAGATATTGGCATACTTGGCCGAGAATCCACCAGGCCGGACAATAATAATGGTGACAGTTGCTCGCAAACAAGTGGTAAGGGCTCTATCGACGATGTGGCGCCGCGGTTGTCTTTCCGAGATCTTCTAGCTCGCAGCAATGATATAATATGTATAGGTCATCCCCGAACGCGCGGATGGATCGAGGAAAAGGGTTCCCCAGGCTAATGGACCGTCTCGGAAACCGACAGTTGAGCCATCCTCCGGCCTTCAGGTACCCTTCAAGTCGGTCACGGTGACTTCGAAGGAACCTCTGCGTGACGCGATTATCGCTACATGCCGCATGCTTCCGCCGATCGACGAACACCGTATTGCGCCGCCCACTCTTGGGGCTGGTACACGCAACTCCGTACCTAAAGCGCTCACAGCAGAGCTGGCCGGAGGATTGAGGGTTACTGGTCTGACGGGAGTGAAGTGTGACGTAAAACTCGTCGCCCGGCAGATGGATGTGGTCGTTCTCTTTCGTTGGAACTTTGTAGACACCGCCGAGTTTTCGTTGTTCGTCACTTGCATTGCATGACCGGGGCTGCAGGATGTGGAGGCGGGTCTGAGAAGCAGATCCTCGTGTCCCTTGCGTCACTCCGAGCCATAAGGAAGTCATTAATCCAAATGCTTGACAGCCAGGCAAGACGGGCGCTGTGTCGCTTTTGCTAAGACCTGGAACACAAAGGAACACAGTCAAGGAGATGCAGGCGCCTGGCAGCCAGTTTATTGACCCGGTAAATACTCCCAGGACACTTGTAGGAGGATGTGTATCGAAGCAAAGCCAGAGAGATAACACTAGTTGTGTTTATTTGTGGTTCGGAAGAGCCGCCAAGGGCACCCATGTACCAGCGTTGAACAACTACCTAGGTACTTTCTGCGGTCATATCGCTAACACTCGATGCTTGACGAAGCGGGTTTCCCTGGGTCTTAGGTCGTCCTAGCACAGTTTGCTGTTAAGAAGAGTGTCGAGGGTCTCAGCCTTGCTGCCGCTGGGGAGAGCACCTCTTTCGCCGGGCTGATGCTATCAAATCGTGGCTACAACAAGACCGCCCAGTCGCCGAAGCTGGAATGACTTCAACCAAGGCGTTCCATTCATCACTTAGATATCTTCCGGCACAGGGAATGCAGATGGATAAATGCTGGCCTTCCAAATCTCGTAGCGGCACCATGGGCTGAACCAGCTGAAGTGCCAGAATGAATGATTCAAATGATTTGGTGTCGCCGGAATCCGTGAAAGACTGCTCGCCCAATTCACTGGGATGGAATGACCAGGGTTCCGGCCAGTGTAGCACAGGGCCTGCCGGAGGGAGAATCTCCCGCTGCATCTTGGAGTCCGTCTGCACACTTGATTGCTTGCTCGACTGCCTCTCGTGGTGTGCATGAAGGTATCTATACGTAGGGCCATGATGAACCTGATACAGCACGATGGCTATTTTCTTGTGGCTTTTTTATTTCCTCCAGGACTCCGGACAACGCCATTGTTGGTTTGTGCGGTTCACCATGGCTGTCATGCATGGCGGAATCTCACTGGTTTCAGAGATGGGCGCGTTCCAGCGTGGCGACCAATTCGATAAAAGCTCTTGACAATATTCAGCTCACGGCGAGGCCAAGGGGAGCTCTTCCAGCGAGTCCTCTTGAGGTAAACCAGGTTTGTTCCTCTCCAGTTTCAGGATGACGCGTCCCCGCCCAAGTTGGGTTCTGTCCTCAACCAGGGTTGCCTTTCCGTGGGTATCACTGCTCATCGCATTTTGAAACATGCGCGCACAACTGATGACTTGAATCCGTCCTTTGACGAAAGCCTGACGATCGCACCACTCGCCCAAGAAGGAATCCCGCCATGTATCAGCTCGACATCGGAGCTCGAAACTGAGCCATTGAGCGGCCTCTGCTGGTTCTAGCTGACAATCTTCCGAGTAGAACCGTTTCAACATGTCACAGTCAAGTTGCCATATCAAGTGTTTGACGTAGGGGGCACACGGGTGACCGTCGGTGACTCGGGCTGGCAACTTTCCCGCAAAAGCATGCGTCATGACGTGGAACCTGGTGTTTGCGTAGAGGACTGGCCGAGCCTCCAACAGAATGATCCGGTTGACCCTTAAAAGTTGAGAGGATCTCTGCGAGTGATGTTGGAAAGTGCCGTCCTTTGGTAGAACACATGCACTGTCATTCTCACCGTTGGCTTCGATCACAGCCTTTCCTCGACCGAACACGACGCAATAGATTTGCAGTCTGATTTCGAGAGGAAGACTCAAAAACTCCATGGCCATTGGAGTCCGCTAAGTAGAACGAACCGTTGAAACTCAATGTGACAGTTGCTGAACGAACGAACGGTACGGTCAGCACTTTTGATGCCAGTTCGCTGCAAGACCGAAAGCCATGCGAATGACGTCCTCCACCTACTGTATTTGCTTATTTCTCAAGGCCCGAGCTTCGGCTGGAATGAGAAAAAATACTGAAAATAAAATAATTTTCGAGCGGTCGGACCCAGAAGTAGATCGTGATCCCGGCTCATCCCGGGCAGGTACAGAACGCTACAGTACATCCCTGACGCCGATTTGATCCAGGGTAGATCCCGGCTCGGGCTCAGTCAAACTCGTTTTATTGTTTGCGGTCTCTGTCGCAAGTCCACAGGTAGTTTACCAGGCTGGCTCAGCTCCACTACTCAGGCATATGGCATACGCTTTTGTGGTATTAGCCGCGCAGCGTCTGACGGGGCTTTCAGGTCCAGCAGCCACGACTGACACGGTTTGAGGCCTAACATAGGGCTGAAAAAGATAGCGTACTGAAAATGGAAACGGTGAACTCGGCCCAGATTGTTGGCGCCCCAGCTGAGGGTTCTCTTGACCTGATAAGGCCCGGAGCGAACACTTGTGCCTGTCGGGTTGCCTTAGATCAGCATGGGTCGCTCTGCAAGGTTCAGCTCAGGCGCTATATCTCGTTTTAATTCGTCCGTCATTGGTTGCAGCCGCCTTGCCGCAGATACGGTAAAGAGAAAGGCTGACGAAAATTTGGAAATGTGCCGTTTTCGAACTGTTGCAAGTAGCTAACTGATTACAGCTCCTTGTTATTAGTGAACTATGCGCAAGCCCAGCGTATCATCTCCGGTAACTTCTTGCTGTCTTTGTGCTAACATGTGGGAGCCCAGACCAGATCACTCCGGCCTGGGGCTGTGGAATAAGAGTATTTCGCAGGTCCCTGCATTTTTCAACTCGAACCAAGGTCTGGCGGAACCGAAGGGGTCTCGTATGTAGTCATGAGGCTCGTGTGTTCGGTTACGGATTTCCCCACAGGCTCAGAATCAATTTGCACTTCCTGTTGCCTGCCAACCGTTGCTGGTTCAGAGGTCGTTGGTGCCAGGGCGCCGGAGGAGGCCACACATGGCACCCCCGAAATCAACGATGCGGTGACCGTTGCTGTCGACACGGCGATACTTGTTGTGATGACTGTGGTCGTCACAACTTGTGGCAGCTGGCTTGGGGGAAATGCCAGTGGTGATTGACTTTGATTCACCTGCGACTTCTTTCCGGCGAATGCCAAGAACGTGATGATCAACGCCAGCAACAGCACCAGGACGTTCCTACTGTCGTGTAAAAACCGCCGGGCATATCTAGAAACCACCTCCCCGAGATCTGCCATAGCAGGGGCGGCTTCGGGGACTATCCCGGCAGTTGTTGCCGACTCCTTTGTGCGGTCAAAGTCTTCGAAATCGGCCAGACTTGATTGTCTTCCAGCTTCCCCATAGACTTCGCGCTCACGAGCGTCCTGGTCATTCTGGCCGTGATCGCCGGTAGGCAGTTGCACTGTCGGTTCTTCAGACACGGAGCCCCTGACAACAGCAAGTTTGGCCTCCAATTCTCGTCGCAGGTTCCCGGGAAGCCACACTCTGATCTCCACGTCCACCTTTTCCATTTCTTGCCAGGCTGCAGCCCATGCCCCTGCTCGCATCAGACCATTTGCCGCGAAGATTTTGATATCCCATCTTGGATTGATCTCAGCAGCGACAACGGACTGACCGCAGTCGGGGCATGTGGAATGTGGACAGCGTTCATCGCCATCATCCCCCGTCAAACTGCCACTTTCAAAGCCACTGTCGGTATTATCAGCGTCAGCGTTGAAGTAGTGGCTGTGTCGAATTCGCGGTTTCTCAAGTTGTAGACTTTCTAGCAATCGTTCTTCGAGCAGTTCGTAGTCCTCCTTGGGATGGGGTATCAGTATTCCCCTCGTCCTGACCTCCACATCCACCACTAACTTGTCACGGAGAGTCTCGAATCGCTTTCTGTACAGTTCAGGTAAAAATTCGGCGATCAAGAAGTCTTCATCTGTCGTTGACTGTGGAAGCAAGGTAGGCGGCAAGAGTGTGCAGTGAAGGAGCACAAGAGGGAATTCGGTTCTGAGATTGCTGTTGAGTAACTTGATGGGGGTGCCTCGACTAGACTTGACAGATCTCTTGGACGCGGATATCATGGGTGAGAAAGAAGTCCTACGGCTGCAGGACGACTTCTGCGAGCTGCTGTGTCTGGGATGTCTCAGAACACTATTCGTCTCACTCATGATCTCATCTCGCATTTGCAAGGCCTTCACGCTGCTGGGGTGGCGGAATGGCGAATTGTACTTTTTGGCACTTGTCGATGAAGCGACTTGAAGAGGCGGCCCCTCCTTATGCCGGGTTGGTGTTTTTGGACTTCCATACTGCTCTTGTTTTGACGGAAGATACTGTGATACAGAGGCTGGAAATGATGAGATCGACGAGCAACCTGAAATTCGCCTATCGTCGTCCAACGCATCTTCCTCTTCTCTTGATTCTTCGTCCGGCGGTGCATCCTCGGTCTCGGTCCCGGAAGTGCTCTCATCGTAGACACATCCCGAGAAATTGTAATCGTGAGTAGGCCTATGGTTGGCGGCCGATGGAGCGGGTGGAGAAGAGTATGACTGCTGTCGTAAGGAAAGCGGAGAGGAATATTGATAGGGAAAGTCTTCCACTCCTACGGAGGCCTGGGAAGAGGAGGAACACGGTTGTGACATGGATGAACTTGTTGAAGCCCTCGATGGCCTCATGTCCGTCAAGCGGTCCTTGCACAAAGCACGGCCGGTTGTTACTTTTTGGATCCGCGTGGATATTTTGCCCGTGCAGCGGGAGGTGGAAACAAAATGAATGGATCCAATGTTGACAGGACCAGAAAATCAGGTGTTGCACGGGGCAACCAGTCGACGTCATTGCACGTGACGAGGCTGTGTGGTGACAAGGCTGCGCTGCGTTGGTTTACCACTTCAAAATACCTGATTATACTCAGTTCAAGGTCTCTGCCAGTGACTATACACTTCAAGGCCATAAATAAATGCAACGTGGTACTAATCGACATTTCAGACACTCCTTCACACCTGTGACAGCCAAGTCCTCTCAGTACATGTATCTGAAGTTCGGATTCTCGCGGTCCGTCAGATCCTCAAACGCATGCAGATATTGGTCGTCCTTCGCCTCGTGAATCCCAGCCAACGCCAGTTCGTCCTTCTTACGGTTCTGACGTCGGAGGTAGAAGCGAAGAAATACGATAACAAGAACCAAGAGTGCATAGCACCCCATATGAGTTGCAAAAGCGATGAAGTATCGTGGTGCATCGTAAGACAGGAAGACTTGAGGACCTGAAAAGATGGCAATCAGCTCCGCCCCATGACGGATAAGTCCCAGGGGTTCAACATACCAACGGCGTTTCCAGCACACCAAGAAACGAAGTTCATCGACACGACTACAGTCTTCTTGGTCTGACCCCCAACGTTACGGGAGATCATGCTCATTGCCACAGTCTGTGCCGCCCAGAACGAGAGGACAATGTAGTAGCTGATCAGCAACCCGGCTTTGGTGGCTGTGTTCTTGTTTTCGACGGTCATGAGAACAATCGTGCCAACGAAAGAGCTGACGTCAAGTTAGACAGAGTACAAAATTGTCAGAAAAGCCATTTATCGCTCACGGAATGACAAAAACTCCCATCACCACACAATTTTGGCCGGTTTTCTTGATCAGCCAGGTCGATCCCAACAGGATTAAGATGATAACGGCGCCTAGCACCATAGCAAGGAGCTGCGTCTGGAGGATGGTAAAGTGGAAGCCTAGAGGACACGGTCAGATCAGAAATCTCTTCATTGGAAACTGCTATTCGTACCGGTGATGATGATATTGGCGAATGCCCCTAAGCCCGACGTGGGCAAAGTCGTGCATATGGCGATGAGGCAATAGCAATATGTCTGAGGGTCAAGGAAAGCTTCTTTGACCTGTTCGCGTCGAAAGGTCTTGTTCTGCAGTCCAGTCTGGTTGCTTCGGACTCGCTCGACCATGAGTTTCTTGTCCTCTTCGGAGAAACACTTTGCTTTCATCGGTGAGTCAGGCATCCACCATCCGACAAACAAGCCCCAGAGCACTGAAAAGCAACCGTAAGTGATGAAAATGGCCTGCCATGACTTGAGAGGGCCCGACTTGATGAGCGTGAAACAATAGGCCAATAGGCCGCCCACAATTTGCTGGCCACCATTCATCATGTACCAATATGTGACTGTTTCGGCCTGCTCGTCCCTTCTATACCACATGCTGCTGAGAATCAGGAAGGCGGGCTGACAGACAGCTTCAAAAATGCCGAGCAATGTTCTCAGCGCAACCAGGGTTGCAAAGTCCTTGGCCACAGCATGCAGTGCAAGGACTGCGCCCCACAAGCAGATACTCAAGCTGAGATATTTGGCAATGGGAACTCTTTGCAGAGTCCAGTTGGTGGGATATTCGACAATCAGGACGGCGATATAGATACACGTGGTCAACCAAGAATACTAGACGGGGTTAGCTGCTACCGCCAGGGAATGATGGCCGCCTCTGACCTGCTGACTGTGGAGATGAAGGTCTTTTCTGATGCCCATGATGGAGGCAAAAGACATGGTTCCTTTATCGAGGGCTTGCAGGAAGTAAGTGGGAACCATGATGGCCAGTACACGCATGTCAATCATGCGTCTCAGACGTTTGTTTTCAGCCTCGGAGATTTCAATGGGCGCGGCAGAGGCGTATCGTGCGACATCAGTGTCGATACGATCATAGTCGATGACTTCCTTTTTGATTTCACTACCACCAGACATGACCCTCTCAATCTGTGTGACATCCTCTTTGTTAATGTCCGAGGGCTCTATGGTCACCCCCATGTTCGATTCGATGCGGTCTGAGCCAGGCATGATGGCCACAACAGCAAAAAGCGCAGCGGGACACTGCTCAGGAGTACAGACTGGGTTGAAAGCCTGAGAGAATAATGTTTCCTACTGCCAGCTCTGGATCATGGTCTGTATATATAATTGAGAAGCCAGCATGAAGTTGAGGTACCAACACAGCATCGGTCGAGAGCTGTCCGAAGGCTCTTGCTCCCCTCTTCGCCTCGCCAGCCACCGAAACGGCGACTATGTAGTCTACAGAAAACTTCCTCCGGACTTTACCCCAGATTGGAACGATAGGCTGGCGCAATGTCCATCACCCCGTGGGGTCACTTGAGCTCGTGTCGAGGCTACCGTGCCAGGGGGTGTTTAGGTTACGGCGGCATTTCGGCATAGCTCGGTGCGCGGAGTATCTCACACCGAGAGCACAATGGCCTCAAATCCGCGTCACCCTTGCAGCTAACCATTTAGCTACCAGTATTCAATAACTCGAAAAAGAAGAAAAGAAAGTGCTCCAGGAGCTCTTTAATTGCAGGCCGAAACTGGGCAGACCAGCTAGCCTTCCAAGATGCCGACTCACCTAACAGTAGAAGGGCTAAGTGCCACCAGCATCCGCGAGAAAATCGACCTCCTCATCCACAACCTGGTCAATATCAAAGATGAGACAGGTCATTTCCTGCTGGAGCTAGCGGACGGGCGGATCATCGACACAAAGGGCTGGAACGACTGGGAATGGACGCACGGGATCGGTCTGTACGGTCTCTACCAGTACCACGCGTTGACATCTTCCGCGTCAGCGCTGAAGACCATTGAGGACTGGTTCTCGGCGCGACTCGCAGAGGGCACGACCAAGAACATCAACACGATGGCAGTGTTTCTGACTCTTGCCTATCTGTACGAGAAGAACGGCGAACAGAGCTACCTACCCTGGCTGGACTCGTGGGCCGAATGGGCCATGTATGAACTGCCACGAACCACATATGGAGGAATGCAGCACATCACATATGTGGACGAAAACCACCACCAGCTGTGGGACGACACGTTGATGATGACGGTGATGCCGCTGGCCAAAATTGGCAAGATTCTGAATCGTCCGCACTACATTGAGGAAGCGAAACGACAATTCCTGCTGCATATTCAGTATCTTTACGACTCGCAGACAGGGCTGTTCTTCCACGGCTGGCAGTTTGACGAGACGGCGCCCGGCGGAGTTGGACATAACTTCGCCCGTGCCAGATGGGCCCGGGGGAACAGTTGGTTGACGATCGCCATTCCGGACTTCATCGAGCTGCTCGATCTGCCACCCGACGACGGCCTCAGGTTATATCTCGTGTCGGTGCTCGAAGCACAATGTCGCGCATTGGCCGCACTACAGACCCCCGAGGGGATGTGGAGGACTTTACTCGACGTGTCGGAGGAAGAAGGGAGCTACGTCGAGGCATCTGCCACGGCGGGCTTTGCGTACGGTCTATTGAAGTCGATCCGGAAGCGGTACATTCCCAAAGAAAAATACATGCCCGTGGCCATGAAAGCGGTCAAGGCCGTTCTGCAGAGAATCAGCGACGATGGAGAGTTGCTGGACACCAGCTTCGGAACGGCCATGGGCCACGATCTGAAGCATTATATCAACATCGAGCGAACCAGCATGCCGTACGGCCAGGCTATGGCGATGATGGCCCTGGTGGAGTTTTTGCGGGTGTTCATATAAAAGACAGATATATAGATAGATACAGTTCAGTATCAACGTGCACAAACTATACCTCCCAACATTGTCTATATATTTTTTGTTCTTCACAATTTCCCTCTCGAAAGCAAAGAGCCGCCATCCGTCGTGATGACCGCACCGTTAATATGCGACGCCGCCCGACTCGCCAAAAACACCACCAAGCCCGCAATATCCTCCGGATGTCCAAGTCTCTTATTCGGCACTTCGGCCGCCAGGGCGGCTTGACCGCCTTGCAACTCCATAAGTCCCGAAGCCATTTTTGTGGGATAAAACCCCGGAGCAATGGCGTTAGTAATGATCCCTCTTGGCCCCAACTCGACAGCCAGGTTTTTCGCCAAATGGATCACCGCGGCTTTCGAGGCCGAATAGGCGAACGTGGCGTTCTTGCCCAGAGACCCAACACCCAACCCGGCCACACTGCCCGTCACAAGGACGACGCTCGGTTTAGCTGTGGTGGCTCTTTTTCTAAGGAGTGGCTCGAACTTTTGGACGGTGTAGAAGACGCTCTTGACGTTAAGATCCATCACTTTACTGAATGCGTCTTCTGGGTATGTTTCAAAGGGGGCGCCCCATGTGGCTCCGGCGTTGGCGAATAGGATGTCCACGTGGTCTGTGGTTTTGGCAACTTCAGAAGCTAGTCGTTCGATTTCGCTCACTTTGGATGAGTCTGCGGGGACGGAGATGGCGACTGCACCGGGGCGTTTGTTGGGGAGCGCATTCAAAGCTGCAACGGCTTCTTCGCACGCTTTGGCTTTGCGGGAGGTGATGTAGACTTTGGAGCAGCCTGCTTGTAGGAGCCTGGAAAGGAGGTTAGGATCTGGGGATAGTGTATGGGATGGGATCTGGAGATTGGGATAGCATGGTTTAAGGATAAGTGGAGGGACGTGTGCGTGGGTGGATGTGCTGCTTACCCAGATGCTGCATTGAGGCCCAGCCCACGGCTACCGCCCGTCACAACGGCGACTTTGCCATCGAGGGAGAAGATGTTTTCGAAGTCGTCGAGTTGGACGTCTTGCTTGGCGCTGCCCATTGTCGCGAAAGTCCTTTATTGGGAGGTAGGTATTGAGGGATGTGGTGGGATGTTGACAGGAGAAGGTATGGATATGGGATGTCAGAGGGCAGATTTACACGACAAGAGGGAAGGAATGAGGTGAAATTGGCTTTTTTGGGTGATGCTGTAATTGTATATCCACGCTGTAGCCGAGACTGCACAGCTGGATCACTGATGATTACTCTTCTTTAGCTTTTCCGGGGAGTTGATGTCCGCCCATACCTAGGTACGCTCAATGTTCTGGGCGTTATTGGGATGCCGGAATCGTGACGCTGGCGCAGTTGAACAGCCGAGGTTCACAATATTGAATACATTTTCCGATAGAGTAACTGTGCCGGGAACATTACTAAGCAGGAGTAAACATTCTGACGGTCTCTCAATCTCTCCATCCCAACAGCCTTTCCATTCCGTGCATCATCTTGTCTTTGGGTGGCTTCGGCCTCGTGATTCGCATGTGTCCACTCGATGTTTCTGGACAAGGCTGAGATTGGAAGCCTCTACCGGCCTCAACCAGGGCCCTGGGGTTCGGAACGGCGCGAAATCCATGGAGCAACGCCTTTACCGGTAGCAGCAGGGTTGCCTACACTCTTCATATAAACCCAGTCCAGCTGGCACCCAACTCGAGGTCAACCTGTGCTTATCCTTCAGGCAACAGATGATTCGTCCTCCGTCCGAGCTAACTCTATGTTTCAGCGAAGGGTAGCCGCAGAGCTCGACAACACTGCTGGTCGGCTGACTGACGATGAGTATGAGGTGTCCACAGTATCTCATATCGGTCGACCTTCAACTACTTTGTGCGTAAACACCTTCATGTATCGTTCCGTTTCTAAGACGATTGCCCGAGCTGTACTTCCGACGTTGCACGAAATTAGATATTGTTTGCTTGGTCCCTTGTACAAGGTCGCTACTCGACTCACTCTTCATGGCCGCCTCTGAGTCCAAGTACCTTTGAGGGAAAGAACTCTCTCCATCAACAGTCTCCGAGAGTTTGAAAAGGTCACACCAGGTACAACAGTTGGATGCTCGCCGAGTGGCCGCTTCATCCTCAGATCTGACAATCAGACAACATGCTTCTGTGTCACTCATCACCACGAGTGCTCTCTTATCTCGTCATAAGTATCCCCTCAGCACGACCACATCCTGATGATCCTACTTGGGTAAAGCTGAGTCAATACTTCTCCATCCCTCTCGCGTCGCTTCTCTCTCGTCGTCGCTCATACATCCTTCTTAGTACTATTCAGTGTTGCCTTTCTCATCTTCGAATCTCACGTCCACTGCAGGTTTCCTCTTGCATTTTACCTCTCACTGCCTCACCTTTATATTATCTTCATCTCTCGTGATTATTTCCTGGGCAATCACCACCTTCCCACCGTCTCTATTTCTGCAGTGACAATATGGCCAGCGTCACGAATCTTTTATTCGTCATCTTCCTCCACGCCAGCTTGTTCTTGCCAAGCACCTGCGATCCGCAACCAATTGCTGTGGCTACTACCCACTCAATCATCTCAACATGGACAACGAGCTCGACATGGACCGGCTCGCCAGTCTGTGCCACTGGTGGGAGCGATTTTGAGATGGATCCACCAACCGCAACACGTCTTGCTGAGCTCTTCTGCGAAGACCTTGCCAAACCGGGAAATTTTCCTGCCCAAAGTATACATTTGCCCAATATCATCTTTCCTTTGTATCGCATCTTCACTTAGCACTTCGGAACCAGAAACTAATTCATGCCAACCTTGGATAGACGCCAGTTTCGACTCGACGCACTATCCAACTGATCTATCTATCGAACCTTACTCGCCAAATTACACCGAGATTGAACTCTCTGGTCTGTTCACTCGAGGAAGTCTGCTTCGGGCCTATTCGTGGGTGGATGACAGCGGCGTCCTTTATATACAAGGCACCGATGAGCAGTGCGCGCGGGATAACTGCACTGCCGGCTTGGAAGGCACGATTGGTCGCTGTATGAGACCACCTAAAGCCCTGCACTTGTCTCCTTTCTTCGCGATATGACCACTCACTGTGGTTGCGATTATTACTAACAGACATCTGCTCACGGCAGGTGAATGGAACTCGCATTACGTCGGGGGCAGCAGCGTGTTTATGACCGATTGCGGCGTATACATGTTGTTCATAGGAAATTGTAGCGGAAACTGGTGGGATCACTCCTGCGACAAGTGGCATGAAATGCATCCCGACGTTGGACTGAACAGGAGCGAGAGTTTCTCGTCGTTGGGAATGCCAGATCCATTATTATCCAGTACTACATCTGCGGCGACTGCATCCTTGCCAACGGCGTCAGCAACTACAACGGTGTCGCCCGGTGAATCGGTGACAATAACCTTATCTTCACTGAAACCAGTTGGTTAAGCCGGATTCTCTGAAACCTACCAAGTGGAGAAGAAGTAACGTTACAGGTATTTTATCGGTTCATCCGAGTTGCTGACTCTTGACAGGGGGGACAGGGGGCTTTCTCTCGACAGTTGTGCTTGTGCTTTGGATAGTGGAGGGCCGGAACTTGCGCTACTGGTAATCGGTGCAGCAGCAGTTTGCGAGGAGCCACACCGGCCTCACTATGGGACACCAGCATTCTATTGCGCGCAACTTTGGGCGTTCTCGCAGACATGGTTGCAGAGCCGCATGTCGGGGTTCGATCTGTCTGACACCATAGCATTAAATATCAAGCTACCTACAAATGAGTGGCGTCAATGGCCCAGTGTATTGTAATTGTATATAAAACAATACTTCTCACCTATTCGAGTCTGTATATTTAAGGGCACCAACGAGGCTGAACAAGCAAGGCTGAAGACGGCCAAGGCTACAGAGGCAGGGGGGCGAGTGGGCTCCTCCCGCAAATAATGCCCCATCGTCCAAGTTGGACCGAGGCATCGATCCTCCACCGGCATTGAAACTGCGGAGATAGTCGTCCAAGCTGAGACCAATATGCAAAGAAAGTCCGCTGAACATGGATGCAAAGACAGATGACTTATTAGGACTACCTTTCATCTTCTTCCACTGGAGGACGTTCACGTCTAATATATACCCGACTTCACGACATATCGAGACACGTCAGATTACCGACGACTCGGACTTACCACTTCAACCAACCATGACATCCTCCTCATCGTCAACATCCGCGCGAGCCCAAGCCGAAGCGCCCTGGGTCGCCATCGCACGACGCAAACAAGCAGACCGAGACTCCCAGATTCCAACGCACTGGCGGCTCCCTTCACACGTTCTACCCAAAGACCCTCCACAGGGTCATGGACCTCAGAATGTCCTCAACATCCCGCGGCAGTTCCTGTCGCAGGCAGAGATCTCAATCACAGAATCATATGCAATCCCCACCCTGCTATCTGCCATATCATCGCGCAAGCTGAGCGCCGCCGAAGTGACCGAGGCATTCTGCCACCGCGCCGCGATCGCGCAACAACTAACGAACTGCCTGACCGAACCTCTATTCGAGCAAGCCAAAGCACGAGCACGCGAACTCGACACATACCTTCAAGAGCACGGGAAGCCATACGGGCCACTACACGGACTTCCGGTATCAGTGAAAGACACATTCAACATTGCCGGAGTGGACTCGTCCATCGGCCTCGCATATCTATGCTACAAGCCAGCAACCAAAAACGCAGTGTTAGTAGACCTATTATTGTCTCTCGGGTGTGTGATCGTGGCCAAGACGAATGTTCCGCAGACGCTGGCGTCGCTGGACTCGATCAACAACATTTTTGGTAGGACCATGAACCCAATCAACCGACTCTGCACGGCCGGAGGATCCTCAGGCGGCGAAGGTGTGCTTGTCGCCATGAAATGCAGCATGATCGGCATCGGCACCGACATTGGAGGCAGCATCCGCATCCCGGCCATGTGTAACGGCGTCTATGGCTTCAAGCCAGCCAACGGTCGCTTACCCTACGGCGGCCAAGCACTTACTGGTATGGAGGGAATGAGCCGCACGAGCGTGCAAGCTGTCGCGGGTCCTATCGCCCGGAGCGTCGAGGACATTGATGTCCTGCTACGCGAAATCGTCCCCCGAGCCAGCCTGTACGGCGAAGACTGTATCCCTAGTCCTCAATGGTCGCGACAACGGAGCATAAAACCGACAGGAAGCGGTAAGAATGGGGAGTTTGTTGTCGGCGTGCTACGCAGCGACGGGAACTGTTCATTATTACCGCCCATCGCTAATGTATTGGACGAAGTCGCTGCACGACTGCGCGCCACGCCCAATGTGACCGTCGTTGAGCTTGAGTGTCCGAAAGCATGGACGAAATGCCAATCTGTTATGAGCAAGTTGATGTCCGTCGACGGAGCGGGAGTTATGGCAGATATGCTCGCCGCCATGCAGGAACCTCTTGTGCCGTGGATGTCGACCCGCTTCCGCAAGGGAAAACCTCAACCTTTGACTCGTGTCGCCGAGTTACAGGCCCAGCGTGCCGCTTTGGAGCGCGAAATGTTGGGTCTGTGGGTATCTACTGATTCTCAAGGAAGACGGTCTCAACGTCTCGATGCTATCGTTTGTCCTGTCGCCCCGCATCCCGTCCCGCCCATAGACGCCTACAATGCCGTTGGCATGACTAGCTCTTGGGTCCTGCTGGATTATCCTTCCGGTACGGTCCCTGTGCGTGACTGCCGGGAAACAGATCTGCAGCTCGGCACATCGCTGGACGGTAAGTCGTTGGGCTCCTGGGATGATCGCAATCGTGAACTGTGGGACGAGTCCAAGATCGATCGTCGCATCTATCTGAATACCCCGTTGAGCGTTCAGGTTGTGGTCCCCCGGCTGCAGGATGAAAAGTTGGTCGAGGCCATGGGCTGGGTGGACGCTGCTGTTAAGAATGGTGGTCAGCAGGGCGTCAAGGCGAGGCTCTGATGGCGTGGCATGGCATTACATGGCGTGACGACGAATGTCTTGTAAATCTGCCGCTTCACTAGCCACCAGCCATATATTATACATATAAAAGCAATCAAAAGAAGCAGTGCCGTATGCTTCGTCCTCACATCTTGCTCCAATTCTGAAGACGACATACAATCCTAAGCTGGGCTCCTCGAATACAATGGACACGAGCCCTGTACTTCAGATCACCACACCTATCCTCGCAAGTACCAATCCAACCCCGAATGGTGTGCCTTTAAATATGCCTGGCAGCGACAGCTATAATTGATTCAGGGCCGCAAAGATTATATACGACAGTGTCAACAACACCTACTTATTTGATCGTTGTATTGCTGGTTAAAACAAAAGTACGCTGCATTAAGATTATATCCTTTACCATAGTTAAAGATAGTACCTGACGCCAGCAGATAACATCAACGGGCCAATCGAGGTGGAAAACATCATCGATATCCTGATGAAAATCACAATCACCAGTCTCACTCTCACTAGATAGACCTAAGTCGTCTCGATCCTGCTGTCCGGCGTGACAAGCTTAAGACCGTCGTCTCTTGTGGCCGCTGGCGTCCCACCGCCGTCAGCAGCATCAGCATTCCGAGTATTCTTCCCACGGTTGCGCAAACCATCACCATCTCCATCAGCACCAGCAGGCAAACCACCACCCTCATACCCACCATCCTTCTTCTTCTTGTGACCACCAAACAAATGAAACCGATCCCAGCCGACAGGATAGGTACCCGCCTTATTAAGCTTCTTAGCATGCTTCCCGGGGACAATGGAATCAAAGCCCGAATTGATCTCGGGCCAGAACCGCAGAATCGTCCGCTCAAACTGGCCCAACGGCTCCTCCGGCAACTCAATGACCTGTGTTTTCTTGACTCCTTCTCCTTCCTCATAATCCTCAACCACAGAGACCCTCTTCCCTCCATCAACACTAGCATCAACATCGACATCCACCACTTTTTCCGCAGGCACCACCTTCTTCCACACCACGCTGGTCATCTTACCCACAGCACTGCCAGGCGTAGACTCAGCAATTGGAGTTTCCGGATCCGTTTCGACACCATGCATGACCCAACCCTGCAGAGCATCACAATCATATTTCCCCTTATCATTATACCCGAGACCATCTCTGCCCATGCGGATACGCACGCTTGAATGAATCGTCTCATTTGTCCTCTGAAGCCGCGGCAGCAGCGGCACCTGCTTACCAGCTTTGCCCGGCAACAACCTCCTCAAACGATCATGCAACTTCGACACCATCCAGACCAACATGCCATGCTGGGACGCGAGTTCCTGCTCACGGTACTCACCGGGCGTACGAACTCTTGATCCACCCAACTTGAAGAAGAAAGTAAAGGAATCATGAATCTTCCCCAATCCCCAAGGTCGAAGATGCGGAAGCGTATTGTGCACAGTGACTGCACGACCGTCATGGGTGAAAGACTGATGACCACCACCTTGTATCCCACCTTCATTCGCGAAAGACTGGTCTCCACCACCACCTTGTACTCCATCATGGTGGCCATGATGACCGTGGTCCTTCGAAGAAGGTCTAATCAACTCCATAATATAGTCATGCTTAATCGTCAGAATGGGATCCAACTGGGCCACCATCCAGGCCAGCGTCAAATTCGCCAGCGCGGTATCATCATAACTTCCCCCAATATCACTATGCACCCCCGGGAACCAAGTCTGCTTCAAGACCTTGAGATCATGCGGTTCCACTCTCGGCCAATCCCACACCGTAGGCGAGAACGAGCGCCTATGTTCATCGAGAGCCAGCGCTTGAAACGCATACTCGATATTGCTTTCCACCCTGGTATCGACAAATGCAAAATCCGTACTCGGCGGCTGCGGAAGCAATCCGATCATCGGGATCCCTAACCCCCCGACAGTATCCCAGACAGCAACACACTTGACCTTAATATTCGGTCTAGTTAGACCCCTTTCGATCAGTTGGCGCTGATAATGGGGATCTGTGACTGGTGGTTTGTGGCCGACAAACGGCAGATTCGGCCATTTCGATTTGAAATCTTTCTTCTGTTGGAACTCCCAGTCTTCAAACACCTGCACGAAAAACTCGAGCCCCTTTGCCGTAAGTAACCCTGCAGCATTGATCAGACTTGAAATTGATCGCGCGGTGAATGCGCCTCGGGAGAATCCAATGAGAAAGATTTCATCGCCGGGATTGTAGTTCAGACAGATGAAACTGTATGCTTCGCGAATATGTTCTGCCAAACCTTCGCCCGTGGCCCCGCCGATGTATTTGTCATAGAGGGAATTGGAGCCTGTCCCGACGCCGTTCTGGTAGAAGACCACCTGTGGAATCGGAGTCGGTTGATCAGGACCTCCGGTGCTGGTGTCCACTCCGACGGGTGCGATGGCCCGCGCGATTCGCGTCACGTTGCTGGGCGTCTGGTAGTCTCCGTCGCTGTCTTTCCAGGTTCCGTCGCAGCAGACGACGATGCGTTTTCTTGGTTGTTCTGGATGAGCCATTCGACGAACCACTGTGTAGCTGAGGAGAGGATATCCAGGTGCAGAGTTCACAGAAATCTCAAAAACAGCAACTGTTGGGCGAGATGCACGATGCACAGAAGGTAAAGCCTTGAGACGTTAGGAAGATGTTTGTCCGGGCAACTCTGTTGACGCAGACTGTTGCTTGCTTGGACTGTATAAATCAGGCTGAGCTGCACCTGAACCTGAACCTGAACCAGAACCAGTCGCTGTCGTAACTGTCGTAGATCAGGCGGGTCGCTATGGAACGCCTGTAGGCTGTACGGTAGGGGCCCAGGGGGCCTGTACGAGTTTCTCTCCTTGCGGGTGGCCTCAATATCAAAGTCAAGACGAGTCGAGTCGAGTCTGAAAAAGAGAGAAAGATGTGAAAACCTTCGAACACCCGTTGGACTCCCCGCCCCGCTCACGGCACGACATGGACATGTATATATACCTAGTCGCCATCATACCTTGTTGTTGCTCAAACAACGCACTGGAGTGGTATACAGTAGCAAGCACAGCACACTGCACAGCATACTGCACAGCACACCTTCAAACTCCCGACACACTGCAGAGCCATGTTGTGACACTCAGCCTGTGTATGTTGGCTGTTCAGCTGACGCCTCGTTTCTCGTCCGACATCCAGCTACCTTACATACAGCCTGACACGCCGTCATGCCGTGTGCCTCTTTTGCTTAGGCCAGTAACAAGGGGGATGCATGCATGCATGCATGCAGGAAAGGTGTATTCGGCCAGTAATGCCTCGAAAGACCCGTGTCGCTTCAACAAATTTGAACGAGGTCCAGCTCACGAGGTGCAAGCTGCAGGCAGCCGATTCGAAAGATAACTGTGTAGATCAGCAATTGGGGCTGATTGCGAGACTTTCAGCCTCAGAACATGGGGGGGAGAGGAACCCCAGCTGCCCATTTCCGAACTGAACTTCAGCCCACAGTCGTCTGCTTTAATTAGCCCAATGTGTATCATCCTAGAACTTCCGCTCAGCCTCAGCGTGAGGAGGGGGCCCCATCGATCTCATTGTCGGTACGAGCATGACTTGAGCTTCTTGGTACCTACGCATACGCGAGAAACCGCCCATTATTGGATATTTTTTGGTCGAGGTCCGTGGCCCTCTAAATAAGGTGTCATTTTTTCGAGCACTTGTTGCTCTGTCTCTGTCGACTGTAGCATGAGTGGGTATCTGAATGCTGCACATGCAATGTCTTATGTACATAAGATGGGGGGCATAACCCACTTCGCCCGCTCTGTTTGTGATTCGTAGCAATAGCAACGACCCTTCTCTGGCCGACTGCTCTTGGCCTGTCCTTGACTGTCACTGTGTACCGCGTACAGGAGCCTGAAAAGGACCCTGGCGGAAGACTGATGAGTCCACTCGGCGTGTTGAACCCTTTCACCCCCGCGTAAAAACAAACCCCTCTCTGCAGATGCACGTTGCTCTGATGCTACTTGTGCTGGTGCTAGGTTAGTTTTCTTCACCGGGTACGGAACCTCACTTTGGACTTGTGCCGCACTACGCTGCAAGTTCTTCACTTCCTCACTTCTTTTTTGGCATTTTGCATTTTCACCTTTTTTTGGTTTTTGGTGTTTTGCATTGAAGTATGACCCCCGCAAGGGTGAGAGGATGCGACGCCACCGGGGGGACGCTGGTAGGACGAGACCGTGATGGGGCCCTACGAGGGTACACCGAGACGGTTTCTCGACATGGTTCACGTTAGAAGATGCTAATAGTTAGCTCATCAATGATCATGCTGGTGCCGCAGTTGGTGCAGCAGCGGGTGTTGGAGTAGGAGTAGGTGTCATCAGTTTTTGTCGTTTCGCAGAGTCGCCGTTCGCCTCGGCGTCCTGCAGAAAGGTCAGCATAACAATCCCGATAGTGGTTTCGAGACCCGACTTACCTCGACTTCACTGATACTCCGCCTCGCCGGCTTGGGTCCAGCTTTGGCAGTCTTGACGGTCTTCTTGACCGGTTTTGTTGGCTTCACTTCGCCAGCTTTTGTGTCGAAGAGATCGTCGGGCAGATCCCAATTTCTTGATGAGGAGAGACTCAAGTAATGTACATCTCTGTTGAATCCGGCCCAATTTTCGCAGATTTCTTTGAAAGCCTGGAAGGCCGGGACCAGGTTCAGACTCTTGGCAGTAGTGTCGATGCCGATGTAGAAACTGTAGGTATAGACGGTGAAAGCGCCTTGTTCGTTCTCCGGCTTCGCGCTGTCAACCGATGGAACAGTGGCGCCTTCACCATTGGTGGTGACAAGTTCGGGGTCGGTGGATTCCATAGTTTTCGTCTCGTCCACCTTGTACTTCATGGTCCCCTTTTGAACTTCCCGGATCTGTGTCTCATCTGCACACTTGTGGACACGTTTGAACCCCTTGGTGAAGGGACGGGCCAATTCGATATCTGGGATACCTTCCAGCTGCATCACAAATATACGCACTTTAGATTCGACCAGGCCTGCCCATGCTTTGGCAGAGTCGGCATTCAGAGAGCTGGCAGTGATGCTGAGGTAGTACTTGTGGTCTGCAGTGAAGAAGGTATGCTTTTTGAACAAGTCACTCCACTTCGCCTTGCCGGCAAAGATTTTGTTGGTGATCTCACCACCACGTTTCAATTCATTCAAGATGACCTTCTTCCCGGATTTGGAGATGTTGTATGTGGCACACATGCTCGGAAACGCCGGAGTGATAATGGGCATGATGTTCTTGCGGTCACCTGGGTAAATGGCCGGATTCCAGACCCTAAAGCCTTTGTTCAGGTCCGCATTTTTCAGCTGTTCGATATCCTTCAGCATGACCGGGGTGGGCCAGTCCCAATGGCTGATGACGAAGAAGAACTTGTCGACGATCGTAGCACCAACCGCGTGCGGATATAGTTGACAGACTCGAGCAACCAACATCGCCCATGCGACACCACCCGGATAGCCAACAATATTGGCGTAGATGGCTCTTCTTTGTGCCCACAACTTGATAGCACGCAGTGCAGTGCGGAAAGTCTTGTGTTCCGGTACCAAGGAGAGAATCTCATCGGTTACACGCTACGACTGTTAGCGAATTGATTTTTGTTCCTTTCACGGGGTTCTGGCTTACCGGTCCTGTAACTGCTCGAACTGTGGGTTGATCCAGACCCATAAGCAGGTTATTGTCATTCAGGGTAAGATCTTTGGGAATGGTTTGGAGTGAGGCAATGGAGGCAAAGATGAGATCGATCTCGATACCGTTGAGAACCAGCTTGATGATAGGAACGAACGAGTCGGGCACGGCCGTCAAGGATGTCACCGCGCCAGGGCCGGCCATCCGTTCCAACACCGCAGGAAAGTATTCGAAAAAGTCTTCGCGAGTGACATGTCTGGGAGCGACCGCAAGAGTATCTATATCAGATCCTGCACACAAGGTCAGCTCTTGTTTCCCAACTTTTGAAAATATGGCAGAGTCCTACCTGGCCCAAACACTCCCAAGCGGTAACTACCGTATGGGTATATCTTGCCTCCGAACTGGTCGATTTGAGATGGCGGCAATCGCTGTCTCCGGCTAACCTCGCGCACAAATTCCTGAGTGACTCTGTTCAAGAGCGCCAGTGTGCTCATCCTCTTCTTCGTCTCGTCCATCGGTTCGTAGTTGTTCTCCCGCTTCAGCTCTTCAATCAACTCGGCCGTCTTCTCGTTGTCTAGAGGCTCCGGTAGCGCAGTGGAGATCGGCGGACTCACACCCCATTGCTTGGGCGCCGACTGGCCTGGTGCGGCCATTTCGAAAGATCTTTCTCCCACCGAACAGAGCTCTCGCAGTTCTTTTCAACTCTATGGCTCTCGCACTGTTTGCTAATGTAGCGAGGCCGCGACGAAAGGGGTATCCTGGGAGAGGATGGAGAGAATTATTAATGGCAAGAAAGGGCGACAGCAAGGCGTAGAAAAGGCAACAACATCATCCCCAAACTCCAAAAGAAAGATGACAATGAATTATGAAGGCGAGATACTGGTCAACTTGGAGGTGTGGAAGTGAATATGGTAATTTGCAAACCAAGTCTTGTCTCTGAAGCGGCGACATGTGTCAGTCAACTTGAAGTGACGGGAGCGCAGTTGCTTGCATGAGGCGGCAAGCGGATTCGCCGAAAAGAGAAACCGGGGATGCCAAGGATGACTATGCTATTTTGGGACCATAGTACAAGTTCCACTCCGATTGTTCTTTTACGAGCCTTGTGTTCATGTACTACCTACCTGCCAAGGGGTGTATAACACAGATACATGGAGGGTTCAGTTTCAATGCCATTGCGTCCCAACACAGGTATTGTGGGTCGCAAATACTAGAGGCATTGGCCTGCTAGCTCTTTGCATCACAATAGACGGCCCAACTATTTCAAATACTGCGACGGTACCTGTGATCAGCCCAGCTTCGGAGCTTCAGCGAACAGCTTCGCCAATCTTTCATCCAGCCACTTCGCATCCTCCTGATTTCCTGGCGGACCTCCCGCCCAGTGGCCCCAGATGGACGGATAGACCTCCAAAGAGCCCACTCCAGGTGCCATGTTCTGAACCTCGTATTCAGAATCTTCGGGTCTGTCCAGAGTCAGTAAGTCATCATATTAGCAATCATTGGGATTGCACTTACGGGAAGTATAAGTCGGTCTTGCTGGGAAGAACCAAGGTTTTGGCCTTGATACTGCCCAAAGCTTTCTCAAAATCGCCGTTATATGGCTCTTGTAGGCTCACATCTCCGGCCTGCCACGTATGCAACATGACAAGCAAATTTTCGGGATCCTTACTCAACCCCCAGGCTTCCCAGAATTTGACCATGAACTCTTCCAGAGTTTTGACACCATATGCTTTCTCGTACAGTTTGTGGCGGTAGAATGCCTGGCTGAAACCCCAACCAGCGTAGACGCGGCCAAATGCTTTCAGACCGACAGTCTTTTCCTGCTCACTCCAGATACGGACTTCGGAACCCTTTGTTTCAACCCTGCCGAACGTGCTGCCTGCGGAGGAAACGCCCTTGGCGGCCAACAAGGCCGACTTGACTCCTTCGAGCATGACTTGGTTGTGCAGTGATGTCTTTGCAGAGCCGCAGAAAGGCACGCAAATATCCATGAAGTCGGGATATTGAGTAGCCCACTGGAAGGACTGGCCGGCGCCCATCGACCATCCTGTCACGCAGCGGAGATGGTTGACCCCGAGTTTCTGGGTCAGAAGCTGATGCTGAGCTCTGACATTGTCATAGAACGTGACGTCCGGAAATGGAGATATCTTGGAGTTTGAAGGGGAGATGGACTGCCCATTCCCAAACAATGCCGGGATGATGATGAACACTTTTTGGGGATCCAGCGCCTTGCCCTCGCCGATCAGCCATTCATTGTCAGAGATGAGCCCGGAGTACCAGGTCGGATAACAAACTGCTGGTGCGCCAGGTTTACCATAAGTCTTGTATGCTATCCATGCTCCCGGCAAGACAGCACCACTCTGTAGCTTGAAGTCGCCCAGGTCGTACGTCTCATAATCGGCCATCTTGCCCACTTACTTCAAGTCTCTCGAAGAAGCCTCTAACAAGAGCTTCACTCGAGATGCTGTAAGGAGATATTAGGAGCAGGCACCGGAGGATCGGCAGGAGAGTGCTCCTCATACTATCAGTCCGCCGCATCTTCTGATATCGCTTGCGAACCCCGCAAAGCGCTCATCTCCATCAACAAATCAACATACTTTGCGTTCGGCAATGAAAGATACGCGACTGTGGGCCGAGGGCGCGGTTTGTCGGGGTCAAGTTGTGGAACTGTTGTGTCCACCTGGTTGCTCCGTCGTGGCTGGTGGTGGCTGTGGTGGCACAGTACCAGTGATGGCATCGCAGCCAGGAGTCGTGACGTGAGGCATTGAGAAACCACTACTTCCAACCGACGACCAGTATGTAGCATTGCCTGTTATAAGTTCTGTATGATATTGTCTTTTGCACGTCAAACAATTTTCGGTTATTAGCGAGCTTGTGTGGTTTATCCCTGAATGCTCTTGACGCAACCGTCACCCAGCAGTGTTCGTCTGTTATCCCGCCATCCACTCCTAGGCCAATTGAGGACGTGGAGTGTCGCACGGCGCCGCATGTCTGCCGTCGACTCAAAGCCTCAAGAGGCTCAGGAGAAGCACGATGCCGAGTCCGCGATAAAGAGAAACCCTCACGGCGACTTTAGCAAAGTGCAGGCATCCCGACCCGACTGGGACGAGTCTAGGCACTGGCATTACACCAAGACCCGAAATCCCCATTGGACGTATGGTTCAGGAGCGACAGACAAGTCGGGGTCATCGAAGCCGCATGTTTCGATAGATCCCTACGCCGAGGGACGGCAACCGGTGCTGAACTACAAATTGCTCATCTCTGGCATCGTTCCTCGACCGATTGGGTTTTTATCCACTCGGTCAAAGGATGGGTCGTCGACCAACCTGGCACCTTTCAGCTACACGCAAGTCTTCAACCACGATCCTCCTATCTTCGGGGTGGGCTTCAGCGGTGGTTTTGATAACGCCAAAGACACTCTGAAGAACTTGACAGAGACTGGGGAATGTGTCATCAATATAATTTCCGACCACTTCATCGAGGCAGCAAACGCCTGTGCCATTGACCTTCCTTACGGTCAGTCAGAGTGGGCTGTCTCGGGGCTAACGCCTGCTGAAACCAAGGTCGTGGCCGCTTCCCGGGTCAAGGAGGCCGTCTTTAGCGTCGAGGGCAAGTTAATGAGCACGCAAGAATTCGAATCCAGAGCAACACCGGGCAAAAAGACTGGTGTTCTAGCACTCATAGAAGGCGTCCATTTTTGGGTACGCGAAGATGCCATCAACGAAGATCGGAGCTTGATTGATCCGGGAGTGTTGAGTCCCGTTTGTAGACTGGGAGGCATCACTTACGCGAGGGTCCTGGATGGCTTTGAGATCCCCAGACCCGTGCTGAGAAAAGAGCAAAAGGAGGGAAAGATCCCGGACGACTTGCTCAAGCCCAAGATAGAAACGCAATGAGTCTTTACCGACATGGGACAAGCTGATCTGCGATAGATATAGACAACATGATACGAGAATGAGCGTCCTGTGGGATAGCCAGACGCATATCAAATTTCAAGTAGAGGTCGATGTATATTACAGTGAATATTTATGATGGCCTCGCCAGCGCACGCCTCAGGCACGTCGCGTATTGTTATAGCCATGGGCACCTTGCCAGATGTTTTCCAGCCTTGCATGCAGTGTAGGTCAGAAGGACTTCCTGCTGTTGGCATGGATGTTGCCCCCGCAAACCTGAAATGCTGGGGTACAATGTTCCCTGTGTTTGGTGGGCCACGTTCAACAGTAGAGAAACACTTGATTCTAATCAGGAACACACAAAAACCGCGCGGTGACAGCTCGTTTGAATGATTTTTTCGTCCTGATAGCGAGCCAGAAGAAGGCGTACCATTCGTTTGCGGCCAGTTGCATACACGAGCCCAGCCTGATCGCTCACTCCCCCACCAAGACACGCCGCGTGCCTCAGTCTGAAGCCCTCAAGAGCCTGCGACCCCTTTCACGAAACCCCGGTCTACGATGCGTACGCACAGAGACACGATTACCGGCCCTGTCTGCGGACCATCATTATGAGCCTGAGCGGTGTCTTCGATACCGACAGCTCGCAGCCTCACTTCAAACCTGCAAAACTTCTCCCACCACCTCGTCAGATCCGCTTCGTTTCGGCCAACGGACAACCACACGCAAAGAGGAGGCGCATAAATGCTGCTTGCTTGACATGTCGCAAAAGGAAGACTCGCTGTTCGGGTGAACGTCCGCAGTGCAAAACCTGCACGGAAAATGGTCATGTCTGTTCTGGATTTGCGGAGCCGCAGTCTAGGAAGGATGATGAAGGAGCAGAGCATGATGTTGAAGATCAGAAGAACTCGGGGTCATCGACCCCTTGGAGATACGGCACAGAAACTGAGGGTCAGCACTCATTGCGACCTAAGGCAGAACGGCTGCCATCAACGGGCAATGTCACAACTGCAAAGGCGGGCGACAGAGACGAAGCGGCCGGTATCATCAGTCCTGCAAGCAATAACACCGCAAATAGCTTGACATCCACCAGAAACCGTGTTCCCTATTTTCGTTACTTCGGCCCGACTGCAATTGTCCCTGGATTCAAGCAGATGGTCGTTCAGGTCAAAGACCACCGTCGAAGCTTGCCATCTATGCCGGGGGAATCTCCTTCGTCAGGCGCGCCTTTCGAGTCGAACTCCCTCGGAGGCCAGGACAGACTCGCTGCTGAAATACCGTTCTACGATGCTACGACCTCAGCACCAAATGCTCCGTTAATCACACATCTGTGCGATACCTTCTTTACGCACCTTGGCTGCAACTACCCTTTCTTACAGCGGGAACGGTTTCTCGGGGATTTGGAGGATAAGCGCGTCGAGGCCATCCTCGTTGATGCTGTCTGCGCTGTTGCTGCCAGATTCTCATCTGACCCTCTGCTATTGACTTCCAATGATGCGTCCATTCCCCTGGATGCGGACAACAACGTGAAAAGAGCGTTCCGTGGTCAACCGTTCGCTCAGAGAGCCATGGCTGCAGTCATTGATACCTTCTCATGCCCCACTATAGCGGTAACTCAAGCGTGCATATTGTTGGCATACGAAGAATTTGGCGAAGATCACGATAGCGGTCTGTGGATGTATCTTGGGACCGCCATCCGAATGGCCCAGGACCTTGGCATGCAAAAGCTCGAAGGCTTGCAACTTGAGGGACGCATCGGACCGACCCCCAAGACGGCGAAACACGGACATGAAGGCAAGGCTGAGGAGCAAAGAAGATACCAGCAGCAGCAGACTCTCTCGCAAAATCTGTCGGGCGAAGACAGCACCCAACTTGAAGACCGAAGGGCAAGTGAACAGGAACGTATCGACACCTTTTGGGCCATATTCTTCCTGGACCGAGCTGTATCATCTGGAGTCGGTCGCCCGGTCACCCTTCGAGACAAGGATATCGAGATATCCTTCCCCTATCGCTCGGATGACACCATCATTAGTGGCTACCCAGACCCTTTCCCACCTATGATACAGATCGTACATATGTATGGACGGGTTGCTGATGTTCTGAACAATATAAAAGATGTCAGTCAAGTGACACCTGAAATTCTGAAGCGATTGGCAAGCATGGAGAAGGATCTCACGGGTGAGTAGCCCTCTCATGCATGTTAGGCGATGTGCTAATTGATTAGGTATCTACCAGCGCTTGTCGCCCAAACTACACTTCAACGCCACGAATTTCCAGCACTATGTCAAAGCAGGCCATGGCACGAACTTCATCTTGCTGCATTTCTGGTTCCACACTTTGATCGTGCTCGTCCACCAACCAACACTACTGCATTCCTTCGAAGGGGAGATTCAGCAGCTTTTCCCCGACAGTCGGGAATTGTCCATGTCTTCTGCCAAAACCATCGCCGACATCCTTGCTTTTGCCGAGCTGATAGACGTGAAGAGTTTTATTGGCAGCCCATTCACAAGCCAGCCTATGTATGTTGCAGCATGTGCTTTTCTAGCTGAAGCTGCCGCTCACGCTTCCCAACCACCGTCTCGAGCGGTGTCCCCTCCCAGAAATCCCTTACCTCGAGCTCGCTTAGAAACAGTGCACTTGAAGTCTCTGATGGAACAGAAAGCTGCTTCTGCGCGCCATACCTTGCTAGCTACTGCCGCCAATCAGAACTATCAGCGGTGTTACAAAGCTTTGAAAACATTGGAGTCGTACTGGGCCGGATGCCGTTATATTTTGACTGCGCTTGACCAGAAATCTAAAGGCCTGAAGGATCCGCTGCTCTTTACCGCCGAAGACCTTGATGGAGAGATGCCATCAACCGAGCCTTCTTTCACTACACCTGGCTGGCGGAGGAGTACTGCCTTCGCAGCATCTCTGGATGCTTATGGGAATGCTCTGCGTCGACTGCCAGCACTTGGCCAGTGGAGTGAGACGACGCCGTTTACACCGAAAATGGATTTGGGCCAAGCGATTGGATGGTCGTTGACTGGGACCGCAAATTCGCCCGCCCCCAACATCAGCTTCCTCTATCCAAATACTAATGGGGATGACGGTGGGCAGACGACGTCGAAGCCAATGAAAATTGAGCAAGTCAGTTCGAGTGCAGCACAGCCAGTCGCAAGCAATCTGCAAGAAGGCATGATGGAACGGCCCGGGCCACAAATCCCTTCACCCCAAATTGACCATGTAGGCCGCAATTATCAACTGCACTACTCGACCAGGAACAAGTCCTCGTCTCTGCCTTATGATCCAGTATCTACGGCAGAAGCTGACCTCCTGCTTGGTCTACATGCACCTTATGCTACAAGCGCAACGAACCCGCAGATTCCTCATAGTGTCTCCAACCAAGGCCGGCCGGTCCAGAGCTTTGACTATACCGCTCTTCAGACTACCCATGGGCCGGCTTCTGTCACCTTTCAACAGCAGTGCATCACCCCTCAACAGCAGAGCTTCAATAACAACATGTATGTTGAAGCACAAGACGTGGAAATGAGCGGGCAACAGCTTAGCTTCAATTTCCCTGGGGGCGACATGATACCCTGGCTCGAATACTTGCCTCAGGATGTCCTCAGTTATTTTGGAGACTCCCAGGTTTTAGGGAACGGTTTGACTCCAGGCGAGCCGCATGGGCCCGGATGAACACCCTGGCAGTGTGAGTGTTGCACGACACAACGTGATGGTCAACCGCCAGCAGCGGTCGGTGCTATTCAGTGCAAGCAATGAAGCCAAGCAGTCGATGGCTTACTGCAAATGATGGGCACTATGTCGACTTGCCCTTGACAAAAGTGTAACAAGGGGCTGAAATGAAATGGTCGCCAACGCTCGGGGCAGTGGCATTCCTCTGCCCCCCTGCTTCTCCAGGACACCAAAGACTGCAAGCTCCGCGCAGATTCGATTTTAGTTACAGCCACCAATAGTCCTCCACATACTCGAGAAGACCCTAAGCTTCCTTTTGGAATTCTTTAGTTGGATTCGCGTCAGAGACGCGTCGAAGCAGGATATTACAACTACATCCGAGACACCTGCGTTTTGCGTCCTGTATGTCTCTTCATACAAGATGTCTGGATTACTGTTCTTGGTGCTTTGCTTCTCTTTGCTCTACAGTTCACATGCGCTACAGACTCCCAGCGTTGTGACTACCGTCGTGTATGTTACGAGTACAATCTGCCCCGTGCCGCCGACATGTCTGCGGTCTACAACTTCCACCACAAACACACCTCCTTCTTCATTTATTACGAGCACCTCAACTTCCAAAGCGTCCACGACCACATCCACAACCAGCAGCGTCGTTGTATCCCCTACTGACAATCCCTTTACAATACGCATCTTCACCCAAGATGAAACCTTACAAAAGCGTGCCTACCATTACGTTGCCTTTGACAGTGATACCGCAATCATAGTGGACGATCTTCGAGACGCTGCCCTTTTCAATCTGGTCAACGGATATCTGATCAGTGATAACAAGTTCGTCGGTGTCAGCAATGCCACTGGATACCAGGTATTGCAAAAATACGACCAACCTGTAAATGTGAGTGTTGGATGGTTCATGGATTCCGACCGTGGTATAGGCATTCAAAGTCCACTGTTCGCTGCGGGTGATGGCACCGCTGGATTCTGCACCCTTCCGAATGGAACTGTCGTGATGGAGATTACGGACTCTCCGGAAGCATGCTCCGATGCGGATTTGGCAGCCCTTCCCAGTAAGTACCAAACACCACAGGTCAGGCGGTTACTCCTTTCTAACTCTACATAGTGACTCCAACATCCACAAGCAGCTTGGAGACGACGACCACAACCACTACCATGAGTACGGATGCTGTAGGGGCTACTACGACCAGTGACTCTACAACTTCCTCGGTACCGGTTACGACAAGTTCTGTGTCGCTTCCAACGACGACCACGTCGACCACCACCTCAGCTCGGCCAACAAGTACGACAGCAACATCACCGTCCAGCACTGTCACAAGTTCGACAGTTGCTAGCGCGACAACGAGTAGCACGACTAACTCAGCCTCAAGTACTTCGAGCTCTACCACCTCGACCTCGACTTCGGGCGTGACCACGACCACAAGTACTTCGCAATCTAGCAGTGCGGTGTCAAGCACTACCAGGTCCACTACATCCACTGCCCTTACGACCACGTCAACGTCAACGTCAACATCTATGCTCACAACCAGTCCCTCCTCCACCACTAGCACTACCACTCTAAGTACGCCAACGTCTTGGAGAAACACTACTAGCACGACCACGACATTAACGGCAGCCTCGACCTCAACGACACGTTCGACCATAGCAACCACTTCAACGACGTCGACAACCTCAACAACCTCAACATCAGGCAGATCTACCTCCACCTCAACGACGACGAGCACGACAACGAGCACTTCTACTACAGCAACGACAACAACGACAACAACAACGAGTTCCACCACATCAACTCCAACGTCGAGTACCACGAGCACTACGTCGACGTCAACGACTTCTACCACGTCAACGACAACATCAACTAGAACGAGCACCTCCACCACACCAATGTCGACAACTACAACAACATCCACCACCACAACCACCACCACCACCACAACCACCACCACCACCACAACCACTTCTGCGGCAACAACAACGACATCAACCACTACCACTACATCCAGCACTTCAACCACAACAACACCGGCCTCTTCTCCCGTTTGTGGCACGCAGTTTCCTACTCTATGCGCGAACTTCCTATCTATGCATCTGATCGCTGACCAGACATGTTTAACCCCCCAGGGGTGTACTCTGGCCGATATGATGTTGATTGGCAGGAATCTATTCAATGCGAACCCATCAGCAGGATCCTATGCCATTGACACACATGCCAATACCGTCTACCTTCTTGATGTGACGGCGGCTCAGTTCTCGGCCCTGGTCCATTCGGCTGGACCACAGGCAACGGTCTGTGCTCCCTTCGATCCGTCTGTGTCGCTTGCGGTTTTTGATGTGGGATGCACAAGTGCTTCGACAACGACATCTACGACCTCGACAACAGCGAGTCTCCCAACCACGACAACGAGTACCACTACAAGTAGGACAACCACGACAACGACGACTCCAAGCACAACCACCTCTTCCACAACGTCAACGACTATCACACCGACAACGCCAACCACCACTACGCCGTCGACTACAACTACTAGTAACACTACCACCACTACACCGTCGACGACAACTACTAGCACCACTACCACGACTACTAGGACCACAACGACAACATCCACTACAACTTCGACGTCGACCACAACGAGAACCACGACAACTTCCACAACGACAACTACGACGGCAGCAGCGACACCAACAGGCCCCTTCTGCAATACCTGGGTTCAGACCTCGGCATGCCCTAACAGCCTCGATTGGGAGTTGTGGAACTGTGTGACCTGTACCACGCCACCTTGCACGCCAGCACAGATGTATGCCCTCGCCGTCAATTTAGCCCGGAGCTCCACTGCCGAGTACCCCGGGATACTGTTCTCCTTCACATATCTGAACAACATTGCCTATACGTTTGGAGAAAGCCCAGCTCAGATCGCATCGGACCTCCCGGCGGACAATAATGTATTTTGTAACAGTCAAGTGTTGTCGTCGATTACGATATATGACTACTCTTGTGCTCGGCCGTAAGCGGGGGATCACAATGACCAAGAAGAGCACAACAGCGATATTAGCGAAAGGGCAGGTCAGAATTGACGAGGCCAATGCGTTCAATTGCGGAAGCCATTCGTTGCTGGTGAGAGTCAAAGTGGCATGTAGTGTAGGAGTTTGGACGGGCCGAGGCAGTCATGTCGAGCTAATAAAACGTTTTATTCTGTCTGACCTACTAGGTAGGTACTGCATGATTTGACGGATAGGTCGAGGAGTGTCCCCAAACATTCAAAAGAACATTTTTTCTGAAGCAATATGCCCTACAAGGACAGTGAGCAGTGAGGTTACCAGATGTTTCAAAGACTGATGAATGATAGTAGCGTCTATAAGAACCGTGACTTGAAGAGTGATGAGAATCACTACTGCACTGCAATTTGCTGTAACCGAAAGTGGGTACTTGACAACCACCTAGATCAAAAACAGATTAGCTACACATCGCTAAACCATTTTGGCCATTAGTGCACACCCTACTGTTATTGAAGATATATAAGGTTGTGCTGGCAAGATTTTCTTCCAGAAGCTCACACAGAAATGTGCGTGTTTCACTCTTGGCAAGATGGCCGAGCGGTCTAAGGCGTACGCTTCAGGTGCGTATGGGTAACACCGCGTGGGTTCGAATCCCACTCTTGTCAACCTATCTTTCTTTTTGTGTTTTGCTTTCGCCCTTTTGTTATATTTCTTTTGTTGCATGGACAACACGAGTGTGCACTCACACTGGCATCGCTGGACAGATGTGATGTATATCTTTAGCTTTTTGCATAACATGGAATAAATGTAGCTGAGCAGGATGAGTACAACTACTGGGCTTGGTTGGTTAATTGCAACGTAAGATGTATGCTACTAGTATCAGTAGGTGTAGGATGCGATCAGGATCGAACGAGGCTCTGGGCTACCTACTTCATAGTCGTGCAATTGAAATAGGGTGTCCATTTGATTGTCACTACTACTATTGCAGCCGTAGGTTGGATCAGCTGGAGCAATTGAACGAGGTACCTTCCTAGGTAGGTACACTGCAGGACAGGAGTTGCGGCAGCAGCACGCGACGGTTGGTGACGACGGGAGGTGTAGTGGCGCTGCAGCCTGTCGGGAGAAGTTTTCTTCATCCGTTCTTTGACCCCGAATGATGAGTTCATCATGGATACTTGAATTTGTCCACGGACATTCTTGCGTGCCGAACATCAGTCCACCATCTATTATTGCCTTCAAACCATACTGCAGCCTCAAAAGTGAAGCCTTCTCTTCGGGGCCGAAGATGTGGCGCTTCGGTCGAAAAGAATGAAATTCTTCAGCCACAGCCACGGAGTCTCCATGTGACGTCGGGGCGGACCGATAGAATGGAGTCCGGACTCCAGCACAACGCGTGGCCTGGGCTGGCAGGTCGAGATTTCCAAGGTTCGCCCCCTTTCTGTCCGCCAGGTGTGTGGCTTGAACGTGATCTGGCTAGGCAGCCAGACTCGCGACATCTCTTTGTTGTTCGCCACAGATTGCGTCGGACGGGTGCAGCCTTGGTTGATCATCCAATGACCGGTGAATACCAGACCAAGCGGGTGGCGTTGAACGGACCCCAGCTACAATGTACAGTCCGAGCCGCGTCGCTGCGTAAGCCGATTCGTTGCCTCTAGGACCGAGACGAATGCGAATAATGTGTTTGCCTGGCCGCGGGGTCGACACGCCTGTCTGTGCCAGTTGTGAGAGTTGAGTTGCGATACAAGAGGTATAAAAGATGCCTTGTTCCTGAGCTGTCTTTCGCTTTTCAGTTCTACTGTTCTATCATCACTCCCAAAGCTTTATCAATATCAAAGGGTTCAGGATATACCTTACAGCATACTGTAAGTGAAACTGAAAGACCAAGACCTACTCCGCTACGCTCCGTAGGATCATGCCTCCCTTGAACTTTCCACCTCCCCTATTCCATATGAATCCCCCACCAAATCCCTTCTGGGACTTTGTCGCCGGTATTGAGGACCATCCTTTCTTCGCTCAATACCGTGCACCATTCCCTCCCGCTGGACCGCCACCACCACCGCAACCGCCGCACGCAGCCCGTCCAACGGCCGACACCACCGCTACCGAGGCCGACGAGAAAGCCCAAGGTAAGCAACAACAACAGCAAACCAACGTCGAGGGTCCGCCAGAGGTCGATCCAACTACCCTCCGTCCCGAAGGCCACAGCATGCCTTTCCGTGGCCGCGGCCGATTCGCCGAAGCGTTCAACGATCGCGACAGAAGCAAAAGCCCAAGCAACACAAGCGGCAGTGGTAGTGATAGTTGCAATGAAGGCCGCCAACACCGCCGAAGGGGTTCCCGTGGCCGCGGAGACCATCATCAACATCGTCCTCATGGTCACCATGGCCGTCATGGGCCACATGGACATGGGCCTTGGGGAGGACGGGGTGGTCATCGTGGACCACCGCCGCCACCGCCTTTTGGTATGCCTCCATTCATGATGTTTGGAGGGTCCCCTGGTTTTGGGGGACACGGACCTCATGGACCTCCTCCGCCGCCTCCCCCAGGTGGTGAAGGCCCTCATGGACACGGTCATGGACCTCACCCACCTCCACCCCCACCTCCCGGTGCCGAAGGCCCCCATGGTCACGGCCACGGCCCCGGTCCGCATGGTCGAGGCGGCTTCGGCTGGTCTCGCGGACGTGGCGGTTGTCCCAGAGGCGGATTTGGACGTCATGGACCTGGGCATCGCTCGCCGCCCCATGGTGCTCCCTTTGGAGGACATGGACCACGTCCCCGCCAGGGTCCCTTCGACTTGGGGACCCTTTTCAACAACCTCGGAGAGCGTTTCGGCGTCGACCTAACTCCTCTCGCAGGAAGTCTAGGTCTGGACGCTGGTCGATTCAACTCACCACGCTCCCAAGAGAGTGACTTTGAACCCAAAACGGACATCTTTGACAGTCCGTCTCACTACATCATGCACCTTTCACTTCCCGGTGCGAAGAAGTCCGACGTTGGTGTGGAATGGGATGGCGAACACTCCGTCCTGCGTGTGACTGGGGTTGTCCATCGCCCAGGCGTCGACGAGGAAATGATGTCCCATCTTGTCGTGGATGGACGAAAGCGCGAGACAGGGGTTTTCGAGAAGAACATTCGACTCGGCACACAGAAAGAGCCAGCTAGCGTCGATGTCGCCGGTATCACCGCCAAGATGGTCGACGGGGTTCTCATTGTCAGTGTCCCCAAGGTCGAGAAGAAGTTCCAGAAGAAGGAAGTCCGGATCGAGAACTCCCCTCCAGCAGAAGACACGCACATGGATGAAGAGGACGTGTCTGCTGCGGCTGATGCTGCTTACATGGAAATGGGCCGAGACCACACAATGTGGAGTGCCGACACGACACAGAACTCCACCAAGGATTCGTCCAGCAAGGAAACACCAAAAGAAGCCGAGCACCAGACCGCCAGGGACGACCGCTCGGAGACACTGGGCTTCGACCATCCCAACGCCACGGTTGACACGCTACCTGCGTACGAACCGGAAAAGAGTGACTCGCAGAAGAATTACAACAATGGCCAGCAGAGGCAAGAGACGCGTGGTCTTCCCGCACATGAGGAGGAAATGAGTGACTGGGAAAAAGCAGGCTCCGAAGATGAAGGGGAGGGCGAATACGTCAAGATCAACGTCGACTAACTGTCCAAATGTGATAAGAGTTATATCTTTCTGGTTGGGCCGGTTAGTCAGTCAGACATTGGATAATATTGTGCTTGGGCATATCGGCGTTCGGCTTCATGGATTTGGTTGATATCTACATTAGGAGCACGAGATGCTCTGATTTTGTGCCTTGAACTTCTCTTCATGGCGCACCAAAAATATGACCTCACGTATATTATTACTAGCTAGCCACCAAAGTACAGTAACGAGATTTTCTTTTGCAACTTTCTCTTTCATCGATCTTTCCTTAACTATTCTGTCAGCCTTGTCAGGACTGGCGAGGCTGGACGCTGCACGTGAAGCCTTGGCAGGCGTGAAGAATATCTTTGTAGAAATTCAGATGGCGAGTTCTACAGTCCCTTATCTTTGCAACCCAATGTTTAGCACGCTCACTCGCATTAACACTTATCTTCAAAACAAGAAAACACCACTACAATGCACATCAAAAGATAATGCGTCCAAATATGCTGATTTGAACCCTATTTCGATAAGATACGGTACCTTTACGCAAGTCGAGGAGCTGAGCCGAGCAGTACAAGCGACCCTTTTTTCAGCTTGGCAGCTACTGATAAGGTCTCAAGTCTGGTGCAAATGGTATAAACCTCGCGCCACACCGCACCAGGCCGGTCCTTGACCTCCCCCCCACATCGCCCTCCTGGCTTTTCACAACTCTTTGGCCTCCTTGGAGTCGTGGGTTTTCTCATCAATATGTTCATCGCTGCCGCGTTGAAGTCGGTCCAGACCAAGCTCGGCGTTGATTTGGGCCATGCGTTCCTGATCTGCGCTGACAACGCCGCTAGACCCGAAGATGAGATCCATTTCTTCCAGCGTGAGTTGCTTCGTCTCGGGGACTATGACAAGATTAGCATGATTCCACCGCAAGAATTCCAAGATGACTCCTTACCAAAGAACCAAATAAAGCCGGCTCCCAATGTGATCAACAGTCCGAAAAGGATAAAGGTGCCGTATCGGATGCCGGTGATCATGTCCGGAGTGACTTGGCCCACGATGAAATTGTTCATCCAGTTCGATGAAGCTCCGAGAGCGATGCCGTAAGGACGAGCCGACATGGGCCAAATCTCAGCGACGACGATCCATGCACAAGGTCCCCAAGACCATCCGAAGTGAATCACAAAGAGCCAAACCATAGCAATAGCAGCCCATCCGGCTCCCTTGTGAGTCGGCCATTGGTGTTCATTCTTGGCGAAGATGATGGCGATGATAAAGTGGCACAAACCCATTCCCAACGCACCTAGGGCCAGTGCGGGACGTCTCCCAATCCGGTCAATGTACAAGATCGCTGGAATGGTGGCCAAAAACATGGCGATACCAACCACACCGGTGGCCAACAGCGAAGTGGTGTTGGACGACAAGCCGAGGGCGCCAAAGATCTGGAAGGATGTTAGCCACGTCTTAATACAACGCCACTGGAATCGTTTGTTCTTACCTGAGGAGCATAGTACAGAACTGCATTAATTCCGGTCCATTGTTGGAAAAACATGGTGACAGTAGCCACGATGACGCGGCGGAACATGGGCATGGTCCTGAAGAGCGAACCAATGGCCACGAATTGCAACTTGATGATGTTCATGGGTGTCAATGAAGCCAGATGAGGGAAGTGCGCCTCCACGGTTCTCTTCTCAAAGATTGACTGGGCCTTGATTTCGAGGAACTCTAGCTCGATCAGTTCGTGATCCACGGGCATGGATCTGAGCGTGGCCAGCGTCTTGCGAGCTTCTTGTTCCCGGCCGTGATGCACGAGCCATCGAGGTGTGAATGGCATGAAGATCATTCCAATCAGCAGGATGAGGGCAGGGAAGAGCTGAAGGGCCAAAGGGACGAGCCAGGCGGCCTCGGATTGACCCTGGCCGGTGCCACCGATATAGTTGGTTCCATAGTCCTGAAGAAAGGTCAGTTTGTCCCCAGCTTTCTGACAATTTCGTGGAATCACTTACAATCCAGAAGCTGACCATAATGCCGAATTCGATGGCAAATTGTTGGACACCAATAAGCAACCCTCGCAGCTCGGGAGGCGAGCATTCCGCGACGTACATTGGAACGATCATGGACAACGAGCCTACGCCCATACCGACCTGAATACAGCAATCAGATTTGGCCCAGAAGCTGCCAAGGCAGTTGTCTAACTCACCACGAAGCGACCGCCCAAGATGCCAGAATGTCCGGTCGATGTTGCTGTACATTGCACAATGACCCCGAGGATGAAGATCGACGTGTTGACCAAGATTGCGTATTTTCTCGAGATGAGTTCGGCCAAGAACCCAGAGTACAAGGTGCCGAACCAGGCGCCGAGTTCCAAGATGGAAGTGAGCCATCCTTTCTTCGTTGTGTTGGTGGTATAAACTCCCATGTGGTGATTGAAGGATGTCATGGTCCTATTTCATATTTCCGCGGTCAGCCAATGCAGAGCAGGAAAGCCTGTCGAGGATGGACCAGGCCTGAACAGAATACCACTTACAGGACGCCGCTGAAAACGCCCTGATTGTAGCCATAGAGAAGGCCACCGATGCAAGCGAAACATGCGATACCAAAGACGCGGAAGTTCCTCAGTAAGGCCTGCGGACCAGCCTTGCCGGCCAGCTGCAGACGGTGCTGAAGCGCGGCATCGGTGAATTGGGAGGGTTTCCTTGCTGTTCCTGCTCCTGCTCCGACGAGGGAGGGTTTCCTTCCAGTTCCGACCATGTTGACAGGCTCTGGGGATTATGGGGATATCGGGACTGAAATTGTATGCCTCAACTACAAAGACCGGCAAAGAAAGCTGTTCAGGAAGCCGGACGACGACGATGTTGTATACTCACCACCCCTGGCATCATTAGCATCTTGCCACGGCTGGCTTCAGGCTAATTCGATCCTCCACGACACCACATGGTATGGATGGCAACTCCGGCCTCACCAGGATAGACGGCTGTGTGGCAGGTATGTCATTGGCAGCCTGCCATGAATCATGGTCAGTTGGCCAAATCAACGGCAATCACGATGCCCGGCAACGCTTTGGATTTGCTTAATCAGGAAAAGCACGAACAAGCATCCTGAGGATCGGCATATGGCCGGTGCCAGTGCGGCTTCGAAACGCAAAGCTGGCCGGTTGCCGTGCGCCAATAGTTGGCGGCGTGTGACCGAAATTGGATCACATCGAGCAAGCGAACGGCAACGTTCAAGTTGTCCAAGTCAGACCCCGGCATGTTGACTGTGTTCGATTCGTTCCCATTTAGTCGACACCACTGCTCGAGCCTTGTGATGGCCGCTATGCAATCATCCATCCACCCGGACTGAAGGATGTGAATATCGAAGTGCCGAAGAATGTTCCACGTAAAACGGCTGAAAGAAATCTGAGAGGTTGTCCAAATCTCGCCTGAATCACGGCTGGGTTTAGTGGGTGATCATGAGAGGCTGTGGACCCCCTGTTCCTCCACATCATACAGACCGGCTCTGCACATGGTTAGTATTGCCTCCACCTCCGCATTCCAGGTCATATTAGCCTAATACCCGGGCACAGTGACGGTGGGTGGGAGTCAACTCTGTACCTTTAGCTTAGGCTAACTGGGGATCATTCCACCACCAGTCTTGCATGACATGCGCTCGAGGCCTTCTCAAAATGCCCTGGTTCACAGCTACAGAACAAGAAGCAGTGGCAAGACGAAGTAAGTGGCCAGAACAGACTTTTGTTGCCGTGTGTTGCCGGACACCCGCTCCAACCTCCACAATTGTCAACTGCCCTGGACGACCCTTGCATTACTGGTCCCGAACATTGCTCAGCCGGTGTTGGGTATATCGAACAGGGCTAGGCCTGCATATCGATGAGGTTGTTATGCGTCTCGTAGCTGCAGGAGCAGAACTCTTTCACCTACAGCTACGGATGTACATCCACAACTAAACCAGATGAGGCTGCTCGAAAGCTCACCCGCTAGGGACTCCAGCGTACCCCGACTCGAAAAATTGCCCTGCTGTGACGTCCTGGGACTTGACTCACAAGTCAACCGTCTCTTCTGCCGGCAATGGGCCTTTGGACGATCATCGAGGCGAAGGCTATTTTGTTGAAGTATGCAATGGACTTCTCCACGAGGTTACTCCCTCGACCTTGTCAATGGCAGCTTTTAAGCGGAGAAATAAAAAATGGTAAGCGCAAGGTGGGTTAAATGTACATTGTCCGGTTCGTATGCATTGGAGGTTTAAAAAAGCTCCTCGTCCCCATGAGTGAAACTTCTCCAGGTTGTTGCAGTTGCTAGCTTTTGCCAGTGGTATCTTTAGGTATGGCTATGATTGCGTTGGGCTTCTTTGCCCTCCTTGCTGCTCCAGCAGCCGCGGATTTGTTTCCCGACTGTGTCCATGGACCCCTCTCGAATAATACTGTCTGCAACACGAACGCGTCGGTGGCCGACCGGGCAAAAGCGCTAGTTGCTGCCTTGACAAATGAGGAGAAATTCAATCTCACGGGAAACACCTCGCCAGGAGTCCCGCGATTGGGACTGTACAGTTATCAATGGTGGCGTGAGTGCATCGAGGATTTGTTCAAGGGCCGCAGAAGAGACTGACATGGACTACAGAGGAGGCATTGCATGGCGTCGCCAGCTCTCCTGGTGTGAATTTCAGCACGTCCGGGGACTTTTCGCATGCGACGTCGTTCCCGCAACCAATCTTGATGAGTGCCGCCTTTGACGACGCGCTGATCAATGCGGTGGCTACGGTCGTTAGTACCGAAGCGAGGGCTTTTAATAACGTGAATCGCAGTGGATTGGATTTCTGGACTCCAAACATCAATCCTTACAAGTGAGTACAACAACTACGTTCTGTGGGGCTGAGCCGCCATGGGCAATTTGGACGTAGCTAATGTTGAGTCTGAAGGGATCCACGATGGGGCAGAGGTCAAGAAACCCCCGGAGAAGACACTTTTCATTTGAAGTCCTACGTGGCTGCTCTGATCGATGGGCTACAAGGCGGTCTAAATCCGCCCATCAAAAAGGTGATTGCCACATGCAAGCATTTTGTAGCGTACGACCTGGAAGACTGGATCACCACAGACAGGTACAACTTTGACGCCATTGTGTCGACCCAGGATTTGGCCGAATATTATATGCAACCGTTCCAGACTTGCGCTCGAGACGCACGCGTAGGGTGAGCGAAATAAGTTTCAGTCCGAAAATTTCTCGAGCTAATTGTCAATCAGATCCATCATGTGCTCGTACAATGCGATGAATGGAGTCCCAACTTGCGCCGACCCGTACATCCTACAGACTGTCCTGCGAGAGCATTGGAATTGGACTGATGACGGACAATATGTCACCTCTGACTGCGATGCGATTCAAAACATCTATGCGCCGCATTATTACGAGCCAACCAGGGAACAAGCGGTAGCCGATGCTTTGACCGCTGGCACCGATTTGAACTGCGTAAGATATCATATGATTCGTGCCAGCAGCGACCACTTTGCTGATTCTTCATACAGGGAACTTACTACCAAACACATCTCCCTGCCGCGTTTAGCGAGGGATTGTTCAATCAGACGGTCATTGACCAAACAATCACGCGGCTGTATTCTGCTTTGATCAAACTCGGATACTTTGACCCGCCCTCGGCGACACCTTACCGGTCGTTGAACTGGTCAGACGTGTCCACCCCAGCCGCAGAAGCGTTGGCACTCAAGGCCGCCGAAGAGGGAATTGTACTGCTCAAGAACGACGGTCTTCTGCCGCTGTCGTTCCCGACGGACAAAAACACCACAGTTGCCATCATCGGCGGTTGGGCCAATGCCACCACCACAATGCAGGGCAACTATTTTGGAATAGCTCCATACTTGCACTCGCCACTGTACGCGCTTCAACAACTACCAAACATCAACGCCGTCTACGGCGGTGGATTTGGAGTGCCGACGACGGACGGATGGGACGAATTGCTAGGCGCAGCAGGAGAAGCCGACTTGATCATCATTGCCGACGGTTTAACCACGTCGGACGAATCCGAAAGCAACGACCGATACACCATCGGGTGGCAGCCAGCGGCGATCGACATCATCAACCAGCTGTCAGGGATGGGCAAACCAACTGTGTTTCTACAGATGGGCGACCAACTGGACAACACACCGCTCCTCAACAACCCCAACATCTCGGCTCTTATCTGGGGAGGATATCCCGGCATGGCTGGCGGTGATGCGCTCATCAATATTCTTACTGGCAAAGCTGCTCCTGCAGGCCGTCTACCTGTCACTCAGTACCCGGCCGACTACGTCAACCAGGTCAACATGACAGACATGGAGCTCCGACCCAACGCGACCTCGGGCAATCCTGGGCGCACGTATAAATGGTACAACAACGCCGTGCTGCCTTTTGGGTATGGATTGCATTATACCAACTTTAGCGTCGCTGCTTCTGCCCAAGGTCAGGCACAGACACAAAGCGGGCCAAGTTCGAATTCCAGTCAAGGTCAAGGAACCTCGTACAACATTTCGTCTCTTGTCTCGAGCTGCGACCGCTCACAATATGCATATCTCGACTTATGTCCGTTTGAATCGTTCAACGTCAACGTGACCAACACGGGATCGAAGTTGGCTTCGGACTTTGTCGCTTTGGGCTTCATCAGCGGGAGCTATGGGCCCCAACCGTACCCGATCAAACAACTTGTCGCGTATCAGCGCTTGTTCAATATCAGTGCAGGCGCCTCGGCCACCGCGACTCTGAATCTGACATTGGGCAGTCTAGCTCGCCACGACGAGAACGGTAATGCCGTCTTGTATCCCGGTGACTATGGGCTGTTGATCGATGTGCCTACGCAGGCGGTCCTGAACTTTACTTTGACGGGAAGTCAGGCCGTCTTGGACGAGTGGCCGCAACCGCCGACTAAGGGGTAAAACCGGACTAGAGTCTAGCGGAGATTAACTCGATGACAAGGTTGGCTGTCCTCTGGATGGGACTAATGACATTAATGGTTGGTTTTGGTTCATGAGAAGTTGGCAGTTTGGACAAAAGGGAGGAAGACTCTGGAGATGGTGGACGCTAATACCTAAGGTATTTAAAATACATCAGGAATATACTTGGTACTCTGTACTCAATACTGTGGTACAGCCCAGTTCTGTCCGAGAAGAACATGACGTCCATCGTCTGGTTTCTATCCAGCACTCGGCGTCCAGCCGCAGCAGCGAGCAGTGGAACCGAGTGACAATAGGTATAACTGAATCGAAAATGCCCGTCCAGAGAGTGAGATCGTGCCCTATAATGCAGTACAGCGTGCTATACTGGTAACGGAGGTGCAGCAATTTGTTTTGTGTCTCCTCGGTCGAAGCTTGTGTCTTCGACCGAAGACCCGGAAAGATGTCTTTGTCCCACATACCAAGATAGTTCTAGTGGGATTTCACACCATTATCTCAGCCTCGCGGTCTAGGCTTTCGGTTGTACTACACTGTACAACTTGAACAAACTATATGACATGGATGTAATGACTCAATGCCTCAGCCTTGCATTACGTCGTTGGCCTGGTCCAACAAAGGCCTGGGTGTTGAGACAAATGGCACGACCCTTGCAGGTGTTGATGAGACTGGTAGGTACCAAGAATTGGTAGGTGCTGTATAAATACCCATCCCCATAGCCCGATCCTCAGCATCAGCGCAATCTATCTGTTCAACACCGACGACAAGAGAAGAGAGACTTCAAGTTCTGAACAGCGTCCGTTCCTACGTGGCAATCGTTTCAATACCCTCCTACTGAGCTGAGTACTCTCTGGACTCGCAACTGTGATGCCACTGGGTGGCAATAGTATAACTACTACCAGCACTGATACTTCGATCGCTATGGCGACAGTGGAAGTGAGTAGTGTGATCACCACCACTGCCACAGGCAGTATGACTACATTGGAGCTGCTGGACTCGACCGGAGGAGACATTTTCACACGTTCAGATCGGGGAGAGATCTCTAATACCGCCAATACCGATGAAGACGGTTTCAATCACACCATTACAGAATCATCGCCGTCTCCCAGCATCGCAGCTACTATCAGCACCACTGCAGATTTAAGCCGGAGAGACGTCCTCAACGGTCGAATTCCCAACGCGGCCGACGACAATGAAGACAGTTTCAGTTTCAGTTTTAGTTTCAGTTTCAATAACACGGTGCCACCAGACTCATCACCATCACCATCTCTAACCAGCATCGTCGACGACAACCACGACCACGACACCGCCCCCGCAGCCACTGTTGACAATGACAGTGACGTTGACGTTGACGAGGACTACAAAAACGACGTTGACGAGAACGAGAACCAATACGGAAACGGCGACTACAATGACTCGTCCAACTCAAACTCATCTCAATATCAATATCAATATCTATCCCAATGTCTATTCTGCAACATCCCCCACTCCTCCCTCGACGACAATCTGATCCATATGTCCAAAACGCACGGATTTCAAATCGTCGACCATCCTGCAAATTTGTTATTGGTCGACGTTTCAACCTTGCTCACATATTTCCATTCGTTGATCTTTGACTGTTTCGAATGTCTCTACTGCGGCACGCAGCGACATTCTTGTCAAGCGGTGCAGCAGCACATGAGGGACAAGGGGCATTGTAAATATGATTTGGAAAACAATGACGAGGTTCGAGAGTTTTATGAGGTGCAGGATGACAATCTGCCACACCGGCACGACCAGAGTTCAACTTCTCCCACGTTGAGAGAAGACAGAAGCACTCGAGGACCGAGGAGACGAGTGCGACGAGGACGACAACCATCAAGACGGGCGGATGCACGATCACAGGCCAACCGGCGGATCGAGTCTGTCGTCGGGACACAGATATCGAGACCGCCACCGACACCCTCGCACTCCGTACTCGGATGGGGTGGACTGTGTCTGGTCCCGCGTACAAGTACGAAAGCACTCAAACAAAAATCCATGCTCTCCAACTTGCGTGCAGATGACCGTGCAAGTCTGATGCATTTACCGACGTCACAGCAGAAGGCATTACTTGCCACGCAGCACAAACAGATGGAACAGGCGAGCAGAAAAGAACAGACGGACCGGACGAGACTTGAGAGTGCGGCGAATCGGTTCGGCTGTTTGGGGAAAATCAGGTTGGTGAGGAAACCGCCTCATACGGGAAATGTGCATAGTTTGAAGAGGTGATATTATATCATTCGTTTGGAGATTGAAATAGATAAATGTATGAATGGGAGGAATAGTATTTACGACTTATCCTGCCTATTGTGTAAGTTCCCGTAGACGCTTTATCTTGGTACTATTAGTGAGTAAATAATGTTTCATATCGCGTCTTCTGCGGGAAACGTAATGGCTTGCACGGCCAATACCTTAGTTGTTCGATATGTAGTTTGTAGATATATACGGTAGGTACACCAAATGAAAAAGTGATGGTAGTAGTGGTAGAGGAAGAGGTCCTTATGTTAGATTTATGGCTACCACTTTCTTAGCCTCGGTTTAAAGTGGTGTTGAACCGACCTCTCTTGGCTTACATACCTTACCAGGTATATCTACGGATACAACACGCAGGAGGTAGGTCGTGGCAAGAGACATCCGTCTGCTTATTATTCAAGGTTTGGATGTACGACGATAAACCTTCTCTTCGACGATCAGCAGCTTGAAACCACTTGGACAATCCCAATAGCAGGGCAAATAGTCCCGCCCACCGGCCAACAACGTCTTGAACCTGGCTTGCCTTTCTAGGCCATTGGCAAGACTACCTACTATCTGCGATACCTGTCGTTCTCTCAATCCGTCAGGGGTCTGCAAGGCTAAAAATCCCTGCCATCTCTCGAGGCACTGATAGCGGATCACCACCACGGGCACGATGGGTCTGTTCAAATCCCTACGCCGCACAAAGGACGGCCGAGGAAATGGCAGTACCAAGGCCTCAGGGTCAGCAGTTGCCAATTCCAAAGAACATCAGCATCAGGACCAGCATCAGGACCAGCACCAGAACCAGCACCAGAACCCTCATCAGAACTCACAAGAATCTCCCGAGCAATATCAACCTCCACTGGGCCCGCCTCCATCATCGCAACACCATCATCAGGCCATCCTCGACGGCAACAGCAATAACAACGCCAATACACCCACGACACAGTTCCTCCCTCCGCCAGGTCCACCTCCAGGCTATCATGCATCTCGTCCCCCATCACTGGCAGGCGAAGCCGTCACCACACCAAACGTGAACATCAACGAGACGTTCCTCCCACCACCCGGCCCGCCACCAACAACCACGACAATGCCATCAATCAATCCACCTCCCACGAACCAGGACCAGAACCATGACCAGAACCATGACCAGAACCATGACCAGAAGGAGAATCCACCACCATACCACGACTGGACAATCATCCCCGACACAGCACTCCTCCCCCCTCCCCCACCCTTACCCGAAGATTACAGCCCGACCAACAACGCAAGCTCCGACTCCGCCGCCCGCGCACACGAATGGTGCGCCACACACCCAGTCTACACTCCCTCAATCCCATCTTCGGACCTGCGGGCTCTAGCAGCTCGAGGCGAAATCACACTCGAACCGCCGCCAGTGGGACCTCTTCGTGGTCCAGGGTTTGTGTTGCGACGACAGCATCACACCTCGTCGTCCTCGTTGGCGTCGGTACCCTCGTCAGCCTCCTCGTCCTCGTCTTCCTGGCTCATCCGCACCCCCTCCTCCCAACAAGACGCCATCATCATGTCCAGTATCCCGCTATACTTTGCGACCGTGGACAATCCACTTTTAGACTCTTCGAGAAAGGCCAAGAAGATCTACTTCGAAATCACCCTGCACAACATCTCCAACTCCAACTCCGGCGTCGCCATCGGATTCGCAGCCAAACCGTACCCCCCGTGGCGCTTACCGGGCTGGCACCGCGCTAGCCTCGGTGTGCATGGCGACGATGGACGAAGGTTCGTCAATGATTCCTGGGGAGGGAGGGACTTTGTCGACCCGTTTCGGGTCGGTGAGACGGTTGGTGTGGGGATGGAATTCGAACCTATACCGCTGGCAACTCCAGCGCCGCTGAACGGCCACGAAAGGCAGTTCAGTGACAACAGCTACGGCTACGGCTACGGCTATGCATCCGCCTCCGCCGTCTCTGCCATTCCAAAAGTCAAAACTAAGGCGTTCCTCACGAGACAAACGCAATCAAATGGTTCTAGGACAGCCGGCCGAAGAGGTGATCATGGTCAGACTCAGCAGCAGAGTGAGAGTAGTAAGTCGTTTTCGTGGGAGATCGACGAAGAACGCGATATCCGCGACGAAGGCGTCGATGGGCTCATGGGCGAGGGAGACTTGTATGCTGCCATTGGGGTGTTTGGGGGTGTGGAAGTTGAGGTGAGGTTTGGGGAGACAAGAGACAAGATACCCTGAACAAGACGGAATGGAGGCAACCGGGGTTGAGGTGACGGAGTAAGGCGGTTGATCAATGAACGCAACAGTCTAATTTGTGCATATTAAATGTCAGGTCCAGCGGAAACCGCGCCGTGTTGGGCCGCCGTATATTGCTGCTGGGAACTGTTTCCAAATTCCAACAAGTTCCCTGTTTTTCTCTGGCATTATGTGGTTTCTGAATGATGTACTCTAATCACAGTCATCCAGGCTCTTCCCGTTCGCTTTCGAGCCGACTCTCGATTGGGTGCCTTGTTGTCTGGTCCTGAACGACTGAGAATGAGGTCGAATATCTCATTAGTCTAACAAGATATGATAATCCTGCCGGTCGCTCAAATAACTGCTGCGACAAGGAGGTTCTTGTCGTCTAAGCTTGGAAATAGTCACAGACATACCCGCCGTCGAATGCCCTTTTGGGATAGACATCCCCAATCCACGTCGTCTCGTGCAAACCTTGTCCTCGCTAGTTATTCTTATGCGCTGTGATCAACCTCCGTTGTGGTAGGGCAGCTGGGATTTGAAAGTCAGTGAAGGTCAGAATCAAGCATAGTCATATGGCCGAGGTGTTTGGTCTCGGAATCGGAAGACTCGGGTTTGAACTTGTTCTCATGGCCTTGCTTGGTGATATGTGAGATAGGCTTGACAAGCGCCCTATAAGTATGCCAGCTCCAACTGAAAACCTATATATACCTTCCGAGAGATAGCTGAGCCGTTCGTGCTGGTCATCGAATCATTGCTCGACAAATGAATGTGCTTGTCCGCAGGTCCGAATGTACGCCGACCGAGATGGCCAAAAGACGAGGAGATCGTGAACGAACTGAAACCAAGGCTTCACAGCCTCCCAGGGAAGGCAGATTGCCAGATATCAAAACCCTATGACCGAAACAACAAGCAAATCATGGCACGACGGACAAGATGCCGTTCGAGGATCTAGTCTGAACGGGCCGCTTCCACCTGGACCAGATGTCAAAGGCACTCATTTCGCACAGCTTGTGGTCCCATCGTCTAGCCAGACCCAGACATTTCTCGGCATATGTTCGACTTCTCAGATATCATCGCAGCATTGGAAATCGCCGATAGACGTCCAAATCAGAACAACGAGTATCTTTGGCTGCTCATCATAGACGTCCGGTCCACAAGTGGTTGGTCCGGACGCTCATACAGCGCATCTTAGCGTAGACGCAGTCGCATACAAACAGACTCAGCAACAAGTGTGTAAACATAAGTAACAATGTACAGCATTCACCATTCACCAATAATTGCTGACAGACAGGGGCTATAATCAGGGTCGGGTCATCCAATGCGACACCATCACCATCAGTGACAAAGGGTCGTTCTCGAAAGGATTGATTGATTGATGTCGGATTAGAGTGTCCTTGACCGGATGGGTGGCCGACATCAGGGGACGCACAATGGCGCATCCGGGTCTAGACAGTCGATCCCGATCCCGAATCCCGCGGCGGACGCGGATCCTGAAGCTAATAACGCAAGTAAATTGTACTGCAAGTCATTCACTTGGAGGTGTTTATACTGCGATAGTAGTAGACTGTCATTTCTTCACCGCCTGTTTGACGCCAGCGGATACGCCGTAGTAGCGGGTAAGGTAGGTAACGAACAAAACAGAAATTGGAAAGGCGGTGAAGGGAAGATGGTCTAGAGATCTGCCAGTGCCAGCCAAAATAGACACATGCAGGAACATGGCACGTACAGTACAGTACCTGCGCATGCACTGCACGAACGACTGGCGGCGTGTAGATCCCGCGGCTGGTTTGAGGATGGTCTATAATAGCATTTGATGCGCTCGGCGGCTGTAGCAGAGTGATGATGGTGCTGTCCCTAATAGTATCTTGTTCAGGTCGAAAATACGAACACCCAGCGACAGGAGCTCGATACATTTGTGCAGAACCAGCGCAAACATTGCAAACGGCACAAATGGTGCAAACTCCGAGTTCGTCCGAACAGAGCCTATAAGTCGCCAAGCCGGGGTCATTATGTCAGCCGCCGCCGCCTCGAGAGTCTCACAGTCAGCCTAGGACCTCGAGGAGCTTCCTCCTGCTCTTCACTCCTTCAATCCTGTACACTCCACTGCAGTGGTTTTCGTCCCTTAGGACCATTTGTAACGCTTCGTCGTGGAATTTATCTTTGCTGTCCTTCTAGTGTCAAAACTGAGGATACCTTCATTAGCCAGGTACTGTACGTGGTCCTCCCAAACACGGTGGGTGTGCTTCACCAGGTAAGGTACCTTACCTGTACTTACTGTACCTACCGGTCCACCCTGTACTCTTACTCCTTTGGGCCTGCTTGGGCAGCAATCCGTTCCGTCCCAAAAATGCACATCATCTGCCCTGGCCTCTCGGGGAAGTACAGCCCTGGCTCCCGGCGATTTTGACCTGCTGGATCTTGATTCGCGGCTTCTTGACGACCAACTTGGTCAGTTATTGATTGTCTACACTTGGATACGGCCGCTCAAAGATGAACAGCCTCGCTATTTTTAGTTGGGCAGTTGTTCAAGTGGCGGATTCGTGATACCTCTTCTGCCTCATAAAGCTGAAGTCACAGTACGAATACAGACAGCTAAGGTGTTGGGCCTCGTTACACGGCTGTTCTTTTCTCGCCCACAAGCTATGGTCGAAGACATCTCCAATTGATGAATGCGTTGATGGACATTACCTTCATCCACTTCCAGCGGAGAGTCCTGAACCACGTCATTTGCAGATATGTTTTCTTAATGCGAGCGTAAATGGTGATTGATGTATTGCCCACTTACGCAGAACAATGTGATGTGAAGCAGTGTAGTGATCTTTTCTGACCTGAACCAACAAGTGCATCGCTGGCATCTTCAACATGGAAGTAGAATCCATCCTGTCAGATTTGCCGTGCGATCCTGGTTCAGAGATGCTACCTAGGTAGTCAGGGTTCTCAAGACTTGGCTGGCAGCACAACGTAGACTGAATCATGCTCTCTCTCGCGAACCTGGACAAGGCAACGGCAGGTATCACCCTTTCTGGCTGCGGGAGAGTACAGCCAATTTCCTGGCCTTGCCAGCAAAGACCTGCAGAACTCGCTGCATAACAGTACACTGCGCAAGACAACGCATACCTCCTATCATTGCAATATGAGATTCGGAGCGAAGATCTCCGGCTAGGATGCCCAGGCCGCAGTTGTTGAGGGTCGAGATTGTTTCGGACTGTGGAGCGCTCCGATATCTTCCACGGGATGAATCGGTCACTTACTCAACCAGGCAACTTATACTAGTAGCCAAGTGCAACAGATTCGCTCTTACGAAGTGATCTGTTCCTATCAATGCAGTTAACATGGCCAGTACCAGTCACCAGCACTCACCCGAGGTAACGCCTGAGTACATAGGCGCCGCATCGGCGTCCTGGCACATGCTTGCGCCCTTGAATCGTCGCACTCACCGAATAGGAATGATGCAACACTTTTGCAGACGGAGGGCGCGATCTTGCTCGTCAAGTGGTGCTTTAGTGGTAAATGGTTACCAGGCACTGATTGAGGGAGAGGTCAGCATCGTGGGGTCGCAGGCCGAGTGGGATGCCACTATTGTTGTGATTATGAGTGATATTGAGCTTGTCAAGTCCTAATTTACAGTAGATGTCCCACCATATAGCCACCAATACCACTAGTCTCAATTAGGAAGACTATCATTTCACCTTATAACAACACTCCCACTCAGGCTTCACAAAGGGACACGTCATCTACCCCTCTTTCTAACCCAGTTTGTCTTCCTTCTCTATCGTCATATCGAGTATTATTTCATCAGTCATTATTGTAGTTATCCAAGTAACAGTTATAGTTATTGCAGTCCGATATCGTTAGTCGTAAGTCGTGAATTGTTAGTTATCGTATAGGGGTATCTTCAAAACGAAGTCGAGTTGTTTGTTATACAGGGTATCTTCGAAAAATGGATAAAGAGAGTAGTATTTTGTCGTTTTATGTGTTTATCTTCCTCAACTTCGTTCGCACTGGCAACAATCCTAGCGACTTTCGGAAGCGTTGGAATAGAGCAGTTGGGAGAGGTTTCGTGAGTCCGTCGGCAATATTTTCTTTGGATTCGACCTATTTGAATTCAACGGTTCCTTTCTTAACTTCGTCTCGTTACATATACATTAGTATTGCAACATATTTGGTGCGGCTATAGTAAACAGGATTATATGCTAGGGCCATTGCCCCGAAGTTGTCGACTCGAATCTCAACTATACTTAGCCCATCGTATCCGAAGTTCTTTATCAGTCTTCCAAGCCATAGTGCTTCACGGACAGTTCCAGCTTATCCAATATATTCAGCCTCTGTCGATAACAGGGCAACAACGTTCTATCGTTTAGACTGCCAACTAACTACAGCACCTACGAGTATAAACACGTAGCCTAAAACTAACTTGCGGTCACAATAGTCTCGTCCCCAGTTAGCATCAGAGTACCCGATCAGAGCGTAATCAGTAGCATTGGTATTGAATGTTAGAGCGAGACTCTTGGTATACCAAAGGTATCGGAATATTCTATCAACTGCAACTTTATGTGCTTTTGTTGGTGCTCCATAGAATTGGCTCACTTGAGACACGGCGTATGTAATATCAGGTCTTGTCGAGATTATTGCGTACATTAGCGATCCAACTCCTAATTAGTACCTAATTTTCTTATCCATCGGCAGAAGTTAAGCCTCTCGATCTTACTCAAAGATAAAGTCCTTATCGATAAGGTCTCCTTAATTTATCCGACTCTCCTAGTAGGGGTACAGTTAAAGCCCTAGCTCCATAGGTTTTTCTCTTAGTCTGATAGGTCGCTATAGTCCAAACCAGTCACTACTAATCCTTTTCACGTATGCCTCCTAGCATAACTAGAGTATTCCTTCGTCCTTATTCCGAAGAATCTCAATACCCAAGTAGTGTTAGCATTCTCCAAGATCAGACATCTAAAACTCTTCTCCGAAGCACTTCCTAATACGTTAGCATTCAGTCAGATTTAGTCCCATCACAATAATATCGTCAACGTAGGTAAACACAATTATACCATTTCCCACAAAGATGCTATAATCGTCAGGTACCTTTCGGTACTTTTATTTAATAAGGAAGGTCTCTAAACGTTCGAACCAGACACGAGAGGCCTACTTCAGGCCGTACAGTGCTCGATTCAGCAAGCACACCATTCCTTCTTATTCGTACCCAGTTAGGAGTTCGACATAGATCACCTCAGACACATCTCCATAGAGAAAAGCTATTTTAACGTCCATTTAGAAAATATACCAGTAGAAGTAGCAGGCCAGAGCGAAGAGCATTCGGTAGCTCATCGACTTCACCACTGAGGCAAATATTTC